TAACTTAAAAATGAATTATTATTGGAATCGAAGTTTTTTATTTTTTTATCTGAAATATATTTATGATATTCCTGATAATACTGTTTGCCTAAAAGATACTACCGAGTGCTGCTTTTTAAATTGTCACCCTGTATCTATATGTGTGTCAATTACATCTATAATTACAATAAGCAAACACAGACGAGCATCATGAAGTGTTTTTCTTTTCAGCCGCACATATCAAAAATTTATCAATATTATTAAACTATTATCAGTTGTTACGTATTTCCCGATTTCCTGATAGACATTTCCAGAACACAACTCCGGATTTATTTACATTACCTAAATTATTAGCAAAATGGAGGGACCCAAGATATACAAAGCAGATGTAACACCACAGATGACTGCCACATATTTAAAAAAATATATATTTTATATATAAATATATTCCAGATTTTTTTTAAGACGTATAGATTTTATCTATTGATATAGGTATTTCTAATATTTATTATAAACAGATAATTTATGATTTAAGATATATTTGAGGGAGATATTACATATATACTTTTAAAGTGTCTGTCGGTTTATTTTCAATATCTTACATTACGGACCTGCTATAATAGATTAATTTTGAATTATTGTTATTTTGCTAATGATTTTTTTAAGAATATACTTTATTTAAAACTACTTTTTTAGTAAGCATATAACCAAAACACGATTTAGATACCTAATTAGTTTACCATAATGGCCTTGAAATTAATAGTGTTACAACACAAATATACACAAAAATCTGCTTATAATTATAAATTAGAAAGGTGAAAAAACTATAACAATAAATCGACTATCGCATGATAGAGATGAAATGAAAATATTTTTGTATTTTGTTTATAATAATTCCATATTAACATAACATTTAAATTTGAGTAACGCCTAAAGTTACTAATTAATCGGTTATTTTTAACATGTTGATCATTAAGTGATGAACTAGCGATAATAATATTTAATTCAACTTAAATTTAATTATTTCTTTCTTTCCAAATATAATATTAAATTTCTTTTGAAAAAGGAAGAATCTAAATTTAAATTTCTTGCCACTAAATATAGTCATATTATTTATTCATATTTACAAATACTACAGAAAACTACATAAAAGGAAGGACAATTCATTATTTTGCCACTTTTAGCAGTTTGAAAATATCATTTCAAGGTATGCAAGTGCTATAGAATAGCAAAAGTAAAAGGTTAAAGGTAAAAAAGATAAAAAATCAAGCATTATACTTATTCAGTAAACTGTTACATATTGTGTAAAAGTAGAATGCGAAAAGAAACATAAAAACTTGCCCACATGTTCAATGAAAATTTATCTGTTTTTACGGTTTCATTTTCGTGGCGCTATCTCCACAAAATTGTTGTTTTCACTTTAATTCAAAATCAACTATATATATACAGTAACTGATGACGTTAATGACACAATGCAATGGTTACATCAAGCTGTGGCAAACACCCTGTAGTAGATAAACAAATAATAAACAACCAAAAACTGGGCGGTACCAAAACCCAAAAACTGATCTCACATTAAGATGCTAATAACTGACGTAAGAACCTTAATAATTTGCACATTAGCTTTTGGGTTTGCCATTTATTAGAAAAAAATACGCAAAACCTCCTTTTAACTTATTTTGAACAACTGATTTATTATTCAAATAAATTTCGTAATTATTAGTTTGCGATTCTGTGAAAAGAAAAAATGAACGCGAAGTGAATCACAGTATAATAGAAATGTGATCTAATTTTTAATAAAATTATTTAAGTGATCAATGCTGAAATTTTCAGAATTTTATGATTGTTTACTATTTTTCCAAGGCCTTTGAAAATGTGCAAAAAGTAGCCAAAAATTAGCATTTTTTCGACTTTTTTCAGTTATGAAAATAGACGATTTTCATCATGTTACCGGTTTTGTTAAAACTGCTGTTATTTACTAATTATAAAACATAGAATAAGAAAATATCGTCCAATGTAGTATTACGAGAGCAGTAATGGACGTTTTAATCTTCATTAAAAATAGCTGAAAAACAAGGGTCCAAGAAATTAATTTTCTCACAAAGCCAAGGTATCTAAGCCTTCAAAGGTGTATATTTTCTGAATCTACATAAAATTTCCTACAAATGCTGAAATTTCATATAATTTTATGACTATGGTTACTATGGTTCTAAGTTAGCTACAGGAAATATGGGTGTCGAAAGCACTCAGTTAACTCAATTCAGCATCAGAGAAATCAATTTGAATTCCATATTTAGACCAAAACAACCGAATGGTATCCAGCTAAAAGTAAAAAAAATGACATTACAAAAGAAATGAATTATTGAATACTAACAAAGACAGTTGCACTTAAACAAGTCTCTCTTTTCTTTACAAATTATTTAACAAAAAAGAAATCTAAGTACAGCAGCTTTACTTTAAAACCTAAAATAAATATAATTTAACTTAAGCTCTATATCACTTACGTACATATGTCTGGAGAGATATATTTAAATATTTCCTTTGGTAACTCAGCTCACTGGATATGTGGGGGACAATCACCAGAGCAGCATGACTTTTTAACACTATATTGTACCCCTGTATACCCTGTGTGATCTTCTTGAAGAATACCATATATTCGGATATTATTCATGGCATTTGGTTACAAAACAATTAAAGAGAAAATATTTTTATTATTGCTTCTTGGTGTATTGTTGTTTCCAATAATAATTATACTTTTTACAGTTTTTATCAAACTTTCTGCATCCTATATCATGTATAATAAAAAGTATTTCTTCTGCTATGGCATTCGAATTTTATTCTTATATAAAATTCACTTGTGTCTAGCCCTAGCAGGCAACTATTAAGCCCGACCAATCATGTTAGAGTTTTTGACAAACACAAATGAATTAACACCCTTCAAATAACCACGCTAACCAACCTGATTGGTCAAGCTTAATAGTTGACAGCTAGGGCTAGACACTTCTTAAAATTCCATGTGTTAAATAAATTTCAAATACATTCTTTATTAGAAAAATTTAAATTAAATTCAAGACAACTAAAATATTCCTCTCGCCCAGTGGCAGATATAGAAGGGGGCATTGTGGCCAGGGCCCCCCTAAAATCTATAAATTGTGTTAAATATTAGGCTTTTGGGTTAAAAATGGAGCCCTAAAAAGCATATTCCACATTTTTTATTTGCCCCCCCCCTCTAAAATAAATTCCTGTATCCGCCTCTGCTATCGCCTGTATTATGGATATAATGAGAATTGTGACTAATAAGAATATTAGAAAATGTCATGCTGAGAATAATCAAATAAAAGTGAATTTAGTAAAACTTTGTATAATCAAAGGAAAACATTACGTACCTCCGCAGATAGACTTAGTACTATACCAAAGATCAAAACAGGTAATTCTAACTTATTTGGAAATTCTCACTCACTCAACATGTTTTGATTTTATTAAAAGGAATTAGTTATCGGATTAGACGGCCTTTTAAAAATCATGCTTGTCATTTTACACTATTACTTCTATGATAAATATGGGATTAGCTTCTGATTCTAAATATTTTTTAACATTTCTTATAGATTATTTATTTATACAGGGTGAGTCTTAAATAAGTGCAAATATTCTTAGGGCTAGTAGGTAAAAAAAATTAAAAATATGGATTTTTTTTTACTTTTTAGTTAAACAATATAATTTGTTGATAATATGGCAACATACATAGGTAGTAGATTAAATTTACAAGAAGAAAATCCAGAAAAAAATCCAGTGGTTCTTAAAATTTTAGCAAAAAATATTTTATTTTGGAAATAGAGTAAAATATCTCGGTTATTTTATATTTATTTGAAAAACAATATGTTTCTTTTATCAAGATCTACCAACCCTGAAAATATTTGCACTTATTTAAGACACCCTGTATAATAATAATTTCACATATAGATTAAATAATACTTAAATCAGCTAAATAAAAAACATTCAAGAAATGGTCCTCATATCTACTTGGAGAAATCCTTTTTCAAAGATAAATGTCGGTGTAACTATTAACAACTTCCTCTAGGAGATGCCAGACCTTGTCGTTGGTGGGGAAGCTCCTAGCCCAACTCAAGGTTGAGCCATAGACATTCCAGGAGGCAACCCGTTGTATTCTCCCTTACATTTACATGCGAGACTCTGCAGAAGGGGACCAACTAACCCTTGCGGTGTATCACCAGGTTTGCCAGAACTCCAATGGAAAGATATCGAGTTGGCGAGTCATCAACTCGAGGGAGGAGGGCCATGGTCAGGCTCTCACAATAGTAATTGACCTCAAATCCAAGGAAGCAATAGAGAAAGAATAGATCCGGGACAACACCGGTATTAGCTCTAAGGGGAAACCAAGTAAAAGAGGTGGAGAACATGGAGACTGATTTTCCAGCTTCCACCTCGGGTCCACCTCACCCGAAGACAAGCTCCTCGACTGTGAAAGGCACGGAAGACTAAACCTCAACTCGTAGGAGGTAGATGTCCACTCCTTCAGAGGAAGATGGGAAATACCCTCTCCCCCCTTCAGCAGGAAAGTCCCCATATAGAGTTATAACTCAAAAAAGGGGGACACAATAGATTTTTAAGGTCGCGGTGATTAACCCCCCTACCATTCATTCTAAATTCTTCTACAAGTATTAACAATACGTTTGACATATCAGAACATGTTTAACCCCATCGGCCAAAGACAAATATCAAACTAAACTGCACTTCCTTATACTAAAAACACAAAAAATATTTTTGGATATTCAAGCCGATCTGAAAGGGTTTGAATCAACGAAACAGAGGTTTATTATAAGAAAATCAACAACATAGGAACAATTCCAATAGGAATTCGACAAACATAGGAACCTAAAATAACATCAATTCAAATGGTTCCTCGTAATATCTTTTTTATTATGCTTATTGATTATTAGGATTATTAGCTTTATCTCGATTGGTTGTCTATATATACCGGTACATATAGGTAGCACATGACGATAAAATTGAATTATTTTGTGTGTAGTGATTAAGTGATGTTCAAGTTTTGTTATGACAGACAGTAATTTTGCTAACGAATCCAAAGTTCTCATTAGAACATACACATCATTCATTGGTGGAAAGTAAGTAAACATTTATCACTATCACTTCTTAATAAGCAACAATAGGTACATAAACATTCTAAAACAAAATATTTCACCGTGAAGCGCATTTCTACATTGGTATTTTTGTTTTGGTTAGTTTTGTTTAATGAAGTACTAAGAACAAAACTTTATGCATTAATATAATATATTATATACCACTAAATCTTTCTTGTCTATCTAACTATGATATAATTATTAATATATTTATAATATAACGATTAAAAATTGATTGGAATCTGGGTTAAATAGTATTGAAATTAAAAAGGCTATATGTTATTAATATGCATTTATTCAAAAAAAATAGCAATCAGCGATAGTTAAAGGTTAAGGCTTTGTTTTTGTCCCAGAGACCCAGAGAAACCTCCTGTTATTATTGCCAGAGTTGCAATGTTTCATAATTTATCGTTGGCTCTTACTACTGAGACCATTTAATGATGTATTTGTTCTTCCAAAATCTTAATCCTTCAAAGGTATTTAACTCCAGTACATTAAGAAACAAGTTGAGTTAAGATAACGTACGAATCTTGGTTAGGAGTTAGCAGCCACGTTGCCTTTAGAAGATACCGGGTGCGTCTCAAAAGTGGCTCACCCCTATAACTTTTTTATTTTTTCAGATAAAAAACGAGATTTGGTATGTTAGTATATGACATAAATTAGGATTGATTGACGTATTCAATTGTTTTTGATCACTTCCTGTTTCACAGGAAATGACTACAACTTTTGATTTTTAAATGATGACACTCAACTTTTGACATTTTCGCTTAAAAAAATCGTATTTTAAATTTCAATATGGACTGCCATGGTTGTGTTAAAAACACTAATTTTTATTCAAGGCGCGTTAAAAAATAGATTTGATCGTGTTTTTCGTGTTGCCTTGGCCCTGACCGGTTAAAAGATGCACAAATCGTATTTTTAATCATATCTCTTTTTTTTCAAATAGAACGAGGGTGGCTCATTAGCACATTTGGAAAAGGCATTTTTTACGAATAATTTGGTACCACACACTTGGTATTTCGAGTCAAATTGTCGTTATGAACCGCATGTTACAATTTCAAATAAACCATATGAGAAAATGTCAAAGACGTATGATATGTCATTCTATTAAGAGTGTCATTTTCTATTAAATAAAGTAAAAAAATACCGAGGGTGTCATTTAAAAATCAAAAATTGTAGTAATTTCCGGTGAAACAAGAAGTAACTAAAACAATTGAATGCGTCAATCAATCCCCAAATTATGTCATATACTAACATACCAAATCTGTTTTTTTTTAACTGAAAAAATAAAAAAGTTATAGTGGTGAGCCACTTTTGAGACGCACCCGGTATACTTGCACAAACACACAACAATATTCTTTTTTCGAGAAGGCGAATTGTGTTACGTGTGTGGCTGGCATTAGAATAATTTCTAGAAACGAGTAAAACTAAAATATGACTGTAGCTATCCAATAGTTCCCTAATTCAATGAATACTTATTAAAGAGTATTATTTAATTTACTCCAATTAAGAAAATAGTTGGGTATAATCACGTATTTATTCGTTAGTGACAGACATAGTTAAAAAACAATTAAAACAACACAGGTTGCACCATTGTCAAAATTGTGCAATGTTTATTATGTTTACAACATTCTATTTTTTTCTAAAAGTTACAAAGGGCAAAAATAATTGTCAGCTTTGTGAAAGGTCAAGTACGTATGTACAGGGTGTTTCAAAACAAATGCGAAAAACTTCAGAGGGTGATTCCTTGTTCAAAATAAAGGGTAGTTTGCTTCATAAACGTTGGGTCAAAAGTCAACCATTAGGCAGATATTGCGGTACAAAGATGGCGGAAAAATAATGTTTTTATTTTTTATCTTGAAAACGAAAAGAGATAGACTAATAAAATTTTATGGAAGCATTACTGTTATGAAAACACACTTTCTGGTAATTTTTCACTTTTTAAAATGAGTGGAAGGGGTTGAAATAAATACCCCTATCATTCTTGTTAACGAAATTTAAAGAAAAATCTTATCAAACACATGCAAAAAAATTAATTTGGATAGTTTAGTTTGTTTAGAAACTTTTTTATCTCTTCTATTTTTTTGACAAAACTCACCGATTTGAAATTAAAAATAAAATGTAAAGCATTACAGGTGTAGGACAAAAAACATTTTCTGATAAAGAATCTAGTGGGCTGCTGTAATTTTTTTAGGAAAAAATCTAGTCGGCCGCTGTTACTTTTAGGATGTTCCTAATATTATTTTATTTGACATTACTCTACTACAATACGTTATTATCTAGATGATTATTATTATTGTTATTATCACTAGATTCTTAATCTAAAAATATTTTTTGTCCTGACATGTAATGCTTTACATTTTATTTTTTAATTTCCAATCGGTGAGTTTTATCAAAATAACACAAGAGGTAAAAAAGTTTCTAAACAAACTAAACTATCCAAATTAAAGCATTTGCATATGTTTGATAAGATTTTTCTTTAAATTTCGTTAACAAGAATGATAGGGGTAGTTTATTTCAACCCCTTCCACTCATTTTAAAAAAGTAAAAAATTACCTGAAAGTGTGTTTTTATAACAGTAATGCTTCCATAAAATTTCATTAGTCTATCTTTTCGTTTTCAAGATAAAAATAAAACATTATTTTTCCGCCATCTTTGTACCGCGATATCTCCCTAATGGTTGACTTTTGACCCAACGTTTATAAAGCAAACTACCCTTTATTTTGAACAAGGAATCACCCCCTAAAGTTTTTTGCATTTGTTTTGAAACACCCTGTATATAATATTAGATGATGCAATGGCGTTGGCCAAACAATGTTTGTAAAAAATGAATTAATACAATAATGACGGAATCTCAATAAATTTGTATCATTACATACCGTATGATCGAGAAAAAACGGCGTCAGCGATGGCTATGGAATGAAGATCGCTGTCATTTTAAATGTAAATTTATATGGGAAATGTCATTGATGTTCATATCCCAGCCAACTGGACGCCGTTTTTTTTCGATCATACGGTAGTAACATCCAAGAAAAAAATATGGTAAAAGTGCAAAATATTGGTATTTCAAAGATTTACAAATAAACAAAACTAATGTATTACATGTTAAAGGTATGTTACATATTTCATGATATATTCATGAGGATAGTTTGATGGGTTTTACGAGTACGTAAAGTTAAAGTTATTTTATTTTTTTTAGCTTTACTCCTTTCTAGAAATACGAAATGAAAACTAATTATTTTTGGTATATACCAGTAACTTAAATACATATTTTTATAAGTCTAATACATATTTTTAATAAGTTTATTACGAAAATTTTAATATCATTAGTGATCTTCCATGAACAGGTTTATTTGGAATTAGTCTTTTTCTTCTAAAACCACGAGTTATAAATTAACGAGTTTGTTAAAAATGTTGTACTTTAATAACATTAAAAAACACGGTTCTTCTTCTTAATCCAAATCTGTTCTAAGAATAAAACTTTCGCATCATAGTTCTGTATGTGTACAGATGAAGGTTTTTCACCTAATGCTATGAACCTCTACAAATATTATTTTTCTGGAAAATATATACTTTTGATTTATAAGCATTTTAGGGATTTACTAAAACATAAACAGAACGATTTGCGTAATTCTTTTATTATGACAACCAATCCCTCAAAAACACTTTTAAAGATAACTACAAACTACAATTGCCTTGTAGTTGTTATCTTTATGAGCTCAGAAAATCGTCAGACAATCCCCTGTACGCAGTATATTCATTTGAGTACCAGAGAAAAACAAAATGCCAAGCCAAGTTTAACTCGTGTACCTAAAATGATTTCAAAGTCTAATAATAAAGTGCCCACATATTACCACTGGAATAAATCCAGTTCAAACTAATGTCTCGTGACTACTGACGAACCAACAATTTGTCGACAAAATAATAAAGGAATTATGAAAATAAATACAGACTAAAATATAATATAAACATTGATATTTTCCTTACGATGATACGAGATACCTCCTAAAACGTCATATATTTTTGAAATAATATATAGGTACTAGATACTAATAGCAACTAATTGTTTAAGGCATTTTGAAGCCAGTAGCTTTTATGAAAAAGCAACAGATTAAAAAATTAACAACAAATTAAATTAAATATATTTTATTTTCATTTTAAATTATTAATTATTTCGGTTTTTTAATAGAACACTTGTATCTATATTGATCTATTGAAATTTCATGGTGTTGCTTTCTCATACAATCTGGAAATATTTGCTAAAATCAACAAAAAGCATATTATGTAATATTTATAAAAAAAGCGCTTTATAGATATGCAACATAGGTGTAATGTTTGTGGAATTTAATCATTAAAACGGCATATTGTTTAAAGGTGAATTTATTTTTTTGAAAAATCAAACTTTAATCTGCTGTTCGGATCAACTTCCTGATAACTAGCATGAATGCACGTTTTCGACATAATTCCAATATACACTGATATCAAAGTCCAGTTTAGTGACTCCGGCTTTGCCTCCAAAGTCTCACAAGATTGTGCAATGGAGAATTCTAAAAATACATTGACAATTAGCATTACAAACAAAATTCCAAGTAATGTCGAAACATAACAACACTAAATAGAGAGAGGTGTGTCTGTGACGTCACCGGCGTCACATTTGTTTTGCTTTTATTTATCGTAACGAATACGTTCAATTTAGCACATCAAGATTTTTAATTTAAGTTCAAGGCACCTACATCGGCAAGAATAAGACAAAAACAATCAAGTGCTATTCTAATAATTATAAGTTGACGCAAACATCAATAATTAAACTGTATTAAAGTTTATTGCTATGGTCGCCACAGTTTGCCGCAGTACATACATTCAAGGTCCTGATGACGTGGAGAGGCTTGCCAACAAGGCGGCAATTTCATTGGTCGATAAGTTACACACCTCCGTACCGTCGGAGTACGAACGTTACGTACCACAAACATTAAATGTTTAAGATAGCACTGAAACCGTTAATCACTAATATTTTCAATGCTATTTTTTCAACCAGTATTTGACAAATAACTTTTTTTAACAACAATTTTAATGGGGAATTCTACAATTATTGCTCGTTATTATTCAATGGAAAAACCCGGGTATTTCGCCACTGAAACAGAAATGTAAAAAATTAAAGTTATTTTTTTATCAATTCCACTGCAAAGTGACTACATAAAATCAAACTGTTGTCTGGTACTTGTTACAAACAAATGCTGTCTGGTACTTGTTACAAACCTAAAGTAAGGTGGCTCTAATAACTCTTAATAAATCTCAAATCTCAATATCGTAAAAAAAGTTTAGCTGCCTGGTTATTGCAACCTGATTACAGTCACTTAATGAGAAAAAACCAAAACCTTAAACGTTTTACATATAGAATATTATTTTCTTATTAAGATTCATGTAATGAAAAATATTTGAAAAACCAAAGCACATACAATAGCCTTACGTTACTAACATCTACAGATGTCTGGGCTATACTTTAATTCTTTTATTTAGAGGCTCCCCTTTTAAATAATTTTTTACGTTCTTTAATTCGAATGAAATACTGTTTAAAACACCAAAACTATTTTTTTATAAATCTATATTTCCGGGTTTACCCCTCCATATGTTATAACATCTATGGTACCGCATTCCTTGTGACGTTGAAAGTTTTATAACGCTGCTAAAACAACTATATGTGTGTGACACAAAAACAATATTCTTTTAAATACTTTTTAATTATCATATATTTAGGTTTTTTATTCTTTTCAAACAAGTACCAGTTTTTACTTTTTATGTCCTTTAAAATCCAACCACACCCCCAGTCTTATTTAACGAAAATTAAAAATCAATATTACGTAAATCAGTACTTGTTTTTCTTTTATTCACAATAACTGTATTTGAATAACGTTTGTATATATTTTAAATATTGTCTTTCAGATCATAGGACTGGATATGCAAATATCAAATTTGTATAAATTCTCTGTTATTGATAATAACTTCAATAGCATTTTGAACAAACCATAATATATTATGTAGTCATATTTTTCTATGTCATTTAAAAAAGAAGTTAAAAAAAGGATAGATAACCTTTGAGTTCTATCATTTACTTGATATACAATGCTTATACAAACTTACCACTAGACTACTTACATCTTAATAACTGACGTAAAACAGAAAAAAATATATACATATAGAAATAAGGCTTTAAAAAAATACGTATAGGAACGAAAATTTGATAAAATTAAATACTTCAGGATGCGATTAACCTGTCTAATTTAAGACTAATTTAGATTACTACACAATGGAGGTATATTAGACATGTCATATGATTTTTTTAACAAAGTAAACGAATGTGTGTCTCAAGGATACATCTATGTGCCGAATATGTGCATCCCTTAAAAAATAGGGGCATCTTAAACAATTATCTGTCTATTCTTATATATTATATCTGAAGACCCCGAAAGAGTTATTAGTTTCATATTTATATTGTTTTCCTGAGTAATTACAGATAACAGATAGTACATACCGTACGCGACTACAATACACATAGTATTTTGTTCTTATTAACGTCAGCATTTTTAATACAGCCTCTGAATAAACATCAAAGATTATGTTAACTAACCAAACTTGCGAATTCTAGAATGATCTCAATACGACTTTATTACAATATAAACTCAAAATAATAAAGGGGGTGTTTTTTGTAAGATGTTTAGAATCGAATTGATGACTGCAGCAAACGAATGATTGCAGTATTTGTCAGAATAAACGTTGCCAATCGAAAAAGAAGCTTGGAACTTTGTGTAGTATCCGAGACATAAGCTTGAATTATTCGATGTTTGATGTTTTTATGACAGATGCTAATATATCTTACTTATTAATAATAATAGTTTCCCAATGTGTTTTCCTCATGGGAAATTACATTAAATACTTTAGTATTTTAATAATACACAGGAAATGTATATTTCTTATAAGTTTTTATTTGAACACGTATTTATCTCTAGTTCATAAGATAATCTATATATAATCCTTCATGGAATAGTACCTCCATATATCATTAAAGCAAGTAAAACAAAACCTTTTTTGGAACTGAAGAAACTGAAAACTTAAGTAGGTACCTACTCCTGCTGAGCTAATGCCATCCTTCTTGACTTTTTAAACAATTATACTTTATTATACGTCCTGCAAATTTTCCTATCGTCACACAGATTATATTTAGCGAAACATGACTAATTACATAGACTTTAAAAATGGTGAATGGATAAATAAAAAGACATCAATCAAAAATGCGGCTCCACACAAAAAAAACGTCATAATTTTCCAGATATATCATCAAGATTATGATCCATAAAGAAGTAAATGGGAACATATGTGCGTATGTAGAAGTTTATAACGTTTTTTAAGTTGAGTGTCGTATATATAACTAGTGGAAAATTCCACTCACAGGGCCGTCTCTGAGATGTTGCAAATTACTTTTAATTCGCCAAAACACATTGTATTGCTTTTTACTTAAAATAAAGTCAACAGAAGTATACTTGAACTTCACTGGAGACGTTTTATATACAAAAATAATTGATATTTATTATTTTTCGCCTTATACTTCACGTTAGGTACTCAAATATTTACGAATATAAAATGTTTTATGGTTTAATAGATTACATTTTATGAAATTATATTACAAAATATTGTTAACTAGGAACTGATATCATCATCATTTATTTGGATGTAATTTCTCTCAAAATTTTGCTTTCTAAGAAATGTATATTACTCGGTCTTCTTCTAGCTTTCATTTCAGCCCATCTACCTACTAATTACTACTACATGACTTTCGCAGTTCTAAAAGACGATTTATTTGCTATATTTAAAGAAAACAGACTTAAATATTATTAGACACATATAAAATGTTTATACCTTTTACATACCTACTATATATACTGAGTAACTAGTTACAAACCAGAAAAAAAATTGTCCAACTATAATACCCACAGTAATTATTAAAATTTAAATCGATAGTGCATGAACATATTACTTATTCATTAGTTGACTTTGAAATGTTATATATGGATTTAAAAAATATTATACGTCCTATATTACTTCAGGACAATTACACAATTTAAAATCAACTTAAAATTATGTAGCAAAATGTTTATTTTAGTTCAGTCCGCTATATTTATTACCAAAAAAGGCATTAAATAAAAATAATGAAACATTTTCCATATTTCTCAAATTAAAATTCGTTTTATTGATTTTCATCGATAAAAAATAATATACTTACATAAATTTTAGACAGCTGACAAAGCACATGTAGATACATCATTAGGTCTTTAGGAAACGTGCCATGAGGCACGTGTACAAGAACTACAGTTGCAGAACCAAAAAGTATATATTTCTCTTAAGAATTTATTGATATTCATAATATTAGTTTAACCATAACAGTTAATTTCAATATTTAGAGTTACAAATAATTCATGACATTTAACCCTTTGAAGTTTAAATTTTCTCACAAATAATATACATTACCTATATTAATATAATTAATTTCATAATAATCGGGGATAATATTTAATTTTTTCTGATTGACATGCTTCAAGTTTTATATGCATCAATTTTGCAAGTAATTTTGTTTTCAATCACAAATTAATAAAAAATGTTAATACACTGTTTTGACTTTGCTCGTAAATTTATTCTACCGCTGTTTAAAGTGATTATTCTTTATTGGTCTTGAATAGCAATTGAATTGAAATTAATCTGAAATAAAATTAATATATTTGAGATCATGATTACGAATTTTAAACGTACATTATTTCACCCTTATATATATGTAGGGTGTGAATATAAAATAAAATAAGCCAAGGAGAATATTGCAATAAAATTGTCGAAATAAATGTTTTCATTTGAATTTAATAAATCTCTTGAAAGAGTCTCTTGAAAAAATTAAAAAAAGTTTAGACAACAAATAAGTATAAAATTAGTAGGTAGCCGCAAATGTTTATTTTATTAACAAAATTACCTGATTAAAAACTAAAGTCAAATATTTAATTAAGAAATAAAAATGGCTATTGCCTCTAACACCAATGGGGTTGTCGTGTAAAGTTTGATTTAAACAAAGTCAAATATCTAGCAAGATTTTTTCAAACAGAATATGCGCAGGTATATTTTACCTCTATATAACTACGAGATCGCTGATTCTTGCTTCATTCGAAAAGTAACTACCAGACAGTGGTGTCTGGAATATCATTTGTCTCAGATAATAACAATAAGTAACTAAAAACCAAAACAAGCCGGTGTTTGTTATTTTGTAATTAATTTACTTAATTCAAAAAAAGTCTTTGTATGGAACTTTGTGATTTTTAATGAAAAACCTGTGATTATGACCAAAACTGATAAGGAACAATATTATAGGATACCAACTACTGGTCATCAGCACCCAAAACATCCTAGTTGGGCCACAGTATTATTACAACAATGGGGTACAAGGCAATGGGTGAGTATTTTTTTTTAATTTAAAATATTTACTAGTTTTAGTAACTCTAGCAACAAATTTGAACTTTATTGGCAAAATAAATACAGTACACTTTCCGTTAGAATTAACTTTTTTGTTCCGTATTCCGATACACAATGTCATTTCCTTATTATTAAATGTAAATAGATAATTTAATCTATTTATAACATAATTGAAATTTAAATTAGTTATATATAGAAAAAAACGACGCACTCTAGTGGCAGTATCATTGACTGATTTCAATTAAGCAAGTGTAGACTTCTAGTTATCAAATTTTAGCGAGCTAAAAATCCAATAAAAATAAAAAATAAATACATCAAATACAATTAAGAAAGAAAATCAATTAACGCTGAGCGAGTATTGAAGAAATGTCATTTCGAATTTCTCGAATATTCGATTTGGCTGCCAGCTGTTCCGCGCATGGAACAATCGCTTTCATAGTTAAGGATGGAGCTAGTGGCTACAAAATTAGAGAGACCTTTTTTATGACCAACTTATCGTATTTCCAAAAATTGCTACATCATATTTTAGCACTTTTAGCAGTCGATTTTTGGCCTCTCACATAACCAAATCGTTTAGAGGTTAATCAGATTGTAAAATGACTTTTTCGATTAGTTCACATAATATAAATATCCATTTTAACTATACAAAATTGCAGCAAACATATAATTCGTTATAGTATAATGGAAATATGGGCAATTTTAATCATAGCTAAATATATTGATCAATATTGTTTAGGAACAAATCGTGAGTATTAATAAAGGAATATTATTTTAATACCTGCAAAATTCTTTAATCTATATTTCCCACTGCTTTTTACAACATATTGTTAAGTGATCTTAAATTTCAGTGTAATTTTATTTTTTTGACTATATATACTTATATAATATTCGTCCCATATGATGAAAAAAAAAACTAAAAAAAATGATGCCACATCTGTCACCTAAATCAATTAAAATTATATTTTGCTTAAAAATTCTCTATCTTTACTAATCAATGTTTATTTTATTTTATTACAAACAACAATTAAATTAAACTGGACTGACCAGACATTTTTTGTAATTGCAAAAGATATAGAAAAAATAAACAAAAATATTTATTGTTTGTCTTATATAACAATTTCACATGCAATTTCAAAAATTATCAAAGACACCATTAATCAGGAAATGTGTCATTCAATTAGAAATTTTTTAATGGAATGAATAAACAGAATTTTAATTAATGTAATTAATACATCGAAAATTTTAAGATAAAAATATGCCATAATAATAACACTTTTAATTGAGATTTCAAAAAATCCCGTTATAAACAAATGTGCTGAATGATAAATAATTATTATTAATAACGGCAATAAATACTAATAACTAATTATGTTTTCGTCGTCATGTCAAGCAAAAAATTGAAGTACCTATATCTTTGTGTAATATAAAAAAATCATAATAAAAAAATCATACTTTTTTCAAAAAATAGGGCTAATATACAAATGTGCTGAATGATAAATAATTATTATTAATAACGGCAATAAATACTAATAACTAATTATGTTTTCGTCGTCATGTCAAGCAAAAAATTGAAGTACCTATATCTTTGTGTAATATAAAAAAATCATAATAAAAAAATCATACTTTTTTCAAAAAATAGGGCTTAATAAGAAAGAGTTGAGCTAAATTTGATTTAATGGCGAATGCGCCAGTATTCCAATTATTTTTATCATGACTTGAATTTTTATGAATGTAATTTTAATTTTTCATGATTGAAAATATATTTTTTGTTGTTTGTGTAATTTTTTATTCAGTTATTGAGTAAAGATGATACGTATATGATTTTTGATATTTTTTTTTTCAAAAAATGGGATTATTTCAATACGTCCCCTTTAAAATAATTTTTTTATGTAAAACTTTGCAAAAAATATTTCTGCCATTTTCTTATCATTGAAATCTCTGCCCTCTCCTCATCTGGCTGATTAAGTTATGATAGAGTTACTGTAATAAATAATGATTAAGTTAGTACATGCATAACTACTATAGATAAGAAAATTTGCATAAACTCTAATCAGATATAATCATATGATTTAGGATTAAAACCTACTTTGTTTTATGGTGTAAGATTATATGAAACTCACGAAGATAGTACTAATTATTAAATGTCGATAGATTTTTTATACTGTAAGTATTACATTACGGATTTACAGGTATATGTACAACAGTACAACCCATTCAAATTAAAAAAAAAACACATTTCACGTAACATGTAAATATTTAGTATTTTTAAATAATTCATTAACCCCCTTTTTACGAGTTGCTACTGATATGAGTAGAGATTCTTAAAATATTATTAAAAATGTGATAACATTAAAATTTGGTTCTAAAAAATTCCTGAGAGATACATTTTAATTATTGTGGCAAGGACATACACATTTGTTATTATATAATATTAAATTTTGAATTTTTTACATCACTTATTTCGATTCATAAGACTTCTTTAATATTTTTTTAAATTATTCCTAATTCATTTGGGGAAATAATTTACTCTCTTTATAATATGAATCTTACATACTTGGTATTAGCATCAAAATATATAAGGAAACATTAAAGCAAAATAATATATTATTTGATAATTTTTATTTGTTCATACAGCATTAAAAAATACAGTGGTTCAAAAAATTCTGAGTAAATAGATTCTCAGATACCTTAAATGTGAATTATTTTCTATTTAAGTGCTATATTTAATAATAACAATAATAAATTAAATAAAATTGTATTATTTAATTGAAAAAATATTATTACGAAAAATATATTGGTTTAAATCTATCTAAAACTTAATTCTTGTTAATATTATTATGGCTTGAGGCCGAACCAGACTTACTTACATTAAAAATCATATTCCTATATCCAAATAAGTATTTTATCAGATAAAACTTTAAGCGAAAAAATCACTGTATGTTTGTACTCCATAGGCGTAGATATTTTACGTAATAAAGAAAAATACAAACAAATATATAATTAAAAAAATGTGATGGTAATAATACTTAGCCACAATATTTTTATTTTTAGCTGCTTAGATTTATGAACTAGCGTATACTCACAGAAGTTTAGAACCAAGATCATCGATAGATTAATTTAGGTAGGGTAGATGTATGATAATATGCACTTTGTATAACCAGAAAAAAAGGTTTCTATAGCAGGCTTGACTTTCTCCACATCCACTCCCGTATAAATAAATATCTTTCAGTCACCTTTTATAGAAATAAAGACTTAATGTTAATGATTTTTACCTAAAAAAAATCAAAACTTTTTATTTCCCACATGTTCATCTCCCTAAATTGGATTAAAGGGTAATCCTAAAATGCTGCCATGTCTGATAAAACTTAGTATATGTATATTTGTATATTTTACCATCTGCATAATATCATTAATTCTGGAATTAACACATTATTTATTTATTATGTTATTATAATCAACAAAGTTATCTTATTTTAAGTTATGCTGATATTTTACACTTATTAGGGCAATTTAATTTATGGGTAAAATATAGGATTTTTGTTAAATCATGAGATAAATTTTTGAACAATTGGCAACATAGTCCTTAGCACATTATTCCATTAGATATCGGTAGTTCTCAAAATTTTCTAAACTTTAGCTATAATTCGAATATTTTCATTATATTTCAAATGGCAGAAAATATATTTTGTTTATTGCTTACTATAAACATAGATAGGCACTTTACATGCATCACTTACTATTTTAGATCACGTTATTTATATTAGAATATTTTTCGCGCTTTTAGTGGTTTATGAACAAATATTATTGTTTTGCATTATATTTTCATTTTGAAAATGTGAAAAAATATACTCATACATAAATAGACATAGAAGTTTCCGAAACATAAGAATATCAGTTCCTTCAAAAAACGCTGGTAAAGAAAAAAATCATAAATAAATATAAAATAGTTTTATTATACTGAAAGATATTTATTTGACCCTATGTATGTTAGCTTTTGATGTTTTCAGTGTACATGTCTGTATCTAAACACTTTTCACGAATAAGCCAATAGGTTTGTACAACTGGTATTATTGCTAGGATGACGCGGTTCCAATAACTAATGTAGCTTGAACTAGACCAAGCTAGAATGTCCCTTTTTTTAATTGCGAAACATACACTTGCATTTTGCTTGATAACAGACCTGAATTTGACGTAAACCTAGTATAGTTATCTTCACGTACTGGACAAACGGATTTATTATACATTATGCTGTTGCTTGACCTAGGGTCATTCTTTTATCAGTATTATTTTTGTTTACAGAATGGACAGCATCAGAGGCTACATGGTCAAGACAGTCCGTGTATTTCTACTTGCACCACAGCTACGAATCTGTCCTCACTTGGAGATTTTCAGTCAAATTCTACAATCAACAATTCGCGCAGAATGAACTTGGAAGAAAATCTAAGGATGACAATACCTGAAATTGAACCGCTACAGAATAAGGAGAAAAATGAGGATGAGACAGATATTGTAGTAGAAATATCAACAACTAACAATTCTGTACCCTTAAGGCAGATTAAAACTCAGGTATGTTCAAAAACAATCACCATGGTGTGGTTTGAAGAAAGCCATCATTGCTATATTCTAATATTCAGCAAAAGAAATATTTCCCCATTTATCTACATACACGAGTATGCTAATTTGCTGACTTGACGGCAAATAAAGCTTCTTTCACATTCTTTGTTTTTCCATCTTTTTCTTTAGTTATTCTTGATTCCCAAAAATGTCCTTAATCAGTTTGCTCAAAATCTTCATCACTTTTTTTAAATTTAACAAAAAATATTTGAAAATTAAAATTAGGAAATCATGTTCAATATCTTAGCAGGATTTCTTAGTGATTCTAAATAGTAACTTCATAGAATAAACAGAACTATTTTTTTTTCTAGAAATTACAAGATTTTATTTATGTACAGGGTGAGTCTTAAATAAGTGCAAATATTTTCAGGGGTGGTACGTTTCGACGATTTTTTCGCGATTTTTTTTTGAAAATTTCGAATTTTTTAAAAAAAAATTGGAGGTTTTTTTAATTTTTAGTTAAAAAATATAATATCTTAATGGTAACATAAGTAGTAGATTAGATTTACAAGAGAGAAAACCCAGAAAAGATCCAGTGGTTCTCAAAATTTTAGCGAAAAATCATATTTTTTAAATTTTCAAAGTAAAATAACTCTGTTATTTTGGACTTATTTGAAAACCGGTAAAGAGAAAATATCCAAAGATACATCAGACTCACCCTGCATAAGAAGTTGTCTTCTCATTTTCTTTGTTGAAGGGATAATTCAATTTTGACCCAACATTTGAGCAGATACCTGGCACAATTTTCATGCAGTTAATGTGTTTGGCTACTTCGACTACGTTTTTGTTTTATTTTCTACCTTTCTGGTAGACGGTGGTACATTGTAGGTAGTCAATTCTAGAATTAAGTTTCTTTTAAATTAAACTATACGTTTCTCTAGCTGATGATTTTTGACAAATTTATTATTAAGATAGAAGATAATTATATTTTTCGAAATACTTACTTTTTAATATTTATTTCTAATGAAATACGTAAAGCTTAGGCATATTTCAAGCAACTAGGAATTGAATAGGAAAAATGTCCATAGAAAAAATTTTCTTTTCTAGCACTTTATAAACACGTTTGATAAGTTTGGCGTTTATCAGTATTTTGTCAATATTTGCCATAATATATCGATGGAAAAATACCTATCACCGTTATGTTATAGTTACTTATATATTTTGGGAGCACATTATAATACCGTATGATCGTGGAAACTGAACAGCTCATGTAATCGTTCGGATTTTAACTTTATACTGTTTTGTTGTCGCTCGTTCGAAATTCTCTTTGACACTGACAATTATTGACCGTGGTTTAATTCATATCAAATATTAAAATCATTATTAAATAATTAAATTAGAATAAACATATATTTTGCACTTTTTTGTTGCTTGTTCTGATTGACAATAGCAATTATTGGTCATAGTGCCGGTAATTAAAAAATAATAAAAAATATATTTAAAGAACCTTATTTTTGTTTGCAAATTTTCTAATTTCTTTGTGATCTTCAACAACAAAACAGAGCGAAATGGCTTGTTTAATTTATTTTTTAGTGTCATACGATATTATTGGACAATCAAATGAGGCGACTCTTATTAGCTGTAAAAATATAAATATTTTTGTTATGTAAAATCAATATTGATATAAGCAAATTGTTTACTTTGTTTTATATTAAATTATCATCGAAATTGGCAATATAAAATAACTTGACAATGAAACTAATAAGGTAAACTATATTTATAAATTTGTGATATTTATTTGTGATTTTATGACAAAATAGAATAATAGAACAAACACCAGAAGTAATTTTGTTCTGTTTGTCCTTACAAAAGTGATTTAAGACCTTGTAATAGTAAAATAAACACACTGAAATAAGCAAAAGAGAATAAAAAAAACCTAATTAATTTGTGGAACTAGACGTCACAACTTCCTACACAAAGCGAAAGAAAAATATTCCTGAGGGTAGTATATCGGAAGTCGACGAAAAGCAATGTTTTCTTATCAATCCATCAAACTATTTCTTATAATGTAACCTGAGCGTGTCGTTCGGAAAAATCAACGGCTGAATATTAATTGGGAATAATATCAACAAAATAATAAAGGTCCGACATAAATAGTATTAAAGACATTAGTGGAGGAAATTGGAAGAACAATAAGGACAAAACACAAACGTGGTACTAATATTAACAATTAAAAGACTCTAGAGGGGGGAATTGGGCATATTATAAAACGTCAGTTTAAATGACCACACGAGCCAAAGATTAATAAACGCCAATAAAAAGTTAATACACATATTGCCGTTGGAAATTGTGCTGTGTCTGTGAAAATGCGAGTTTTGGTCCGTGCCGATACTCACGTTACTTTTTCTTTACCAGAATCCGAACCAAAACCAAAATGTACTTGGTCCCAGGTGCGATATCCTAATTTTCTCAGTTTGTTGTGCTTAAAATCGTTCAAACTAACGATGTGTTTTTGTTCCAGTTACTTACTGCTATAGCCGTATCATGGGTATCCATGATCATCGGATACTGTTCAGCTTATACCTCGCCAGCATCTCTATCATTAGAGAGGGATTTCAATCTTGATCCAGGCAAGGTAAGATATCATATATTTAACTTAATCAATCTATTTTTTTCTGTTAAATTGAAAAAGGAATATATTTCAAGACCGTAAAAGTATTGCCTTTTGCATTTATATTTATCCAGCTTTAAAACTTTTTTATGTTTGGTGTTCCCAAACCTATAATAAGTAATTAAAAGTTTCTTTACAATATCGTGTGAATTTTCTAAATGTTCATAAGAAATCATGTTAATTTGATCATAAAATAACATAATTTTTGATATGCATTACTTGAATTTTCAATGAGTATCATTAAAATTTCAGTAATTTCTAATTATATTATCATATTATGAAATATTATGTTTATACACATGTAGAAAAATACATTTATATTATTAATTATAATTTAATAATTAAAGAAAGCCCTAATTGATGGGTAAGACTAAGTAATTTCATTATTTTCTTCTAATATTTTCGATGAAAATTATGTTTATTTTATGTGGACTTTTTGGACCACTCTGTATAACATGCGCATATATATATAACTTTGCGTTTCCTCTGTAAAAATAATTTTAGAGAGGAAACTTGGATATTTGAATTATTATTATTCAATAATATAAACTTTGTACTTTATATGACGACAAATCTCATATTTAATATTTCATTTTAATAAATATATTAAATTACAATCACCATTAGTTACCAAGTTATAAGTTATTGGTGAGGATAATTCAAGGCTTTAACTGAAATTTTGAATCAAACATTCGCCTTTTATAATACTTCTAATATAATTAATTAATTAATAGTAATTAAATTAATATAATAAACGTCAAAATGTTTATTACTGACATATATGTACAATTTCCGACTCAAATTCTATCGGTTATTCCAGTTTTTGCAAAAAAATTTCGTTTAGCCTCATTCAGATTAACAATAAACAATTTCTCGTTAATTTATATTTACTCTGTATATGTTACCAGATTAATAACAAGATAAAAACGCTATTTTAATTACGTCTGTACGTACCTACGCATGGGTGTATGTACTGTTTACGTTTAGGTCAACATATCAAACATTATAAAAGAACAAAAAGGAATTTTTATTAATTTATAGCTGTGATATAATTAATAGTGTCTAGCATTTCTTAGCGCCATATTAATTTAGTCAGCATACATACTAATTATACTGGGATTCAATGACTGAACAGAGCATTTTAATATAAATAACCTTCAGACCATTAGATAGAGACCAATATTTTTCGCATAATTTTCTGTTATATTTTATGTATTTTTTTTAAATCATAAAGGATTGGTCCAAAATTGTCATATTCTTTTTAGAATAGATGAATTTAGTATTTAAATTATTTAAATCAGGTAAGGTAAGCTAGTAGTTTTAGAAAAAAAAAATGGGGTAAAGAAATATATTACAGGGCCTTTACCCAACTGAACTAAATTCATCAGAATTAGTTAAATGTATCACGTAGTATTCATATTAAAAATAAATTTAATAGAGAAAAGAATGCGTATTAAGGCGCCAGTCATCAATTATTAATAATTGTAAATCTCGACCAGAATGTTTGGAAAATGCAACTGTTTTTACACTTTTAGATGATAAATGTTTTTTTCTGTATTTCAACATGTTGCTTATAGTTCTGTTGCTATCCTTATCAACGAAAAAATTGCATTTTTAATCTTAATGGTTTGACTACAGATACACATATATTACACATATTAGTTTGTGGTTTGACCTTAAAAATATATAATGTGTTTTATTTTAAATAGAACTAGGTTAATATTTATTACGTAATTTACCAATGGTTCAAAAATATTTAGTTGATAATACATACCTGTCAAAGTTCAAGCTTTACGGGCAAAATCAAGGTGCAAAGGATGAAAATTAGTGTGTGGGTGTTTTTTGACATGATAGATTCGATTTCAATATCAGTATGACTCTTACTTTTTGGGGGCACCAGTTACATATTTTTAATATATCTTTAGAGTAATAACTTTTCGTCCGTACCTGTATTACACTGCTGTGTAAAGAAATATACATTTACGTCATTTTCTACGTAAAAATGGTCTCTTGGTAAAAGTTGCTACAAGTAATGGTGCTCAAGATATTTGGAATCGCAATAGTCAATACATGTCAAAATTGACAAAAATTATAGATGTTGACTGGATGGTTGTTATTAATCTGAAATAATTAATTTAAAATATTTTTCTAGAACATTTCATTATTGGCTTAAAATAATAAAAAGTTCCCAAATTTTTCATTTCAGTCAAATATCATATTTATTTTTTATCAATAATGACATGTATTGACAGTTTCCATTCCAAATATCTGAAAAACGGTTGCTCGTAGCGATTTTTACTAAGAGACATTTTTTACGTAAAAAATTACGGAAATATATAATTTTTTCACTCATTAGTTTTATAAACTGTTTTATTAACGGTTTTTCGAAGAAAAATAAAAAGTTCCCACATTTATCATTTCAGTCAAATATCTATCTACTCAACACGTTTATTTTTTGTCAATAATGACATGTATTGACTACTTCCATTCTAAATATCTTCAGAACGGTTGCTCATAGCGATTTTTACCAAGATACATTTTTTACGTAAAAAATCACGGAAATGTATATTTCTTCACTCGGTAGTTTTATACAGGGACGGACGAAAAGTTATTACTCTTCAAATAAGTTAAGAACATGTAGGTAGCGCCCCCTACAAGTAGGAGTCATGCACCATCAGTCATTTTCATCCAATATCGACGTTAGTTCAGAAATTATTTGGAAAAACCTGAAATAAAAATGAAACTTCAACGCCCAGTCTCAAAAATGAAACATTTGGAATAAAGGAAATAAATGTATATTTTTTTACTTATTTTGATCTACAGAATATGCTGCCGAAGTTTCCCGAATACAATTCGGACCAACCTGTATATTAAATAGCATAACTTTAATTGACCCCCTTGATTCTACGTCCCTGGATCAAGTCAACATTTTAAGTGAATTTGAACTACATGGCCTCTAGGTATAAAATAGTATCAATAAAGCATATTGTTAAGAAATATGTAGGGATTATTTTTTTATTATTGTAAAAAAATATTAGGTGCCATATTCAAAACGCTCATCTAGTTTTCTTAGAAAACATAATTTTATGTTATTTTCATTTAATCATTTTTTCAGAAATTTGTACTGTTCTTATTTTAAGAAAGATTTTTAATATGTCTCTTTATTCTGTAGAGAAATTAAAAATAGTATTCTAAATATTCTAATTACTAATAATAATATGAATATACCATAGATATAGAAAGAAGTTTGGAATATACTTAGGAATTAGGAATATACGCATATTTTTTTCTCACTTTGCTTAATAAATTTGTGTGCAAACAATCCCACACATGCTGTCGTATTTACACACCGCCAAATCTGGTGTCCTTGAATATACACAGACGGGTTTAGATAAAATGAGCCCACCCTGTGTAAAGATATATTATTAAGTATGCACCTCACGCAAAGCAGTTATTTTATTTTTGGACACTGTCCAAACTCGCAATGTTCTAGAATAAATTTAATTGCTGGCTTATTATTGGGCCAAAAGCTATTGGTAGTTTTCCTGGACAACGTACATTTCTGTCAAACAAAAGCTCGGAAACTTTTTAGCGAAAACAAGAAAAAGTAAACTTTGGATTATTTAATCTTATTATAAATAAATAATTAAAACGTTCGGATCGCGATTATATAAAAGTATGGAATATTTATTAATTACTTGTACAGAATTCAGTAGACGATATTTCAGGAAACATTTTAACTTTTTATCGCATTGATATGACTAATTAAGACAGTTTAAAACAATCCAGTATATAATTGATGTCTGGGGAAATGGAGGAAGATTTTTATAAATAAGGAAAAGGTCATTATTTTGCAATAATATTGGAAACAAGAAATAAAAATAATTTTTATTTTTACTAAAATATTATTGATGTCCAGAATTATGTGCTTTACTAACTGCAACATAGTATACCGTGCATCCTCGTTGAAAACATAGAAAATCGCATGCAAATTTTGAACTGGCCAGATATTGGCTCCCCTGTTTATTTTACAGCAAAGTTGTAAAAAGTGTTTTTAAAGGTTTGCGTATGCTACATACACATGCCAAATCTGAACAATTTTGTCAAGCCGATTTTAAGTAATTTAAGAAAAACTGCATCTACTTTTTAATTAAAACTGAACAGGTAACAATGCATCCTATAATTTTGTCAATGTCAAATTGTATTTTCTAAACGTTAGGCTTTTGCCTCATTCGAACCAGTTTTAAACTACAAAAAATACATTTCGGGGACACTAACTATAGGTACTATAAACTAGTAGCATAATAGACGGCACAACCAATTACATTTGACAATGATAAAATCATAGGTTGACTAATTGCATTGTTACTTGTTCAGTTCTAATTTAAAGATAGATGCAGTCTTTCTTAAATTAGTTAAAAACGGCTTGTCCAAAATTGTTCAAATTTGGCATGTGTATTCAGCATAGGGAGACCTTTAAAATATATATTTACGACTTTGCTGTAAAATCAACAGAGGAGCCAATATTTGGACAGTTGAAAATTTGCATGGGGTTTTCTATGTTTCCAACGACGATGCATAACCCGGTATAAAAAATATAAGTAAGTTAATAATAATTTAACTATTTTCTTTCATAAATTACCTTTTACTCATGATTTTATTAGATCCTAAACCAAAAACGTCAGTGTATATCTAAATATTGCTGGTCAGAACATTTTTCAGACCTTCTATCTAATTTATTATGTTCCTATAGTTCTTCAAATTATCTATTAAATAAATCTATTTAGAGATATTAAATACCCTCAGTACATCTACCACGGTGTAAAATAAAATTACTGAAAATAGGAGAAAAACGGTTTTTTTATAAAAAAAATTATTCAAATGCGCTTTAGAATGTGTTATGACTACACCTTATTCTTGCCAAGTATTTAAGCTATTCAACTTTGGCAAATTTTGTTTTAATTTTATTTTATTTTAAGTCGTAGGTGTCGGTATATTAACTTAAAGTCAGTATTAAACATTTTGAACGTAACTTTCTTCAGTCTTAGTCATATATTTATACTTACCAATTAAAAGATTTAAGATATTTAACCAATATTACACTAGTCCTAATGATCCTCTTTAATTGCTTGGTTAATTTGTAGTTAATTAATCTTAAGACATTGTTACAATTGTTAGGATTCGGCTTATTGGTCGGATTGGTTGCATATTGAATAGAGTGGACCACATTCAAATATCTTTATGTTAAAAATCCGTTATCTAATAATTTTATCTTTGTTTCAGATCACATGGATCACCAGTTTGATGCCCTTGGGAGCATTGGCTGGAGGAATAATTGGTGGTACCTTAATAGAAAACTTAGGAAGGAAATGGACGATACTACTTACCGACTTAACATTTTTAGTCGCTTTTATTATAAACTTTTTTGCACAAAACTACATCTACATGTACATCAGTCGTGTGCTTTCTGGAGCCAGTGTGGGTATACTATCCCTGACACTGCCAGTGTACTTAGCAGAAACCGTGCAACCAGAAGTGCGAGGAACTTTGGGCCTACTACCCACAGCTTTTGGTAACATCGGAATATTATTGTGCTACTTATTTGGTACCTTCTACGAATGGCAACCGCTGGCATTAGTGGGAGTCGTTCTCGCCATACCATTTGTGATAGTATTTTGGGTGATAAGGGAAACTCCCAGGTACTTAATATCTAAGGGTAAAGAGGAAGAGACTAGGGAGGCTTTGCAATGGCTGCGTGGAAAGAATACCGACGTCAGTAAGGAGTTCCAAGAATTGAAAAAGAGCCAGCAAGAAGCAGATGACGAGGCTACCAGCTTAAAAGTCTTGTTCTCGATGCATAACTTAAAATTAATGGGCATTGTGTTAGGACTTATGGGTTTCCAACAATGGAGTGGCATTAACGCTGTTATATTCTACACAACCAAAATATTCAGAGAGTCTGGATCGTCACTAAACGAATCTGTTTCCACTACGATAGTGGGTATAGTTAACTTTATATCTACTTTCATAGCTGCTGCTCTTATTGACAAACTTGGCAGAAAAATACTCCTCTACATTTCTGCAGTATCGATGGTTTTGTCCCTGGGTGTTCTTGGAGCATATTTCTTCCTGAAAGATGTTAGCCATATAGATGTCACAGTTATAGGATTCCTACCGTTAGCCAGTTTCATAGTTTACGTATTGGGTTTCTCCCTTGGATTCGGCCCGATCCCTTGGTTGATGATGGGAGAAATCTTACCAGCCAAAATCAGAGGACCAGCTGCCTCGGTAGCCACTGCATTTAACTGGACCTGTACTTTCATAGTTACTAAAATATTCCTAATATTGGCTCAGAGTATTGGTTTCCATTTCACTTTCTGGATTTTCGGCGGTGTGGTATTCCTAGCACTGCTGTTCACGATATTCTTCGTACCAGAAACAAGGGGACAAAGCTTGGCGGATATTGAAAGGAAGCTAGCTGGTATTAAAGTGAGAAGAATGAGCTCCGTAGCTAATTTGAAACCAATGCCATCTAGTTTTTAAGTTTTTCGACTGATATGAATGAATCTCCTTAGAATTTTTCCGTATTTTAGGCTGTAGCAATAATATGTAAAAAATTAGTTCATATTGAATAATAAATACCTAAGTGATAATGTGTACATAGCAGGATTTTATTTATTATAAATATATTTTTATAGTTGTTTAAATAAATATATTTTTAAAACCTAAAACTAACAATGTTTTTTTTTCTAATACCTACTATTTTTAAGAAATCTATTTTTATTCCAATAAAAGCAATCTAACTGTATTTAAAACCTACATGTAATTAATTGTAAAAAAAGTTTGTTTATCACGTGTAGGTGTTAAATACAGGCAACTAATTGGAATATACTTGATAAAAATATATAATATGAAATGAGAAACAATGCAGAAAATTTTATTTCTTCCTAACACTAAAAAATTATAAAATCAAAAGAGTAATAGCATCCCTTTGTTCAAAAATGTCCTTAAAGATTAAATACATGGCAATCTATCCAATTCATTTATTGAAGATGCATTAAACGAATTACAATAATTGTATTATATTATTAAAATTATGATCATTAATTAACCACCGAAAATTGATTATATTTTTAATTAATAGAAATAGTCTGATAAAATATTAAAAGTATTTTACAAAACAAAACAAAGAACATTTCTTGGAATACTGCAATTTTTTTTCGGCACAACAAAATAGTTATAATAAACTTAATTTTTCTCAATATATTCGACACAGATTTCTTGGTCTGGTCAATTCATAGACGAAAATATTTATATTGGACCACAAAAATATTTTTTCAGCCTTTTTTAAAAAAAATTATTAATAATACACGAAATGTCCTGAAATCAAAACTATACGAGGTATTTACTATAGTTGGTCTGTATATACTTACTTTGCTACGGAATGTCCTGAAATCAAAACTATACTAGGTATTTACTATAGTTGGTCTGTATATACTTACTTTGCTATAAATATCGTAATTTTATACCATACCCTGTATAAATTTGTATTTATTTATGAAATTATCAAAATATATATAATAATATCTTAGGATTAGGTAAAGTGATCAGAAAGGAAGCCAAAAATGCAATAATATACAAGGTGTTCCATTTAAAAAAATCCCCATCCACTTACTTTTTTGAGCCACCTTGTATTAAGTTAAAATATTTTCCTGAAATGATGAACCTAATAAAAAATATATAAAGCTGAAAATATGATGAGCGTAATAATCCTGCAGCCGGATTCCGTACTATAAATTATATGCTGAGCTCTTATTCGTTAATAGAAAAAAATAAGTTTATTTATTGGAAAATATACCAGAAAATTTAGTCTGGGACTTATTTATATTTACAATAACTATTCTTGATAGTTATTAAAGAAGGCAACCAGTAAATATACCTAGCAAAGTATTCAAATTTAGTTGAATAGATACCTAATTTAATTGAACTAATATAGAACAACGGTATTTTAGGTAATTTAATCTCCAACATATTTTTCCATTACAATGAAATTTAATTTTACTTTACGTTTTCAATCATTGGTGTGAGCACCATTCTTTTTTAAAGCAGAATTACTCAAATCATACCGCTTCCTGAAGAAGATCTGAAACTTTACTCGGATTAATATTCATGCTGCTTATGAAAAACATTATTGGAAATAAGGAAAAGTTTTTAATTATTTTCTTTATTAACAATTGTCCGATCTCTTTGTAATTAAAAATATGCAGTTATTTTTATTGTAAATCACTAAGTTATCATAATTTATAAATTAACAGAAGATAGAACTTCAGCAGACGATAAATCAGGTCACAATAACTAAGAAGTTCACCGACTTTTCATGCTTGGTATACTCTTAACAATAAAATTATACCTTATACAGGACTAGTAAAAAATGGGAATAAAAGGAACATATTTTTACTCCTTACCGTTTTTCGAATAATTCCAAAATAACCGAGTTATTTTACTTTAAAAATTTCCAAAAAAAATGAAATGAATTTTTGCTTAAATTTTGAGATCCACTAGATCTTTTCTAGGTTTTCTTTCTTGCAAATTTAATCTACTGCCTATGTTGCCATATTATCAAGAAATTTTGTTTATCCAAAAACTGAAAAAAATCAAAATATTCATAATCGCAAAAAAACTCATAATCGTGTTTCTGGGGTCGAAATATACTACCCCTAAAAATATTTGCACTTATTTAAGACTCACTCTGTACCTGTAATTACTACATAATATAGCATGTTGAATTAACGTAGGTCTATATCTAGAATGAACACAAAATACACACAACCCAGATATAATAATTCACTTCAGCATGATGAATATGAATGCCATAACAGCCATAATTCAATTATCTTAATAAGTTTACATTAAAAAATGAAATAAAAATATCCCTTAATTCTTTTCTATTCAGATATGCTTTTAACAACACTATCTGACTTTTTTCTTTACTACATACCTGCTACATTCTCTTGTAGATTTAACTCATTATTCTATAACTAATTGGCTTAGAAGAAGAGAATCTGAATATGATCAAAATTTAGCAACATTTTTGAACTTTTTGTGTTACGGTGTTCCAATGGTATAACCACGATATGTAACTTAATAAATTTACAAAAAAAAACAGATCTATATCTTCCAATCACGTTAAGGCATGTCTTTATGTAGCTTTTAAACTTTATAGTATGCCGCCAATTATGACTCAATTAATACTGTTATTGACGATTTAGCGGACTCCTCCACAACTGCTTTATTAAGCTCAAAAAACTAACAAGCAGAAGCAACAGCAGAATTTTTTTAGCAAAGATTTAGTTTCTGTCAAAAATCAGCGATTATAAATTTAATGTAGTCAAAAACAATGCATAGTTTATAATTCTCAAGTAATCAATCCAACATATTCATTTCATGTTGTTATTGCATTGTTATTGCAAAAATGTTACTGACGCAATTGGCTCAGTGGTCCTAAATAAACTATTATCAGTATCAGTGACTCTAATAAATATGTTACTGACGTAAGTGATTCAGTGGTTGATTCAGTGGTACCAAAGAATATTATAGTTTTTGGTTTGGTTGCGGGTATTAAGATATGCTTTGGTGGTACTGAACACAATAATAGTCGTTGGCAGCATTGAAAATGACGTTGACTTACACAACTACCTCCATTTTTGTTTATTATTAAAAACATTAATATAATTGGACATGATTTAAATCAAAGATTTTGATAATATTTTTATTACTTTTTAGTACAACAGTTAGTACCAAGCGTATGTTTAATCAATACTTTAAAAAATAAATAAAAAAAATCCAAATACTCCCATCTGTGCAAATTATGCCCTTCATTGCTTATAAGAATATATAAAATAAAGAATTCCACCATAGTATTTTGAGACACTTAAAAACTCCTAATTCAAGAACTGTCTGAGGGATCTATAATATCTAATTGTTATATCAAAAAAAAACTGTTTGGTCACTTTGGGCAGGTAATATAAACCTGAAACATAAGCAAAATTAAATATAAACGAAAAATTCATTTATGTACATTTGAGTTTTAAATTTTCTCTGTTATCATAATTGTAACTAAAATGTATAGGTCAAATATATTTAAATTTCAATTTATTTTCTATTAATTCTCATCAATAATGTTGGCGCTAGACTTTAAGTAACGAAAGATTGTTCCTTAATGACCTGTCAATATGTGGTATAGAAAAATAGAAGTAAAAATAATATCAAGGTAAGTTTATAGTCACTCGATGTTTATAAAAATTCAACTAGGTAAAACAATAAGTCTTTTATTAAATAATTTCATGTGTAAAATAAAATAAATAAAAAATGCACGAGAAACATCAAGGATTTTGACACTGCTTGCAATTATCCATGATATTTTCAAATTCTTCAATCTGTAGAGTCATTTCAAAGAAATTAAATTTCTCATGAATATTTTTCGTTGCTACAACCAAAACGTTTTGAGGATTTGTCCCAGGACCTACAATTCAATAATATATAATTATCAAAACATTATCTCAGATTTAAAAAAAAACTATAAATAAATTACTACTTACTGATAGCAATATGAGCAGACATAGTTATTTTATCTAAACTCAAAGCCCATATACGTAAGTTATGTACTTTTAAGACACCCTCAATATTAAGTAGAATATTCATGACATCTTCAAAATGTATGCCTTTCGGCAATGCTTCCATCAAAACCAGTAAAGTGTCTTTTATAATAGCGAAGGTTGTTATCAAAACAAACACAGAAAATAAAAATGTCATTATTGGATCAACGATTCCCCATTGTGGCTAAAAAAAAGTATAATATAGTCATATTATACTCAAAAAAGGCTTTTGGAGGAAAGTTTTGAAGTAGTTCTAATTTCATCTATATGCTTTTGAGGGTATAGAGGTATTTTTTCTGAAAATAAATAGATTTGGGAGATACTTTTTCAATGTTCCGTCACGAAATTTTGTTAGCAAATATCAGATTCGGATTCAGCACCCCAAAAAATACAAAGAACAAAATAAATCAGAACTACCCCAAAGCTTTCCACAAAGAATACAATTTGACTAGACTAGTAGTCAAATAAATAATTAAACTCAATTTTAATAAAAACAGGGTATTATCAATTTTACAATGTTTAAAGAATGAATTTAAACAAAGCAAAGAAAATGTATGATTATTGTGTTGAATCTGAGATGGAAAACAACAAGTAGGTAGATAAAATAGTTACAATTGCAAATTTTTTGATTTAGTACCTTGAAATAAATAACAATGGCGGCTACAAACACTCCAAAACTTTGAAGAAAATCTCCCAAAACATGAATAAATGCAGCTCGCACATTTATGTTTTGTCCTTTTGTATTTGTTTTGTCATGCGAATGTCCATGTTGATGTAATGAGCATCCCATGCTAAAATACATCATAATTTTTCAAAGGAATAAAAAACATTTTTAATCTTTTCGAATATCTAAAGATATAATAAAAAAAATTAAAAAAGAGCATACATTTTTTTTAAATATGCAAAGAAAAATATTTCTGTCAATATACAGGGTGGACTTGTTGCAATTAAATTCATATTCTTGTCAAATCTATATAGGTGAGCTAAAATACTCTCTATTGCATAGTATCTACAGGCTGAATCAAAAATTGATGTATTCTTCATAGTTTTTATAACTTGATGTTCTAATAAATAATTTTTATATTCAAAGTCGATGTTAATTTGCTAATTTTAGGTTTTAGAATGTATTTAATTGATCGTATACCTAAAACTAAATACAATTTTCAACTTGTACACCTTTTTCCTATAGCTTCGTTAGTTTCCGACTTTGTATTCAAGTCAGAAAAATACTTTTTTTTAATTCTGAATAAAATGATAACCTCATTTCATTTTTCCAAGTAGGTTATCTTTCTTATTCTACTGTTTTAAGTTTATGTGATTATACAGCTTAATAAAAACGAAATCCAGAACAACTCGTACGAAAACCATTATTTTTTCTTTGTGACAGGGCGTGTAAATATAATTTGATTATGTATCTACAATGTTTGCATCTTCTATTTTTTTTACGTTAGTTGAACCACCCTGATATAGACAATACAATAATAAATTACGTACAACTCACATTATATTAACAACAACTCCAACTCCAGAAGTAATAAGCATTATGAATGCGTCTATTTCAAACTCTTTATATATAATTCTCTGAACGGCCATATAGACTAGGATTCCAGTAACAACCCAAATTAAAAGAACGGATGTCATTGCCCCTATAACTTCTGCTCGGTACCATCCAAACGACATTTGTTTTGTTTTAGGTCTATTTGCCATATATAAAGAGAACAATGAGATCATAAAACTGGCAAAATCTGTTAACAAATGTGCTGCATCTGAAGCTATAGCTAAACTATTTGATAAATATCCACCTAAAAATATTTGTTATTTATATAATTTATATATTTACTATTTTAGAATTGCACAGTGTGATCAAATAAAAACGATGTTTTAGTAAGAGTAGGAATAAAATTTCAATTCGAGCTTTGCTATAACTATTCCCGAAGTTCTTGGCAGTGAGAATAGCAGCTAAGGTCGTGAAGTATCTGAAGTGATTAATGTTAATCATTGTAACTGCAATATATTTTTGCAGATAATTTCTAAAACTTGGTTTTTGAAAATAATATAATTTGTTTTGTATATTAAAGAGAAAATATTTAATATCTTCAAATAACTTATCATTACCTATCACTGTCACAAACTTACAGGTCAAAATATAGCAAAACTAAAATTGAAATGTTATACTACGTCTAGATGACGTCGCTTTGATTCTACCACAAAATATTTCATAACTTAATAACTAGCAGGAAAAATACAGGGTTTTCAACAATTTTTTTGGCAAGAAAAAACTGAAGAGCGCCTTTCTGGGGTCGAAATCGTCCCATTGCTGCCAAAAGTCACTAACATTTTTCCGAACAACCAAATTCAATCACTAACTATGTTTTGAAGCGGAGAATCGATAGCAAAAGTCATTAACTACGATTTCTGGCTATTTATGTTTTATTTTAATACCGAATAGTTACTAGCTATAACATCTTTATGCAATGCAATTCATCTTTAGACGCATTTTTCTCGGAAGTAATAAAAAGTAAGTTAGTGACTTTTGGCAGCAATGGGACGAAATATTATACCAGATAAAATACTTGCACTTATTTCTGAGAGACCCTGTATATTTTATAAATTAGAATAACAGTGCAAATGACTAAAATTTTTATGTAACTTACCAACTATTTCAGCAATCATAAATATAACACACAAAATACTTGCAATAATCAGCTTTTTCCTAGCATTTTTATCTATTTCTGGTGCTCCTGATTTATGACAGTGTTTGTTAACTAAAAATAAATATTAAAAACTCTAAATTTGGTGGAATAAAATGTATAATTTATCTATAAAACAGAAAACATATACAGATTGTTAATTTGTTTATTACTCGCGGCAAGAGCTTTATGGTTGAAATATGGCAACCTCGGCCCGCTCGTCGAGAGACAGCTTAGCTTAGTACCCATTTGGAATGTAGGCAGTGTTGCCATATTGTTCCCCAATAAGTAACCGTCCAGTTAACAATCTGTATATCTTGTAAATATGTTTATACTAAAATAATAAACTTACATACAAGATGTATTTTTTAACACAAGTAAGAATAATCACAAGCAATTAGAAAAAGTATATTTATGATAAAAAAAAATAGTTTTAATGTGTTATTAATAAATGTTCTAAGTATTTTTGAAATATTTGTTATAATCTCTCCTCAGGTACTGAAACATATAATATAATCAAGCATCAAATGTTATTTTTTAATCTTAGAACATGAAACTAAAAAATTTTATAATATTGGAATTAAATAGGACAAAAATAATTCACAATAAAAGTTTCTCGCAGATCATAACTTGGCAAAGTTCATGGGACACAGGACACAATTTATATCCAGAACAACTTGTACATTAACACTTTAATGTATTTTGTTTTTAAAGTTAGAGCATGTACAGCGACTTGCCAGAAAAAAGATACTTTTGAATTAAAATGATAGAACAGATAACACTGTCATATATTCTCTCGTTGTTTAGACTACTGTAATAGCCTTGTTAGTAGTAATTGCTATTGACATACGTTATTTTGTATAAATAGAAATATTAGACTTTTCCAAGCATTAAAAATTGTTTAAATTATCCTGTACCTTTTATTTTTAAAAAAAGAATTTACTTTGAAATAAAAATCTTACTTAAATCTGTAGTGCTACTATTTTCTCTGGTAAAACTACTGATATTTTCAGTGATCGGCTCAACATCAATTACTTCTCCTTCTAAAACCCTACAGCAACCATCACTTGGCTTTCCATGAACACAATAAATCATTTTCTTTGGTGAAACAATGCTGTTAAGCTTATTTGAGCCATCGGTGGATCCATAATTATTCGTACTGGCCATACTGCTAAAATATTATAATACACTTACTAATTTCATTAAAGAACAAACGTGAGAATTACGTTATGTTGACTTTTTCCTCCTTATTATACATAGCTGTTGAGGTTTATGTTTGCACAGTTACACGATTTTCCGTAATTCTAAAATAAACATTTTGTTAAAATGAAAAAATAACCATTATTAATATAAATTCATTTTATTATTTCATGCACTCGATACTACAGTGAAACGTACGAATATCGCGAAGAAACCATTTCATGATAACATTGACGAATAAAAACAATTATCTGAGAATTCGGATTGTATTTACTTCACAACACAATATAGGCGGTATTTCTTTTTCTGTCACAACACCAGTACTTAATAAAATAAAGATAACATTAAATTATATGCTTTGGTACAGACATCGGTACAGGTATTCCTAGCAATTATGTACGTATATCGTCACAGTAGTTTAATAAGTTCAAACATATTTCAACAATCTGATAAGTGTTTATAGTTTTTGCACAATATTTTTTTTACACAGAATTAGGCATACATGAAATTGTTGAGTATATTTTAAAATGAAGAATGCTAAAAAGTTAAATTACTGTCTAAAAATAATATCAGTTTAATTTAAATCCCAACAGAAAAATCATATAATTAACTACAAAAATTTACTGTGCCCACTAAATCCTATATAGTACCAAGTACATTTCATGTATATATCTTTAAGATGTCTTTAAAAGGGGGGGGGGTGTTAAATATTTACTACTGCTAAAATATATATATAATGCTTGATATACATATACAGAGTATGTCAATACAGGATGTTATATTGGTCACCACTATATTTCAAATGGAACACCCTGTATTTTATGACATAAATTTATATAGTTTTAATCCAATTTTTTTTTTATTATGATTTATTAGCAATCAGAATAATTGCAAGGAAATTCTATGGGCTAATTTGATGACTTGAGGGCAATGACGCTCCAGTTAACGTGATGAGGTCTTCTCCAGCGAAAAATCCTCCTTAATATTCTTTCAAATCAGATGGCCATTGTCTTTTAAGTCTTCTTGTAATCCAAATTTATGATACTTTTTATCAAAAATCTGCCCAAAAAAAATCTGCTTAATGCGCGAAATAAACATTAAACCATTAAAAAATCTTCAATTAAGTATTCATCATCAATAAAAAAGAAATATTTTAATTCAATTATATTAAAGGCATGTTAAAGGGGCAAACACGAACTTGAGTACTACTACATTGAGTACTAATTCACTGGAGAATTTATATAGATAATTTTTTCAAAAATGATCCAATCAGATCAAGCTTCCAGAGATCAATAACCGAAATATCTCAATGTCATATCTACTAAATACTACACTGACTATCACAAAAAGATACAATGTGTGAGATCTAATTAAAAAACTGTTCCTCGCGACAAATTTTTATTAAGCTTATCAAAAAGTCTGTGACATTTCAAATGGGAAATATCGACTCACTGTGTTCAGAAGTAATTAATAGTTAAAAACAACTCTTTTCTTTATGTTTGTGTGTATTGCTGCATTGCATTAGCATTAAATTAGTAATTATACTTACCTATTTTTAAGCTGGTTTCTTTTTTAATTTAAAAGTTCTCCATGAATAATATAGTTCAAATTACAAAAATATACCTGTAAGATACAACTACTCAAAGACAAGAATTATTTTCATAACATCTTCGTTTAGATAATACATTTAAAATAAGATTTATTTACGAATGTAACAAGGCTCTTGATAACAGATCAAAAACACTTAAAGATTACTGGGTTCGCTCTAAAAACTATCAAATATGCCCAACTACTAAACAGATTTTTACTACTAAACTACCTTGTAGGAACTAAACATATATTCATAGATAGCAACTCATGAATATAATGAGTTTATATATTTACATAGACTTATTCTCTATATCTTTAAGTAAAGATACGTGTATATATCTTGAAGATAACTTAATGCTTGCTAATAAAATTTCATGTATTACTTAAAAGAACACATACAAAACTATCTGACCTCCTGCAAGATTATAGATGATGTAAATAAATAAGCAAATGAATTTTTTACCTCTATATTTTCATTTATGGCAAAGAATAATGTGAGAATATATAGGAGTAATAAAACTAAAACAGTGAGTAATATATGTATATTGACTTAATATTCTAATTACATATAGTAAGTAGTAAAATAGATTTTAGGTAATACTTTGGTAAAGATATTCTTAGTTCTATAAGCTATATTTACACAAAGTGAGAAAGTTGTGAACACAAAAAATAAGTTTGTACTTACTAGCAGACATACAAAATGAAAGAAAAGATGAATGAATATTAGCATTACTCGTGGTGAAGCTATTATAAATATGTATAATTTATTGTCTCTCAGCATAAACATTAGAATTTTGATATGCAAGTGTTACATGATATACATTATTATAAAGGTTCTAAAAATATTTTTTGAGCTTACATACCAGTCTTGACATCTTAAAATACATTTAGTTCGTGTAAATATTGGCAAAAAAGTATATTATACCTATCTATATATCACAATGACATTTTTCTATTTGCTATTATAAACTAACATTTTATTTCCATTAGTTAACAATAAATAACATACAAAAAGCGCCTCGAAATATAAAAAATTATAATTAATAAAGCTAATAATTACAGGTTCCATCAAACAATATACAAAACATATTTGTACAGAATTGTTACCCCTACATTACTTTTACTGACACCCATTACCAAAATATAAGTTAATTTAAAATCTCATGGTATTAAATCAGCTAACAGAGTATACCAAGGATACTTAAAACTGTCTGCTGATATTATTACCAATTAAATTTTAAATTGTTTTTAGAGTTTGGGACCTCCAATATATATCAAAAGTATCCAAACAAAAAGAGATATTACCAGTAAATAAATTTTAGTTATTTGGTCTCTCTTTTAAATCCCCATAATATTAATTATGTACTACTCATACATATAGATTTTCTTCAAAATAAATCCAAACTCAAAAATGTATATTTTGATACCACTACATCAATTTTTTAATTTGTATGTCAAGTATAGGAAATATACTATGATAAAAAAAACGGCGTCAGCGAAGGCTATGAAATCCAGATCGCTGTCATTTTATATGTAAAATTTATGCCAACTGGACGCCGTTTTTTTTTCGATCATACGGTATATTTGTAATGTCAGCAAAATACCCAGGTTAGAGAACAAAACATGTACTAGACTTCAACATCCATTACAAACATATAATGTCGTTCCTAATATCAGAAAAGTTAAAAAAAATCAAACTTCAATAACAGTATTTCTATTTTTTAACTTGAGCAGTTGAGGAAATCAATAGGGGAAGTTGGTATGATTTTATCAGATTGTATTAACAGCGATAAAAAATTAAATGATTATGAACACTTAGACGGTCATAAATCTTATAGCTTTTTTTGTTTCTTAATTTTGTAAATTAAAAAATATCTATTCTATATTGTTATTTAAAACTGAATCCAGGATGATGAGGAACAAAAATTCGATGTAATATGTATTATAGTGGTATAACACTAAACAGCTTATTTGACAATTTAGTTTAAACATCTTTGTTGAATATATTTGACAAGAACAGTAGAAAACCAACTCAGAGTTACTTAATAATGATAATGTATGTATAAGCAGTGTTCTGTGCTGTCATTACAGTCATCTAACAACCCTATTGATAAAAATAAATGATATAGAGATGTATAAAACTATTTCTATCAAATAAATTGTTTGGTGTAAAAGACCTCTATTAAATTAATTAATATTGCACTAAGTTTTTACATAGGTGTTTCAGTGTCAAGTGGCATACCGTTCTGTACCGTATAAGCTGGAGGTCCATTATTTAAGAAAGCCATAGATCTCATACTATTCCTGGCTGGGTTGCCTCGTTTCTGTGGAACCTGTGGAGTCGCGTGACTGTGATAAGACTTAGGAGGAGAATAATTAGCTCTGGCCCCGTGAAAATTCGAATAACTCGATCTTACAGAAGCAGGCCTGTTATTGTAAATATCGTCAAACTCTTCGTTGAGAGATGTCGTTGATTGCTGGTAAGAGGGATTAGTATGGCCCATGGGGTTCCCCCAGTTCTGGCTTGTACTGCCCATGTTATAATTGGCGTAATAATTAACGGTAGGCGACTCTATAGGAGATTGGCTGGTGTTGCTCTCGTATGCCTGACATTTTTGCTGCTGTTCCAAAAGCTTAGTAACAGGGTTCTGCATTCTTCGCGAGCTCCTTACGGACGATCTATTGTGCGACTGTCTTCTGCTGTTGGTGCTGTGTCTACCCGAAGTCCCTCTTTGCATGACGCTGCGTCTTTTCACTCGTCTAGGCGTCATTGGCTTGGGTGAGGACGGTACATGGTCAAATTCGTTATCGCTCTCTCCATGTCGATTGTCCAAATGAGAACTAAACTCTATAGAGTACAATGACGTGCGCTGCTTTGAGCTCTTTCTCGTCGACCTATGTGACGCTGTTGAAAATGGAAGCAATATATTGATCACCGTTTATAAATTTACGTCTAAATATGTGCACTGAATCGAAATTACTGATTATTAAAAATTATTGGTTAATCACAGATACATGCAAAATTTGCCAACTATTAATAAGAAAGCTACACAACCAAAATTACTCAACTAGAATATAAGCGTAAAAGCAGGGAAAAATAAAGAAGACCCTAATTTATGTAAAATCGCTGCCAGTACAGTTAAAACTATGAAAAAATCACTGAAAACCACATCTAAGTAGGCACAAAACCCCCATTTTAGTTCTGATAGTCACTGAGAGCTAACCGTAATGGTATCCCTAAAACAAACAATACAAGAACTATATAAAATAATTGTTTAAACGTTTAGCAAAAACTTCTACACCTACTATGACGTTTTAATTCGATCATCCTGTACTTGAAACGTATACATATAAGATTTTCCTAACGTTATACTTACATATAAAAATTATGGACATCTTAAGCAAAAATTACTAAGAATATATGTAAATACCGCTAATATTTGCTCTATTTGTGAGTAATAATCTACTAACGATGGCAACATAGAGGTTTTAGTTTTTAATAATTTAGGTATTAAAGGAGCATTACTAAGAACATAAATAAATCAATAATACAAAAATGAATGTTATTTTAACTGGGCAAGCTGCTTAGTGTACCGATATTAATTATTAATATGTAAATTTAGAATCAACTTTATTCCTCGTCACCGTAATAAGCGTTAGAACAGAGAGAATAAGGTCTTTGTTTTTCATATTTGGGCGCATCGGCTAGAGCATTAATAGAGCTGCTGCGCCCTAACGGTTTTCTCACTGCGTCTGCGTAAACGCGGTTGCTTTTAGGCGCGCGCCTTTCCGACTTTTCTAAACCGTGCAAGTTGGTAAGAGCGCTTTTTTTATATTTAGAATTCGAATGCGCATGTGCTCCATCCAAACTTCCACTATAGCTCACATACATTGGATGCAACAGAAAGTTATCAGGACCGTCTGGTTTCTCGAAATTAACTGAAAAGAAAAGATACCGAGGATAGGTTAGGTTAACTAAATTAACAAACAAAGTAAACCCAATTTCCGCAAAATTCGTTATTAAAATAAAATTGAAAATAGTTCAAAACAATTAATTAAATTAAATATACACAAAATTAATAAAATTTTGTATAAAAAAAGTGTAATGTTAGTTGCATAATTGTAAGCTCTGATATCATATCTATATGTCTCTGAGTTTGAGATTAACAACTAATTGGCTTTTATACTTTAGCATTAGCCATAACAAGTATTTTATGATTAATACTTCATTATTTTTACTCTAAAAAATCGACTCTCTAGCAGTATATATAATAATAATAATAAAGAATAAAATAGAGTAATAATGTTTTAGTCATAAACTGGTTTACTTTGAGTGTTACTCAAGAAGGCAATAAAATTATTTACTGAAAAGTGAAAATAAAATGAGAATATGAGGATTTTCTTCATGCAAGTAGAACTAGGCATAAAATATAAGGGATAGATCATTCCCATTCACCAAACTTACCAAATAGATTTTGGATCAAATCCACCAATGAAATCAACTGCAAGCATATTTTTACCTTTTAAACTTATTAGATATTAGATCACCTAAAAATACTTCTGCAAATTTAAACCAAAACTTTCAAAAACAATCTAAAACACATAAAACAAATATTTTCTTTGATTTAGTTTTACTATTGCCATTGTAAGTTTTGCAGAAGAATTCTTATCTACTTATTGCCATCTATTGCATGGAATATGTTGCCTTCCTAGCTTGTTAATAGAATGATGTGTGATTCCCTACTAGTAAAATATAATTTATACACTTACAGGTGTCATCTTCTTCCAAAAAAATACGACTTAGACATGTTCCAACAATACAATTAAACACCTGTAACAGAAATATTTTTGTAATTCTTAGTATAACTTAACTATTTAATTTTTCATGTTTCATATAAATGAGAGCAAACAGAGCCTTCCAGCTTGTCCTTAAAATTCATATTTATAGTTTTAATATATAAAAAGCTACTTACAGCCAAAAAAACTTGTAAACTTGATTGAAAAACTTCCACATAAACATAGTCAAATAAGCATCCTTCGTACTTGGAGTCGTCAACATTCACCAATTTACATCCTGGTGCCTGTTTTTTCCACCAGCTGTCACTTTTTTCGTCTAACTTAAGAATAATATTTTTCTAAAGAAAAAGAAAAAAAAAATTATTTTATTGTCTTAATATTTTTTCCACAACAAACACAAAACACAAAAGAATTACCAAAGGTTTTTCTAAATGAGTCACTGATTTATTAGTGCATCATTAGATTTACCTTTAATTATGTATACAGATAATTTATCTAAAAATACTTACTCCATGATCAAGTCCTGCTACATTTAAATACAAACAAATTAAAAAAACATTCCATGCTATCCAAAGCAAATGCCATAGGAGATACTAAAATGAAACTTAAGTATACAATTTGTTTTAATAAAATTACTATAGCAATGAACTTACAGTGATTAGATATTTTGGTCTGTACTGGTACACACCAAAAAATCCAAAAATCACAAAAATTATTTGAAAGAAGTTAACTAGTATTGGTATCCATAGGAATCCAAGAAAATCGAACACCTGCCTTTCAATAACACAAATCTAGAAAAATTAAAGCATATTAAATTTTATATTTTTCAAATAAATACCTAGTTTGTATAAAATGTGTACTTGATTCCTTATTTTTGAGACAATCTAAAGCAGAGATGGCTAAATGAAGAACGAATTTGATAATAATAATAGATACTTAATTATTTCTTAAGATGACTAATTGCAAAAATTTTCTCATTAAAATGTAGTAGCAACTAATTAAAACAAGTTTTTGAAAATCAAGTATCTAGATACAGGCAGACAAAATATATAAAATATTTGTCATTTGATACATCTATGCCTATAAAAAATGTATCTTTAGATCTTATCAATTAAAATACTTACTATCTGAATTAAGCAAAATGTAAGAAACAAGTGTCGTCTTGTGCAAAATCCCATGGCATAAGGGCATTTATTATCCTTGATTGAAATTGAATAATTCAAAAGCTAGAATGCCATTCCATACCATTTTTAGCAATATGTTACGTTTCTACAGTTCGTCTCACACTTGTTAAAATTCCAACACATTGTTTTAATGGGTTTTAAATGGAACAAAAAAAATTAAAGTCCACCTTTGTGTACCTTTTTTCTCACTCTCACTTCCCTCTTCCCCTACCAATTCTCCTCAACCCTTCTTAAACAAAAACTACTTGTCAGAGATTACTTAGAACTGTCAAAATAATTTAGCACCTGTCAAACCTGTAGGCAGTCCTAGACGCGCGAAATTCGAATAGAAAAATATACTGTAGCACGAGGCCGCATAAAATTAAGAAATTCTTGAAAAAATAACACAAAGAATATAAAGAAACAACCATAAGCATCATAAATTAACTCCTCTAAAAACATCAATGTTTAAATTGAAAAGAACAGCCGCTATTTAAGGATAAAAATTTGACATTGACAGGAGTAATTAACAGGTGTATGAAAGGGATAAAGATAGAAGCTGAAGAAGGGCTGAAAAGCAGAAGATTATTTTAATCTCATGACACAGTAAATTTGTTGTGTTAAGAGAGAGTGCGCTACTTTACAAATTTAAGATCTTATTTCTAGATCTAGAATCAATACTTAAAAATATAATAATAATTTATGCAACCAGTAATACATATATACAAGAGCAGCAGTACATTGTTTATTTAACTGTTAGTAAGATGTTAGTAACATATATTTCTATAAATTCTAATTTCTACTTGTTTCTAACATATTATACATATAATGAATAGCTAAAGCTATTTGTATAATACCGTATGATCGAAAAAAACGGCGTCCAGTTGGCTGGGAAATGACGATCGATGGCATTTCCCATATAAATTTACATATAAAATGACTTCGATCTTCATTTCATAGCCGTCGCCAGAGATAACTACGAGATGCCCAAGTCAATGTGTATAACTGGTTCTCTAATAGCTATATATAAAAATCCAATGACGGATCCGTTGAATCTGGAGATAGTTGGCGCTGCGATCGGCGCTAAGCGATTCAAAAAGCGCGCCTTTATTTGAATTTAAATATTTTTATATATATATTATAATTACCAAATAAAAACTAATATAAGAATTAAATTATTTATTAAGAGATAAAAAAATAATATTTTCAAATATGTTACAATAAAATGATAATTTTAAATAAACATAATAATAAATAAATGGTACAAGGAAATAAAACAAACATTTGAGATACAAATGTTGCAGTAAAAAAACAGTAAAAAATGGAATATCCGCCTTTTTTCATATGAAAAAACCATGACATCAGGGAAAAAGCTTTACGTGCCATATGCTTAACGCACGTTAGGGTCCACGTGGAAACACAAACATTCAGCACGGCGAAACAACGTGGCCGCATCCGAAACTCCTTCCAAAGAAAACTTTTCAATACATTGACAAATTTTTATCCTGTGTCCATCCTTGAAAAAAAAAGTATTATTAGATGTGAATGAATTAGGGTTTCCATACATCCGGATTTGGCATGTTTTAGTTTTTATGGTGTCTGGGGTATTATGCGATTAAACTGTTTCACAAAATTATTTAGTTTTTATGATCAGATTTACCGTACTTTCTTTCAATTTCCGATTGGATTACCCTTAAAATCGATCGGACACCTTAAAAATTAAAAAGAACATTCTTTCTAAGGTTTCCATGTTTAGGTTTTTAAGGTGTTTATTAGGTGCATACCTAATTATAGTAAAATAAAATATATTCCTTAAAGTCTTAAAAAAATTGAAAATTAAAAGGGTTACAAAATATGTATTTCTTCTTTATGTATGTATATGCTAGAAGAGCTAGAAGAATGTCAGACTGTACTAATAAAAATTACACATAATTAATTGCAGTATGCCATATATGAATTCTCGTATAAGACCATATGAGGAATACATTTTTTTATTTGAAAGTGGAAGACAAAGACATATTATGAAATAAAATATCTTCTTTAATTAATATTATATTTAATGTTGAAATTTTGTACAAAAAATCAACATTAAATAAAGACAATGAAACTTGAAACTAATAGATGTTTTATTTCAGCATATTAATTTGTTGTTTATTGAAATTACTGGGATATATTACCCCATGTCATTTTCCTTAGGAGTGCATATTCCTTTTCAATACTATCCTACAATTGCTTCTTGGTCATGTTGCTCTAAAAACTGAAGAGTGTATATTTGTTTGATGACATATGTTTATGTTAACCCTGATGGTGCTGCAATTTGTTTTAGAACATAGTTCACCTAGAAAATATAATACTGGTTATGTCATTTTTTTATGTAATTGTGATATGTTTTGATCTGTAATGTGTTCTGTAATGTGAGCTGTTTTCATGACAAATTAAAAATTTATTCCTGTTGGTTTAATATATAAACAAACATAAACATTGAAAATTTGAAATTTTTAGTTTGATAGTTGTTAATGTTGACTAAATATCATATTAAAAGAAAATAACCATCTATTAAGAATACCGATATTTTATATGCTACACCAAGGATATTTTTATACTTAAATACTTCTATTAGTACTTCTTGAAAAAATATTATAATCTACGTCCTACATCCAATCTAAGTCCAATGAAAAATATCGAATTTTGGATTGTAGCATTATTTCAGAGAATCATAGTGCGTTGGAACAGATGGTTGTATGAACATCAGCATTTTCTACAATACTAAATATAATAGATTTATTTGGTATTTTAGTATTTGAGATTAATTCTATAAAATTTATTGTTCGTTCTTATAAATGTTGGTTTAATTAATTCACGGTTATTCAGCTCATTAGACACGGAGTAATGTACTGTAGCCAAACGATTAGATTTTTACAAATTGTAAGTTTTGGATTTGTTGTAGGACTATTTATAATTATTTGCAACAAGTACTACAGTGTCCCAAATAAATAAAAATATCAAACACTAGTTAAGTAGATGTAAAAGAGGACTAATTAATATGATCTCAGTATTCGAACTACATACATTAATTGACTATTTGCGTTGATTAATAATTGCTCCAGTACTAAAAAAAACTGAATTTTGTATGTGTATTAGACAATGTGGTAAAAGTAACACCTAAATTTTATGTCATTTTTTGATAAATGCTTATTTATAATAACAGAGACGTTCATATTCATAACTTTTTAATATATTGATTTCTGATTCAAATCTACATTTATTTATAATAATTTATTAACTAACACAATTAAATGTGATTAATTAATATTTGGGCGGAAATAATGGTGGTATATTTAATTAATGGTACACTCTTTTGCAAAGATTTAAATAGTTATCTCTTTGTAAACAAATGGGCTAGCAATATTATCGTTTTTAGCATCGGTACAGTCTAAAATGTCAATATTATAAGAAAATGCATTTTCTATGAGAATTTGAAGATATAGGTAAAACGTTATATAATACAATTAAATTGTGCATCTGATTCACGTAAAATATACAGGGTGTTCCATTTAAATTAAACAAGTTATTGCCGTTTAAAGCTAGTAATTATTTAAAATAAATTTTAATATAAAATAAAATTTTTAGACACTCTGTATAAGATAGTATTATTTTTATTATTGCAACACAAAATTTAGAAAACAGAAAAACTTCAGTACAATATTTGGTTTTAAAAACTTAAATACCCCTAGAGAAATAAAGCATTAAAATTGTTACTGCATTTTTAGGTGAGATAAACCTTAATCAAAGTTATCTTTATTTTAATTGGAGAAACTAAAAATTTCATAATATAGAGAGTGTTCCATTTAAAAAAATACAACATTGGTATTTTTTATTTATTCGGAACAATCTGTATCTTACAAAAGTACGTTTAAATTGTAGCTCTAATAGTCCTTAAACAAACCCAAATCTTTTATAATTTGGAAAAATTCAAAATCTTTGGCTACAATACTCCGTGTCGAATGAGGTGAATAACCCTGTATAGCAAGATTACACCTTCGATGGTATTAATCTGAAAGCGCTGTTAGTTCCTTACCTAATTTTTGAGTTAATATTATATTATCCTTTAAATTTATCCCACTATCTACTAGCACTTTTATTTTTCTGTTGGGTATAGACTCATAAGGTAAATAAGTATATAGATATTCTTGTGTGAATTTTCACTATCTTGAAATCACTAAAACAAAGGTAAATTAATAAATGAATTTTTTCCAATATGTGAAAACCAATATTGGAAGACAAAAAAAAATAGTTTACCAGATAGTCCGTTCTTTATGTTTTACCCTCTCTGATTGTATATTATCCTCTCTGATAGTCTTATCAGAAGTTGCAGTGAGGCTCCTTTACCCTATATTTCAGATTTTGTGACTGACATTTCCTACAAATATAGGGAATATAGGATGTAAATTATTTTATATTACGCTTTGGGATTACCTATGAATGTCGGCAGTTTTTCTACATGATACACAATGATGGTGCTTCAATTATGAAAGAACATGAAGATGATATACCACTTCTTAACCATAAGAAAAGCATGTTTTCCACAAGACAAGTGACGGATTCATCTGTCATACAGCTCTTCACCTCGTTTCCCTTTAGTAGTTTTGTTCTGTTTCTATAAAAATATCAGTTCATTCCACTTTAACTGTACCTACAAATTTTACATATTGCTTATCACCTCTATCTGCAACACGATCTTTTTATAAATACTTATAACTAAGAGATTATAAATACATGTGTAAAAGTTAATATAAACAATTACCTATTAAATTAAATATAAAATATAAAAAAATATATGTTCGAATATAACAAATTTATTTTCTAACTATTTTAAAATTGATTAGACCCGATTACTTAAAATTATTTACCAAAGTAGTAATAGGAAATATTTTATTTAAACTAGGATGTTATAAATAAAACAAAATAGTTTATATAAAGAAATAATAGAATATAAGCTTCTTTACTTACAACCATTTTTATGTTTTCTTTTTGAAAGTGAATTTTCTACACTGGTTAGTTCTTTTATAACTTGAATCACTTTTATTTTATTTTAACAGTGAATATTATTATTTTCAGGCCTATCTTCTATACACTTTCATGGTCATATATTTCTCTTGTCTAGCGAAACCTGATTATGCTGCAATGTTCAATTTTGTTATTAGTCCCATTAGAAAATAAAATACTGTATTTTTTCTCTACAAAATTACATAACATGATTTATTGTGCTGATGGAGCTGCAAAATATCAATAAATATTTTGAAATTAAAGTACCTTTGTATAAATCAAATGTGAGGACAGTTTTATACATACGTTGAATTAAAAAGAAAATGTGAATTTACAATTTTGTGATTTTTAAATGTATAGAAAAGTTAATCTTTAAAAATGGCCATATTTTAAAAAACATTGGTATTATTTGACATATAAAATATTATTTTAAAATTTAGTGTAATATTCCCTGCATATTTTATAAAAACATGGAAGTGAAACTATATAACACTTGAAAAAGAAGAAGATATGAAGAAAGATATGAAGCTAATTTACAACCCTGTATTTTAAATAACTTGAAAAAATATATACTAGAGCCTAGGGCTTAACTGCTCACCTGAATTAGTTAAATCCTGGGTAACGTTATCACAGAGTCATTCATAGAGCAGGAATAGTTATGTTTCAGTTTTATATCAACCAAATTTTACTATCATCACAAAACAACATAATTACAAAAGGCATTGTGTTATATTTTCAAAGATTCTTGTCATATTTTTGGTCTACAAATACAAAACATTATTAATTTTCTTACTCCTCAATTATTAAAATATAGCTGATCCTCAAAGAAAGTTAATATCTGACTCGAAAGTTTATAAACAGCAAATGTCCATCTACAAATAAAATTCACAAATGTGTTTTTAATATAGCATTTTTAAACAAGCTAAGCTGGCTAGCCTCAGGCAAAGAATATTGTATTTTCGTAGTAGAATTATCTTTGACTTTTTTGTCATGGCTTCTCCCATCACCGGGAGAAGAAAATTTTATCAGTTTTATTGCAATACTAAACATATGTTTATATGTACTTACTTTTCAGTATTTTTGGAAAATTATGCATTTTGGCTAAATTCTGGACTCATCTTTGTTATTTCCTCCATAGATCTATCAATACAACATTTTTCTTGAGCGAAATATAGGCCTTGTTCCCATGTTGGTCTTCAAATAAAAATTAACTAATTGCGTTGAAATTCACTAATTATTGTGGTTAATAGATACCTCTGGGTAATTCGCGCAATATATAGGATATTAGTGATCACTTAAACACACATAATATTGCTAATACAACTCAAATAATTTGGAAATTCGCAAGCGAAAAATCAAATCGACAATCGATATTTGATATGAGAATATGAGCAATGGCTGCCGCGGCGTCGCGTAGAGCGGGACTAGCGGGAGGCGGGGACTAAAACGGATGCGGAAATAAAAGCAGTAAAATATGTACCGGGTCATTTAAATTTGCGAAACAGCGCCCTCTCACTACAGATGCTAATTTTCCAAAGAAGTTTGATCTGGCCAGAGATCCGGCAGGCCTAATTCCCATATGCGCTTGATCGTCTCGTAGTTGTCTCTGCCGTCGCTGACGCCGTTTTTTTCCAATCACACGGTAGTATACACATATAACAACTTTAAGGCAACATGAGATATATCTTTAAATAAAAAATAGCTTGGATATTTAACTTTATTAACCAAACTTGATGCTACTTTGCATAAGCCATAGTAATCATTGCCTTAAAGAAGTTTCCTAAATGTATTATACCAACTTGCAATTTTCTATAGAGGTTTCCAATGCACTTTGCAATTAGACTACCTACTCCAGTCCATTTCAATTGGACTATTTAAATAAAAAGCCATTACGAGGTGGTATTTAAGTGAACATTGAGACTTTCTTAACACACCTTTTAAGGAAAATACTTAACTTAAACCAATCTTCTGTTAGCTGGAGCTTATTAGTGAAAATGAGATTAAAGAAATATTTTCATTAATTAAAATAAACAAGATAGTCGAACAATACTTTTTAAATAAAACATAACAATAATTTTTAAATTAATTAAATTATCCTACTATAATATAAATAATAGGAGATAAAATTAATACGTGTTGAATATCTTCCTCTAACAAAAATATAGCAAATGGTTACCAAAATGTAAAACCTTTATTGCTTTTACTCTTGTGCGCTCTAAATTGAAGATACACACTATTATTTTTATGGTACATTCATATAAAGCACTAATATCCTAAATAATTTATATCCAAGTAAAAGGCGTTTTAACATGTAAGTTTGCCAATTTTGGTACCCTTGAACTCAGTTGACAAAATGCCAAAATGCAGTAAAATTTAAGACTTTGAAACTCGTGTAATGCGTCCATCGGATTTTCTTTATATAAACATTATAATCTTGACTATCAATTCATAATTTTCTTAATGTCTTTCAATACTAATCAGACAGTAAAGAAAATATCAAAAAATCCAAGATATCTAAAATAATTTTCAAACTTTCAATATTTAATCACCAAAATATATAATTAAACTTTTAGTTAGAGGTAATAATAGAGGTAATATTTAAACAGGTTGTATAAAAATAAAATATAAAATAGGAAACATTATAGAAATTATAAATTAATGTTATTCTATGTTAAAACTAAATATTATAAACATAAAATTAGCAAAAATAGCTAAAAATACGAGAAATCACTAAAATGATAAAAAAAACTGAATATTCAAATATCTGCAGCCTTTTTAAAAAATAAAAATTTTGAAATCGCTTCATAACAGGAAAATATTTGTTGAACAAACATAACAATTAGTAAATGAGTAAATGTGCATTAAAAACACGATTCTAAGAACTTTTAAAGAACCCTATACATATGTAAAGACTTTGTTGGCTTCTGCACCTACTCAACATCTAAATAAAAACCTACGACTGTTTTTCCGAAAAAGAAAAATATAATTAAAATCAACGATAGGAAAAAGGCTTCTTTCAATTAATTTGGCCACGGAAGATGCGCATCTTCTACGACTATATAAATCGAGAGTTTCATCCCAAATCTCCACTTTACTTTGCTTCTTCCATCTTTGCATATCCAGTTTATCCAGAAAGAGTTTAAAGAACTCAAGTTTGCTTCTAACAATGCGTCAAATCATAGTTTTGTTACTTGCTATGGCTTTCATTGGATTTTGTTCGGCTCAAGTGAACTTTTCCCCAAACTGGGGTAAAAGAGCCCTTAATAATCCACCTGAAGAAAATGAGAATGGATGCAAGGAATCCGTCGACACTTTGCTGCTTATTTACAAGATCATTCAAGTAAGTTTTCTATATTTCCTATGTATTTTAGTTGTTTAACTTTTTTTAAAGTACTGAAAATTGAAAAAATAATATTCCCAAGAATTAAGAACTCTTAAGAAATATTATTGATTTTATTATATTATATTATTTTTATAACTTAAATAATACTTTATACATGAATATTATGTATTTTTAAAAATATTAATCTAGATAAATTCATTTTTAGTGTAATAATATATAAAGATAATATGTCAATAAAACGTGTAGCTTATAATATCGTGACATAATAAATAATTTGCCGTTTCTCTGCAATAACTGCATATAATAATATTCTATATTATAATTTCTCTTTGTTAATGTTAATAGTATATTTTATTTAGTCTATAAGCTATCTTTAATTACTTTGTATTTATATTTTGGTGCTATACTTGGCTTTACCACAAACTCATAGTCTGTGGCTATACCTACCATTATATAGGCTATACTTTATTTTAAATTGGCTAGGCAATTGAAATTAATTAATAATATCAAAATATATTAACATATTCCAAATATACAGGGTGAATCTTAAATAAATGCAAATATTTTAGGGGTAGTATATTTCGACCCCAGAAACACGTCTATGTTTTTTCGCGAAAAAAAACATTAAAAATTTGCAATTTTTTCAAGAATTTTTTTAATTTTTAATTTTTAAATTTAATTTAAGTTTAAATTAGATAAAAGAGATTAAATTTACAAGAAAGAAAACCGAGAAAAGATCCAGTGGTTCTGAAAATTTAAGCAAAAAATTTTTTTTTTTGGAAAGTAAAATATCTCGGTTATCTTGGAGTTATTTGAAAAACGGTAAAGAGAAAATATGTTTCTTTTATCGAGATCTACCAGACTACCCGCCCTGAGAATATTTGCACTTGAAGTCTCACCCTGTATATTGTGTCACGTGGAAGAAAGTTCCGATAATAAAATATAAAATATATTAATATACCAATATATTCTAAAGAATCAAAGTCATCATAAAATAAATCTTAAAGAATCATTGTCAAAATGTTTAATAATATGTCGTTTTATTTTGAATGATAAAAAATATGACGTTATTTACATGGAATTTATATAAAATAGCAAAAACAGGAGTCATATATGACCTAACAGTCGATAGACGGTCCTCAAAAAATACCAGAATCTAAATAATGATATAACTTTTTTTTGGAAATTCTTTTACAGAATGAGGCCCAGAAACTTTTGGAATGCGAAAAATTTTCCAAGTAACCACCTACATCAGACTGCTAAACTTGCCCACAGGAACTATTTATTTTTTTAAGAAAAAGAACATAAAACTATGTAATTGTGTTTAACCATCTGTATATAAATTAATAATAAAACAAGCATTGAAATTGAAAAATATTTTTGTTTATATCTCACATTATAAACCTTTATTACTTACCCTGGACATTTAGAACGTGCATATAAATCAGAATTCACATTTATAGAAAAACAAATACTTTATTGAGTATTAATTAAAAAAATAATTTATCATAACAATCTAAAAACATTAAACAGTCTCAATTTTCTTTGAGTTTCTTCATTTTAATATGAGATCCTTTATCCGTTAGAGTTCTTTTCTTACTTTCTATACCATTTTCAGCTCGAGTATTCTCACAAACCGTAACCCCTTTAAGCACGCCTCTATATGGCATGAGAACTTGTTCATCGCTGCGCAATTTCCTGTTTATATCTATGTATGGAAGTGCAGATACTAAGGAATATCCTCTTCTTACTTTCAAAATATTTTGACACAAAAGAAAACCAATAATGTGCTGTCCATCTTCTCTAGAAAATCGTGGCTTTGAAACGGAGGAATCTTGTAAACTTTTTGGGGCGGACTGAAACCAAGAGTCTAGCAATTTTTTTAACGTCCAATTTACTTCCTTCTCAGACGAAATATTCATTAGTTTAGAGATATCCTTAGCGTACGAAGTAATATCGTAAGTCTGAACGTCTTCAGACTTATTTCTACAATGATCACACATGTGGTCACAATCACTCGATCTCCAATCGTCGTCAAAATATTTTGAAATCAATTTCCGACGGCAGCTAAAATTTGTAAGTATCTTATTTTATTAAAATAAAAGCTCGGTAAAAAATAGCTCAGAAGAATCTCCAATTAAGATAATCTGATATAATAACTGTTGATTAAAAATATCTTTTGGCGCGTTTTATTAATGGATAACTGACATTTTTCGAAAACCCAATATTGTGTTTTCCTCCATTTATGAAAAATACATATATACACGTACTGTATACAGGGTGGCGCCTCTCATACGCCGCGGATGCTCCAAGGAGAACGGTAGTTTATATCGAAATGAAATTTTGGCAGCATATGTAGGTTAACTGAAAGCATATTATAAAATATATAGAATTATACAGGGTGTCCCCAAAAAAAGTTACACATCAAAGTTGTGTTTTTTCTAATGGAACACCCTATATATTAATTGATTTTCGGGTTCTAGGAAAAAAATAAAGGTAAGTTTTATTAAAGAAGCATATACCTAAAATCTAAGGATTTTGAAATATTTCACATTTTGTGAAAATGAAGAGAAAATTTTAAATTTCGATAATAGCTCCCTAAATTTTAGTTGACCTTTTATAGCCTGATATTTAATTACAGTAACCATTGTACGTTAAACCAAATTGAAATTTGTCCCGAAAAGTTATACAGGGTGAGACAAAATTAATATGGAACATAAGTCACTTTTAAAAGCGAATTACTCCTTTATTTTAAATGGAACACCCAGTATATTTTTCCGGTGTTCAATTCGGATTTTATATATCTTCAAAATATTATTAAGGTTGCCTACCCCTCAGACAAAGACTTCCCTAGATATTTTAATTTTTATGATTTTGCGTCAGTAGATCTTTATTATTTGAAAAAATCTAGGGTGGCTGTGTGATATACCTTTTGTTAATGTAACAAAAATTAAAGATTGTATAGTAAAATACTCAACGGTAATAAAAAGATAGACGTTCAAAACATATTTTAATTATTACAGAATTAAAACCAGATAAAAACCTATAACTATGTGACAAAAATTAGCTAGATGGAATCAAATGCTCAAAATGCTTCCTTTCCTGTTAACTGCATTTTATGCTTTATTGTTATCATTTTGATTATCTTTTTAAAAGGATCTTTTCATTTTAAAAAGCATAGGTGGAGTTCTATCTCGAAGAGCAGCTACAATAATTTCTCTCATGTTGTCGACAATAGTTAGTCGAGGTTTGTAAAGACTGTCTTTAACATATCCCCATAAAAAAACCCAGACTAGATAAAATCAGGAGCATTTAAGTATTCTATTAATGGTGAATGGAGTGTGCATTCACCAACTAATAGAATCAAATCAATTCTCTCTGATGTAGGATAAGTTTGCATTTTCGGCAAATTTCTGGGATTTTTTTTTTGTTTTAACTGATACAAAATGATAACTAGTTGTTAAAGTTGAATTAATTAGACAGCTATGTTGAAGTAACGTCAGATATATCACAGCCACCTAGATTTTATCAAATAATAAAGATCTACTCAGATCAAATCATGTAAATGAAAATATCTAGGAAAATCTTTGTTTGAGAGTTAGGCAACCTTAATAGTATTTTGAGGAGACATGAATTCTCCATTGAATTTCGGAATAATATACTGGGTGTTCCATTTAAAATAAAAGAGTAACATGCTTTTAAAGGTGGCCAATGTTCAATATTAATTTTGTCTCACCGTGTATAACTTTTTGGATCAATTTTTAATTTGATTTAAAGTACAATAGTTAATTTAACTACATATTAGGTTAAACCGGGTAAATTCCAATTTAGGTAGCTTATATTGTAATTTAAAATTTTTTCTTTATTTCTAGAAAATGTTAAATATGTCAAAAACCTTACATTTTAGTCATATACTTCTCTTAAAAAACTCATCTTTATTTGTCTCCAAGAATCCGAAAATCAATTAATATATAGGGTGTTCCGTTACAAAAAACACAACTTTGATATGTAACTTTTTTTGGGGACATACTGTAGAACTCTCTATATTTTTAAAAAGTGCACTGAATTAACCTACTCTTGCTCACAAAATTTCATTTCAATACAAACTGTCGTTCTCCTTGGAACCTCCGCGGCGTATGAGAGGCGCCACCCTGTACAAGGTAAAATAAAATTTTTGAAACTGACCTTGAAACATCTATACAGTAATTTAAAATATCCTTCACTGATCTTTCTTCCCTAGTGTTTTGAGTGTTTGCAAATATTTTTAGCCAATCAGCAATATTAAACATAACAATACAATCAGACTTCTTGCCATCGCGACCTGCCCTTCCACTCTCCTGATATAAACCTTCTAAAGTTTTTGGTACTGTATAATGAATAACAAATCTTACATCCGGTTTATCTATAGGGAATTTTTGTAAAATTAGTATTCCTGAAGATTATTTTTTATTTTCAAACAAAGAAACATTTTGACTCACCAATCCCCATTCCAAAAGCTATTGTTGCTACAACAGCTTGATAACTATTTTCTGTCCATCTTCTGTGAATTTTACTTTTGACAGAGCTGTCTAAATTAGCGTGATATGGACCAATATGAAATCCATAACTTCGTAAATCAGTTGCTATATCTTCACACTCTTTTTGTGTACCAGCATAGATTATGCCTGACTGATTCTTGTACTTGGTTCTGAGCAAATTTGCTATATACTCCAAACATTCAGATTTGGTAGCAGACTTAGGTACTACCTATTCATAAATATTACTTATTATTAAAATGTAAAATTGAGAAAATAAATGTTATATGTATAAATTACACAAAAAATATTTCCAATATAACTTGTATTGGTGGTTGCAAACAAACTACAACATCTCTGTATAGTAGTTGGTAGTTGATTACCTCATAATATAAATTAGGTCTATTATATGGAGCAGTTATTACTACAGAATCTGGAATCTCCAAAATTTTTTGAACATCTACAAGAACATGCGATGTCGCAGTAGCAGTTAAACCCAATATTGGAACTCCAGGAAACTGATTCTTCAGCAATGACAATGACAAATAATCTGGCCGAAAATCATGGCCCCAATTTGAACAACAGTGGACTTCATCTATAATAATTAAATAACTATTAGAAATATATATCATTAAAGTGCATCATGTTTTTACCTATAACGAATCTAGCTAAATGCCCTTGTTTGTAAATCTTAGTTAAATCTTTCATAAACATCATAGTTTTAGCAATCCATTCTGGAGTAACAAATATGATATTCAGTTTATTTTGTCTCATACGTTCTGTCACTTCTTTTTTAATCTCTCTAGGTGTGGCAGAATTTACCGTTCCTGCAGATATGCCAAATTTTTTAAGTGCCATTAACTGATCTTCAATCAATGATATGAGTGGTGATATAACAACTGAGAGATTTCCTGTTACTAAAGAAGCTAACTGATATATTAAACTTTTCCCACCACCTGTAGGCATCACCAATAACACATGTTTTTTCGATAATGTAGCATTAACGGCTCCTAGCTGATTTGGTCTGAATGTTTCAAAATGAAATATCTCTTTCAATAAGCCATGCACTTTTACTGACCATGGATAGTCCTTTTGGAGCCATTCAGAAACATCAGTTTTTTTCTTTAGACAACTCAGAGAGTATTGAAGCCTCTGTTCTTCTTTTTCTTGTCTTAATGATTTAAGTTTATTTGTTATATACAATTTCTGTTCTTCTAACTTGTTAATTTCTTGGTCTAATTCATTCTGTCTTTTCATAAAATCTAAAATAGGACACTTGCTATTACATTTATATTATATATAATAAATTATTTCTATACAAACCAGATTCCGATAACATTTTATTAACAATTTAGAAAAATTATATATTGTTTATTGGTGTCAATTTTAAAAAAGTTAGGTTGGGTTAAATTAGTAAAAGTTGGTTGTCTATGCAGTGCCTTCTATTAAAAGATCAGCCTACGGGCGAGATTTATGACGTCACGCTAGTTAGATATAACGGATTAATAAATATGTTGTAGAATACATGGAAAACATAATTATTCCTCAGATTTTTGGTTTGTATTTTAAAAATGATATAGTTTAAATGAAATATACATAATATACAGTTAATAACTACAACATATATACCTATTTATAGTAATAAATACTTTGGCAAATAAACTATGAACCATACAAATGCAGCAAATGTTTTACAATGTACAAATAATGTATAGGTACATAAGATAATGGGTAAAATGTAAATATATTTTAAATTTTGGGGTTTGAAAATCGATCTAATTTAACAAAAACATTTAATATCTACTAATAGTGATGTATTATTATTTGCATTCACAAAATTTATATGTATATTTTGCAAGTATCAATGTTCGAAAAATTATATTTACAAATAATACAATATTATCTAAAAAGGCGTCAGCGATGGCTATGAAATGAAGATCGCTGGCATTTTATATGTTAAATTATTCTAAAATTTTTGATTTTCTTGGGATTTTAGGTTCGGGAAAAACGCTGATTAAGTTTTCATTTGGGTTTTCATTATTTTTATTTGGTTTAAAAAAAAACGTTTCGGCTAACTATAGCCTTCACAGTGTTGTGTCATATGAGAAAAATAGTGTCGAATATAATCCAAAAAATTAAATATACAATATAATTCACACCTCATAATGTTTACTGCAATTAATAAACTAATATAAACTTATCAAAAGATGACCACATATTTTTAATAAATTATTATTCTTAACACTAAAATTATCTACATTGACTATGGAGTACGCAGTAAACATTATGTGCGTGGTGTGAATATTTTATATGCAATTTTTGGATTATATTCGACACTATTTTTTTCATATGACACAACACTGATGGAGGCTACAATGTTAGCCGAACCGTTTTTTTTTAAACCAAATAAAAATAATGAAAAACCAAATGAAAAATCAATCAGCGTTTTTCCCGAACCTAAATTCCAAGAAAATCAAAAAATTTAGAATATTTAGAATCAAGGTTCAAGAATATCAAATTTTCCAAGATTGTAAAATTCTAGTTAATTATTTTATGTGTACAGTTATTTAGGGAATGTCATCGATGTTCATTTCCAAGCCAACTAGACGCCGATTTTTTCGATGATACGGTATAATTCTTACGTAAAATGTAAATAACATTAGACCAATTAAAACAAAGAAATATGAATTTCTTAGTATTTTTAGTAATACCTTTATTCTTAAAACTTAATTTTGTATTATGCAAATATACCAATTTTATTGTTATTTTATTCATATTGTATTCAGCCATCACTTAAATATTTGATATTAATTTGGTATTATAAATAATCAATACTATTCATTAAAAATTACTGAACAAATATATGTTATGCTTAACATACATTATATATTATCAAACAAAAACACATTCTTCTTTTAAACTGTATCAGTCTTGTCTTTACAAAAATCTTTTTTTAAAATTTGAACTCAAAATAATAATCTTTTTCATGATCTCTAATACACATATTCTTTATTTTCCCTAGTTCATAATACCTACTTACGTGTTTGTATCTATCGAAGCTGAACCAGCAACACTTGGAGTGGAGATTCCACAATATGAATAAAATAAACATAATTGTCCAGTTTCATTAATACCATCATGGGAGAATATTATTTTTAAATTTATTAAAGATATTTTCAATAAAATTCTCTTGATTTATAACTCGTACCCACTTTTCTTGCTCTTCCGGACACTTTAGGCTGCCTAGTATAATAACTATCCTTAGTAACTATCCTTTCCACCAGGAACACAACAAAGATGAGGCATAGCACCAATAACACACTCCACTTAAGCTTTATTGATGAATTGTTAGAGTCTTAAAAAACACACACAAAAATCACGATAAGTAAAAAATGTATGGGCACTTTTAGGTTAAATCACTTGCACAACGTGTAATTTTTAAAATTTCTATTTTTTTATGCGAAACCGAGAGTGACCATATATCTGGTAGTAGTTTATGTCACTTCAACACCAAAATAATTAGTTTTTTGCACTACAATAATAAATAATACCAAAAATCAAAGAGTTAAAACCAAAAATCAACCGACAAAATATGAAACGGAATCTAACCCAATATCTAAGTGTGTACAGCTGATGAAGTAAACAAAAGTCCGCCCGCAGGCTGATCTTTTAATAGAAGGCACTGGTCTATGTTGACATTACTTGCGGAGTTGCCAGTTGTCAGGTGTGAACAGAGTGTGCGAACGATTTTGCTGCACCACCAAAAATTTGTATGTATTATCCGTATTATAAAGGTAGTTTTACAAGTTTACATTTTTTTATACTGTGATAAATATTACCAACATTGAAGTACTCTACCCCATTAGTATAAGTACCTACCTTATATTATGTGTTAATAGTACGGACAAGGGTAAAGGATTAATAAAATGTTTTATGTATATTTAAGTATATTTAATTAATCTGGCAACAGGATATACAGAATGTAAACAGAAAACAGCTGTTCAAAACATGTATGTGAATTGATAAACATAGGTTAAAATTATGTGTAGTGTTAAATAAATAAGTTTTTCCAATATAATGAAACATAAACCAAATATTGCAAGATTAATACCTATTTTGCCGTTAAAAATCAGCCATATATTCGATTACTTACTAGTTGATACCATATTCTCAAGAGACATGTCGAAGAAGAAGTCAAAAATTAAGGCACCAGTGAGTCCCAAACAAGCTGCGGTTAATCCAGATGTAATTAACTAATTTTCGATCATTTCAGCAAGTATACAAATATTTTTTTTTAGTTATTAACGTCTATAAAACCGGCATCAAACAACAGTGTCGAACTTCACATTTTAGCAAAACCTGGGTCAAAGCAGAATTGTCTCACAGGTAAATGTTATTGTATATTCTTTTTAACATAAATAATATATAATATTTGAACTTACTTGCACCGTATATTTTAATTTAAGGCATAGATAATCAAAATATACAAGTACAGGTAAATGCCCCTCCTGTTGAGGGTGCTGCAAATGCTGAATTAAAAAAGTATCTTGCATCAGTTTTAGATGTCAAACAAAGTTCTGTTCAGTTGCAGAAGGTAAGAGTAGTACATATATTTACAAGATTCCTATTTCACAGTTTTTTGTGGGTTTGGTTTCTCCACTGCTTACTGTTTAGTTTTTGGATATTATGTATGTATTATATGTGTTTCTTGTTTACAGGGTCACAAATCTAGAAATAAGGTTTTTGAAGTATCAAATATGTCAGCTGAAGATATTCAAGCAAAGCTATTAGCTCAAGTTAAAACTAACAAATAAAAAACTTTCTATTTATTGGGTAAGTTTATTTTTTTGGAAAGGAGAATAAATAAAAATTGGATTTAAAATAGTTTTATTAAACCCTTATTTCGTCGGCGAAGTCTTTACAGGCAGAGGTGGTGGTGGGACGTCTGGTATTTCAGGATTTGTTTTTAAATTGGCAACGACGGTTTTAGGGTCTGCCTCATCTTGAACCCGGTCTATAGAAACCCTGTTATTGACTGGGGCGTTTCCGTTATCTTTGGGGAGGTATTTGTCAAAATTTTCTGCATATCCTTCAGAGTTGCTTCTTTGGGAGGTCTGTTGCAGATTAGGTTGTGGAATATTGTCTACCTTTTGATTGTATGAAAAGGGCAACTGAAAAAAATATCACAAGAAAGTATTACAAGGGTATTACTAAAACAGGCAAATTCCTATGTAAAACATCTTTTAAAAAAACAATAGGATTTTTACCTATTGTATTTTTATCACCCCAACCAAATACAAAAATGTTATAGCTCGTTAAATTCAATACTCTTGTACACTAAAACTACATGATCTTATGAACCCTGGTGTCCATCACCCACATAGTGAGAGTCAAATTTGATTTATGAAATGGCAACAATAGGCCCTTGAAGAAGCCAGTTGAATTTTAGTTAAAATACAACCTCCACTCAATTGAGTTCGTTTATATTGTTCTAGACATAGATAATTTGTATATAATAATTAATATTTACTATTATATTATTAAAACATACTATAATAAAAATGTATAGTACATACTGGATATCTTGGCGATTCTTGTCCAAAATATGAAGTTTCGACTCTTCTTATTTCAGGAAATCCGGGATGAATCTAAAAAATGTATAAAATATAGTAGGTAGTAAAAAAATGTACAATGTTAATACATGTATTATATGAAAACTAACAAATATTTCAAAATATATAAATTTTCCATCATACGACGCATGCATAGCATTTTGCCGTTTGTGCGACGGTGTACGAAACACAAATCGTTTATAAAGAGAATTTAATGTCTTTTGAAGGGGGCTTCAGTCTTGGATAGGTCACCCTGTATTATAATCCAAGTGTAAACACATAATGTATTTTTTACTAAAACGGAATATGGAATATGATTAAGAACGAATCGAATTCTTTTACTGCATAAGAATCTGGAAAAATAATTAATTACTTACATATGTGAAAGGAAAGCCGGGTACGAATGGCGAATGGTAAATCAAAGTAGGAAAGGCATATCCGATAGATGTTGTTCTTAATACAGGTTCATAAACAGGTTGGGCATGACTAGGTGAAAGATTTTTTTTAGAACTAATCAGTACATTGTATATTCTTGGAGATCTGGGCTCAGCCGAAGACTGGAGATATAACAGTACGACACAAAGCAATTTTAACATTTTCCTGAAAAAAAATAATACAGTGAAAATCTATTTACATCATTAAAAATATCAGATTTCAATGAAAATATAAGTAAATAAAAATAAATGGTATCTATTAAATAGATACCGTTTATTTTTACAAACAAATTTTGTTTCAACACAGGCAAATACTAATTTGCCTAACTAACAAAAGCAGTAAAAAATTAAACACTGCGAAATTTGTACGTTCTCAAACCAATAGGAACTTTTTTTTGAAAAACAATTTTGGAACTCATTTTTCTTTCACTTGTCACAAAGGTAATGTTTTAGATAGGTACATTACTTACTGCTAATTCTGTAATGTTTAATTTATTACCACTAAGTATTAAAGTAGACTTAACAAAAATTGTTTAGATACTGTAGGCTAATTATTTGTTGTAACTAGTAAAATAGGTACCTTCATTAAAGATTGGGCAATTTTCATTCAGAATGCATTTTTAATTACTGTTTGATACTATATAACAAGTCAAATAATTAGAAAATAATTCCATCAGTGAAGTGGAAATAATACTTAAATATACAAAACACTTTGTAATAATTATTTATTATATAATATTATAATATATTATTAACACAAAAAAATATATGGAAACAAATTTGCTTTTTGTTCAGTATATACCATATATGATCAAGGCGATTTTCACTTTCACAGTTAAAAAATTCTTCATTGCGGGGACTATAGGTCTGTTCTCAGAAGAATCCCTGGCTAGTCAGCACGTTTCTCATTGGTTAAAATGCGTAGAAACCTGATTGTTAGTCTGGTTGCTACACATTTCAACCAATAAGAAACGCGCTGACTAGTCAGGAATTCTTCTGAGAACAGGGTCTATAACGCAGCAGAGTACGCGATTTGATGGATATCGGTTAGCTGTGTAAGTCGTTTGCGCAGATGCTCTTACTATGTAGTGATAGTCGAACCTGTGGTCGAATGCTCAAGTTCGTTTTCTAGGGGAGACACTGGGTTTAAGAAATATATGGGTTTAAGTTGTCCAAAATATTTTCAAGAAAAATTAAAATTAATCCAATAATAATATTTAAATTTAATAATAATAATAAATGTTTTAGTCATGTCTCATGACTAATCTTACTGTAGACTTGCCCAATAAATTCTTTCTTTTTTTTTATTAAAGTCTCCACGATAACATCCTTTGTATATATTTGCTATATTTATTAATCAAAATAAAAAAAAATATATATTTTATCTACATAGTTTTAATAAAAAATAAGAAAAAAACAATTTAATAGGCATAACATAATAAATTAAACGACAAAAATTAATTTCAAAAATAAAATAATAGTTAAATATATTTTAGCTAATTAAGAATGCTGCTTTTTTGACATTCAACAAATATTTTTTATAGTACCTACAAAGTCACGCAAGGAATATTGTTATCAAAACCCATTTATTACAGAAATTCACAATTTGATTGTATTACTTGATTAGAGAACAAACTATATAGCTTTAATAGAAACTCAATTAAAAAAGTAACCGTTCATGCAACTCAAATGAGGCAAAAGTTCTTCGACCTTCACCTTTAAAACAGAATATACAGAATTTTTTTATTGATATTCTTTCTAGCAGTGCTTCAAGTTGCTTAGAAATTATATAGGTATGTATTGTAAGTAATGATTTTGTGCAATTTGAGTATACAATAACAGTACAAAAATGTAACAACTTTTCAAAAAGTTAAAAATTCTATAACAATTATATAAATGCATATTAATATCTACATGCATAATTGCCGAAAATTCCTCTGTGTATTAAACTGCAGTCTAGGACTCCCATTATTTTTTGTATTAGAGATGTAACAAACCAAGGACAATATTTTTTAGTAAATTTCTTTTCATTCAACATCCAGAACCTTGCAGAAATAAAATCGTGTTATCAGATAGTACAAAAGATTCTGTGATTTTGACACATTATGGTAAAATAATGCTAGAGGTATGAAATAAAGTAATATTTTTTCTTCATTAAATAATACGTTACTTTTATAAAACTTACAGTTTCGTTGTTAAATTAAATGATGGGCATATAATAAAAAAATAGGAATATTACTGCATATGTAGTTTTTTCAAACTACTAATTTTCTGTTCTAATTTTAATTCCAAAAATGTTATACTTTTAACGTATATATTAAACATTTAGCCTTGCATTATTGCAGTCAAATACTCCCACTTATTTCTAATAAATTCACCAAGAAGTGAAAAGCCTGCTCAAATTATTTGAATTTAAAATTATTTTAACCCTAACGATACATTCAAAATTTAAAAAATTATTTCAATAAAAATGAAAATTTTAAAACTTTAAAAAGTAACATACTATATCAGTGTGTAAAATAGAATAAATGATAGAAATACCTTAACGAAAATGAGTCCTAGTCCATTCAAAGAAAAGCAATTTTTTGCGGTTCACTAAACTAATATAACAAGAGCACAGAATCACAAGTGGTAGAAAATAACGCCAAGGAAATATAATAGTTTACCTTGTATACATTATATTGGTGTCGAGTCACTACACTAAATAATTACCTTGATAGAAATAAGAGATCTTTATATAGATACATAAATATAAATTCTGCCTACAGTCTCCATGAAGTGATGGGCTGTTCTTTGTTATTTATAAAATATATAATATGATTATGTATATGGTGAACCATGCATATGTAAAAGAGGGTATAGCATATTTTCGACAGTTAAAATAAATAAAATCTTCAAATTTTAAAATTTAATAATTTACCACAGTTTTCTTTATACAGTTTCAGGAATTTAAAGATCATTTATAATAAATAAATAATTCTTAAATAATGCCTAAAATTCATTTAATACACATTTTTGAAGAGTACTCATAAGAACTTTAGTTATTATAGTTTTAACAATTATAGCACCTCCTATTTTTATTTTATCACTGATATTCTGCCTAAGAAGACTAGTTTCTTGATAAATGAATCCCATCATCAGGACCTCCACTTTCAAAACCTGCAAAAAATGTGGCACACAAACACAATTATTATAAAAGATTTTAATTAAGGTCTTTTATTATCCTATTAAAATTAATTATATACATGTTGACACTAGATATTAAATTATTATATTAGATGTAGATGTTACGAGTGGTAGGTATTTAATAATTGTATTAATAACAAAGGTCGATTATGTATTAATTTTATTAAAAACCTCTAAAAGCATAATATTCATCTCTCAAAGTATTGATTTATAAAAACTTATTTAGAATTAATAAATTTAATACAATTACATAGAACCTACGCTAATTATTCTTATTACAGATAATGTTTAAAATTAATGAATGAGCTGGTTATTCCAGAAAAAAAATCGATTAATATGTTGATACAAAAAATTCTTATCTTAGCAAAATAGTTGAAATAAAATCAAGTGCATGCTAAAATCCCTTCACTTTCGCTTTGTCAAAAACCTTGTTTACACTCAAGGTATTTGCAATTAAACTTATATACGAGAACATAATAATATCTATGATCTCAAATATTTGGAAATACATAATAAAAAAATTAATATACATATACTTAATAAATTATTTATTAATTAGCATTTCCGTTTGTTTTGTGAATTTTTTAAAATTTAAAAAAATGAGAGGAATCAAGAGCTACTATAACTGCACGTACTTCCCAGCTGTCACTATAACGCAGTAGATACATCCAAACGTTATATATCAAGAGATGCATCCCCAATTTGTAATCTTTTATACCTACCTATTCTTACTTAAATATAATAGATACAGAATTAAACCAGTATTTTAATGCTGACTAAGTATGTACCTATTCGAAAAATTACGTTACCTATTTGATTAAAAAAAATCTAATGTAACGGAAGAAACAATAAGAAATCTTATAATAAGATAAGCTTGACCGACCAAGGTAATATTTATTAATAACCTTTGAAATGACAAAGAAGGTAATCAGTCTATTTTAAAACCGTAAAAAAATTATTGTCCTTCAAAATAATGCATATAACACTTTGTGATTTATTACCAGGAATATTTTAAATAGTATTTGCTGTGGTATTCCCATTTTCGAATAAAACGAGCATAAAATACAGGGTGATAATTTTGAAACATTGGTTCGATATACATTAATTTCGCATAATTCGATATTTTAAATAGTATTTGCTGTGGTATTCCCATTTTCGAATAAAACGAGCATAAAATACAGGGTGATAATTTTGAAACATTGGTTCGATATACATTAATTTCGCATAACACTGTATTACAGTTAATTGGTTTAGCTTAATGCTAGTTTTATCTGTTTTATACCGGTAGTCAAAAAAAGTATACCGTTTAGATTTCCCGCCTTTCTGGAAGTTTTCCCTCAAAAAATTTATGTCCACGGTTTTTCTGTGGTAAATGTCTAAAATGTCATTTGAATTTATTCTAATCAATTGAATCAAGTTATAATCTCTCTCTCTCTCTTTAATCTTTGGTTAAATTCTTATTTCGAATTTTTCAATGTCAATAACGTGTCGGCAATTTTTATTTACGTTTTCTTCTTTGTAAAAAGTTTATTTGTATTTGTATTTATAATCAGTAATATTAGCTAAATAACGAATATACATATTGGGAATATAACGGTCCGTTCAGCTCAGTCAGAAATTCCAAACTTGAAGAGTTTATTCGGTTAATACCGTGTGTTCTGAACTTTGCATTTAAATTTGAATCTATTAGTGAAAAAAGCTATTTTTTGGTCTTTCATTCAGTAATTAGTTTTGTTAGTTTCTAGAACTTAGTTGCCTTTATATTTAATTCTTAAACTATAATTATAGGTTACATTTCAAATTTGAAAACATGGTTATTAAAAACACATTTAATTAAATCTTTGCATTTTCTTTATTTAATTTATTTTTCTATAGAATGGCTCATCACAAACTATTAGTCTTTTGCGGTCCATCTGGGTCAGGCAAGAGTACACTTGTTAATAAAATGATGCTCGAATATCCTGACAAATTTGGCTTCAGTGTTAGCCACACTACCAGAAATCCACGTCCAGGTGAACTTAATGGTAAACATTATTACTTTACCACCAAAGAAGCAATACAACAGTCTATTGATGATGGAAATTTTATAGAAACAGCAGTATTTAGTGGTAACATTTATGGTACAAGTAAAGCTGCTGTTGAAGATGTTATACATCGAGGAAAAGTATGTAAAAGGTTAGCGTAAAAGAGTTGTACTTTTATATTTGTAGGTATGTGTCTTAGATATTGATGTCCAAGGAGTAAAGCAAATTAAAAAGAGTTCATATAAGCCATGGTATGTGTTTGTTGCCCCTCCCAGTTTAGAGGAACTTGAAAATCGCTTACGTGGAAGAAACACTGAGAATGAAGAAAGTCTTCAGCAGAGACTTACAGTTGCCAATGAAGAACTTGTTTATGGTAAGATAAATATAATTATTAACTCATATGCTACACAATTTTTTTTATTAAAAATAACCATGCAGCTTATGTTTGAAGTAACAATATATATTTTTTCTATATATTATAGGAAATACACCTGGTAATTTTGACCTGATTATCATCAACAATGACTTAAATCATGCTTACAATGCTTTAAAAGGATTTCTAGTACAGAATGTACTAAAAAATTTTATTAATGGAAATTAGGATGTGTTTCTGACAGCATTTTAAACTAGTCTCTTAGAAGAGAAGCACGAGCATGTTATGCCAAATACATTCCTTTTATTTCTTTGTTAATAAAAAATCAAATTAGATTTGTTTGAAGGAATTGTTGAGTCAGTGTTTGTGCTGAAGCTGCTGCAAACTAGAAAATATCCCGAGGATATACATATACATATTTATATGTTATATATGAATGCAATTTATCTTGCCTGTGATCAGATTAATAATTTAAAATACTAAACTAATATATTTTTTAAATGTATTATAAAAACTAGCTGATTCTGCTGCATCCAGTATTAAAAAATTATAATAATATCTCTTTTTTATCCATATTTTAACTTGTCATTAGCACATAGGTAACAAAAATGCTTCATATAAATACTTAGCCTTATAGTTACTGACAACAATATGTTTGAAACAATTTCTTATATTCGGAATATTTTACAAACATTAGTCAAGTGGACCCAACAGTTCCAAAAACCCAACCTTTCTAGAAGCAATAACTGGAATTATTTATGTTAATATCATTTCAAAGATACAGCATTTATCAGATAACTAACTTGTTAACATTGTTATACATTCACTAATTTATGGCCAGAATATTATGAGATGCTCATTTAATGACTCTTTCAATTAATTTGCAATTGTTTTCTATGTGCTTGGTAACTGTAAATGTCTGTCCACCCATATTTGGAAATGTTTTTGACAGTCATTTGAGAGTATTGCTTGTTCATTAAAATAAATTTTCATATGGTATCTATACTTTTAGTTTAAAAAAAGGGAAAACTATTTAGTTCGTTATCACATTGAATAATGCATTTTATGTTATATAATATAGTGTTTATAGTTTTTAATATTAGCAATAATTAAATGCCAAGTGGTCAAAAGAGAGGTAATTTATATAGTAAATTTATAAACTTTTATAATACATATTTGCATTTTAATACTATATAGAACAATTTTTACAAAGCTGTATTGATTGATTGACAACAGGTTATTTAAGTTTCTTTTTAACTATATTTGATAAACTGGCATTTATTCACATATGGATATGTGACTTCTTTAAGAAATATATTATTAATCGCGCTTGCGTGGCTACTATCTTATGTAGGATTTAGGACTGTGTTCACTAGTTGTATGTAATTAGTATCTATGTGTAATGATAATCAATAATATACTAAAGGTAAAAAGTATCCAAAGATGGACAGTTTCAATTGCCTACGATAAGCAACCAATTTAGACTAATAATTCCTAATATATACAATTTATATTTTATTAATTTCCGCCTCTCACGTGACCCATTACCAAATAAAATATCATATACAGAAGCATTATGACAGCTTATTCAGTCAATAGGTATCCGACTTCGAGTGTATTTATTCAGACATTTTGTAATAAATATTCATCACAGATTTTTTCATTTAACATAAGCAATATTTTTCGGAACAAATTTCTTTGTGCTCTCTTCAAGCTATAGGTACTATATATATATATAGAATTTAGTAGGTAACTAGATGGTTAGTTTTAAGTATATTTTCGTATTATTGTCATGTCCTGATTATACAAATTCAATAAGACAAATGAAATTATAGGAAGTGTATTTATCTGTGTATAAGTGTATTTATCTATTACCTTAGACAATATATTTCAGATATATTAAAAAATATAAACCATCGAAATTATTAACTATATAAATCATATACAGAATATTCTTAATAGCTTATAATAAATATAGACATCACACACTATGTTTATTTGGGAAAAATATATTAATCTTCGTTTTTTTGTTTATTTCATTGTAGAATAATTGGGGCAAAACATTTTAACATCCGCTGTATACGCTTTATGCAGCAATTGACAAAATGTTAAACCCAAATTATACAATTGTCCAGGGTCGGATACAGGAATATATTTTAGAGGGGGCCTAAATAAAAAGTAATGTAGATTATGCTTTTTAGGGCGCCATTTTTAACCCAAAAGCCTAATACCTATTTACACCAATTTATAGATTATAGGGAAGGGGGCCTTGGCCCCGTGGCCACCCTTCTGTATCCGCCACTGCAATTGTCCAAATTATATCAAATAAAACATTTTGATAACCGCTGTATAAGCTTTATAAGGCATTCAAAATGTAACTCCCAAATTATTTCAAATAAAAATATATAATTAATTAAATTAAACATAATTAATTAAAATGTTTGACAAATGTTATTTAATTCTTATATGTTAATCATAAATAATTTTTAATACCTGTATCTACCTAGGCACAGAAAAATATTTTCCTTTTTTAACATTTTTTACCAAACACTTATTAGCCCTAGATCATATATTATGTACTATATAGGTATTCACAAATTTAGTTTTTAAGTCGCGTTATCTCAGATATATATGTACATATTATTAAATTAATTTAGCGTATACATTTTTTATATTTATTTATTAAACTTTATTAAGTACGTGGAATAATTTTGCCTTGTACTACAGGCCAATAAAATTGGTTCATCAATGGATATAATTTCGTTTATCCTGCTTAATTTTTAATATCTAGTTTTGAGTTGTTGATTTTTTTATGCCTTATAAGCGTATGTATATTAGGGGTATTATATATCAATTTTAAGCAATATTGCTTTTTTATTAGTAGTAATAGGGTAAGTTAAAATGTAGAATACGAATTATAATTAAAATAAAAATTAAAAATAGAATAAACTCCATAAATCTTGTTTTTTTATTATGCCCATTGCACATTATAAAACTTCTCAGATGTTTCATAGTCCAATAAAATTCAATATGTCTTAATATATTAGACTCAAAATACTAACTGGTTTGCAAGAAAAGAACCTGGATCTGTGAATATGTTTTTCTTAATGAATATCTTATATGAAAAAAATATAAGATTAAGAATTAATTTTCATTTATTTTTATAAATGTAAGAAAAACCATCACAAACTTAAACAAATGTTTACATTACATACTTGGAAAAAAAATTAAAAGTAACTGTAAAAAATACTCTTGTGAATTTATTAGAAGAAAACAACCAGAATAAAAAACAACACGACAGCTCCTTTATACTTATATTTCATACATCTTTCAATTCCTGAGGCATATCATTTTTTGGATGTTTATTTTCGAAATGTTGTTTGTAGGTTTTGGGGTCTGGCATCTGAGCCTAAAATACAAAAAAATATTAGATAGGCATACATATATTTCATGAAATGTGAAAGTAGCACATCTAGCTAAATACCATAATATAATGAAGACTTTTTTCTAACAGAATCCTCTGACATCCTTTCATTTAACAATTACAGAACTAGTATTTTACTGGGTATAATTAGAGGGCTAATGTTTCATATTTTACCTTGCAAACTGCACAAACATGTACTAAAGCTTTTTGAGCAGCCTTCTTCTGATCATTCGCGCTATGCCCTTGTTGTTTTTTCATTTTGGCAGCTTTTTCAGCTGCTTTTTGTTGGGATTGCACTTTTTGTTGTCCTCTAGCCATTTTACTAATCCCTATGAGTGGAGTTGTTTAATAAATTATGTACCTGAAAAGACAAATTTTAATATGTACCACTTCTGATGTTGTAAAACAGTTAATAACTTTATAAAAGACGAAAATACTATAAGTATATCATTCTTTTAACCTCTAATTGTAAACATGTGTATTGAAATATTTCAAAAAGACGTAGGTACATACCAATCACTTGTAGCTTAAAGAAGGATACAATACGTTCCCAACTTATGGAATGATATCAATATGTTCTTTTTTTTATATAAAACAATATTCTTCGGTTTGAATGCGACAGCTGCAAGGCAGCGTCCGTTCGAGGAAAACTGACAATCTGAATTTGACAACATTTAGCGCGTTGACACATAACACCCATGACATATTCTCGCAGCTTTGCAGGGCACTGACAATTTTGACATATCTTCAATGATTTTCCAACCATACTTCCAACGTCATCATGGAGTGTTCATTTAGCTATGATTTCGCTTTGGTTGGCTTTGGTTGCTTCGGTTAAATAACGCCAGTGTGCTCTATCGGAATTTATCCGAACCTCGACATATGGAAATCAGCATAGGGAGTATTAATTCTATGGAAATCGGCCACTAAAAATAAACAAAAGATATTAAAGGCTTTTGACTTCTGACATTCCTGTTATAGAGGTTAAGTTGTATGAGTGTTTGGCATTGGTGTTTTGTTTGAAAAGGAAAAACTTTAATTTATTTAAATATAAGTTTTATGATATGTTTTTAGACTTACTACAGAAGTATTAATATATTTTAATTGAGTGAAAGTATATTTATTTTCTGACAAAGGATATATTAGCCATGTCCGACCTACGAAAATCAGTGTTGGGGCTACATCATAAGAAAGGGTAAGTAAACCCTGATTCACTATTTTTTAACAAAAAGAATATTTCAGAGCACCGACTAGTCTGGCCTCACACAAGCCAAATTATTCACCTGTAAAATGGCAGGAGTACTTTGAAAAGGAAGAATATATAACAACACCATCTGGCCAGCACCACATCTATAGAAAAGGTTCTAAAGGGCCAATTATTTTTTGCTTACATGGTGGTGGATATAATGGTTTGACTTGGTCACTTTTTGCGGTGAATAGGATGATAAGATTAGGAGACAATATATTAAAAAAATTATTTATAGAAAGAAATATATGCCAATATTGAATGCCAAATCATAGCTGTCGACTTTAGGGGCCATGGGCAAACAAAAACAGACAATGATGATGATTTGTCTCTTGAAACACTCACAGAGTATTTTCTTAATACAGTATACTGAAAATAATCTTAATTGAATACTCTTCTTTTTTAGAGATGTAATAGTGGTTGCTAATATTCTTTGTGAACAAGAAAATGCAACAATGATTCTCATTGGCCACAGTATGGGAGGAGCAATAGCTGTTAATGCTTCATACAAAATAAATAATTTAGTGGGGTTATGTGTTATTGATGTTGTCGAAGGAACAGCTTTGGATGCATTGTCTTCTATGCAAAGCATTTTGAGAGGAAGGCCGTCACATTTTAAAAGTATCCCCCATGCTATACAGTGGTGGTAAGTTACATAGAACTGAACAAATAATTTGCAGTAACAATATCTTTAGTTTCAAAGGTGGCCAATCGCACAATTTAGAGGCAGCTCGAGTGTCAATGCCAGGTCAGATTGTAAAGTAAGTATTTTAATAAAAAAGTATTATTGAAATACCTGTCATTTAATGTATTATAGTATGAAAACTGGTAAGTTGGCGTCTAGTGAATGGAAAAATTTTGATAAAATGGATGGTACCAACTTGTCAAACCTCCACAGTTCTGAACTCAAGGCATCTGAGTTTACATTAACAGAGGTAGATGAAGATAATGCAGATAATTCTAAAGAATCAGACTCAAAAGTAGAAAGTAAACCACCACTGCCTCAAAGTAAAAAATTCAAAATTCCAAAGACTACATCCGATGAGGGTAAGTATAGGTGGTATGTAACAGAACTAAACTATTAATTAACTTTCTGATAGATGAAGGGCCAAAATATACTTGGAGAATTGATCTAAGCAAAACTGAAGTCTATTGGCACCATTGGTTTCAAGGATTGTCTGAAAAGTTTCTTGGTTCAAAAACACCAAAAGTATTGATATTAGCAAATATTCATGGTTTAGATACCAAACTCACTGTTGGACAGATGCAGGGTAAGTTATTTTGTAACACTTGATGATCTGAATTTCAAAGCACTCAGTAAAAATAATTAAGTGTGTATTAAAAAAAGGCAGTAATTTTTACTATGTGTAGCTTAATGAAACATTATTTGCCCATTTACACATAGAATTTTGCTGATATGTATATATAAGAATATGTATTTGTTGCAGGTAAATTTCAACTTCAAGTACTAGCGAAAACGGGACATGCTGTTCAAGAAGATCAACCTCATCAGGTAGCTGAAATACTTAGTATTTATCTTGTGAAACAAAAATGTGCTGAAATTAAGCCTGGATTTACAATGCCGCTGCATCCAAATACTTGCTGTTAGTCTTGACAAAAATAATGTGACCAGAGTCCGTTTCAATTACTTTACTGCCACTAGACGATATCTCATCTCTCTCTTCTTAGCCCAAATACATGATTTGTTTCTCAGCTTTCAAGCAATGAAGCCCGTAAGACCTTTATCCCTACAATTCTAGTATTTCATATATAGAATTCAATTAAAATCAAAAAAATATCTAATTTTGTTTCCCATAATTTTTTGTTATCTGCTTTTTCTATAATGTGATTGTAGTCTGCAGTTCATGTTGTCCCCTGTAAACAAGCCTATTGAAAATTAATATTAAAATATAGGCCGAATACCTAAGGTTATTCTAGAAGTTGTTATTTGCATTTGAAACATTGTGTCTTTGCCTATAGTGGGAGAGATGGTACTTCTATTCTTAAATTGTTATTTTAGTTACTTAAATATTTATTAACTTATTTAATAATTAGTTTGTATGTTAATGTTTCATAAGTTTTGTTGTCAACGTTTTTTAAATTGATAAAAATAAAGTATTTTGGAAAAACTCCCTATATTAATTAATCACAGAAAAAAGAAAAAAGTGCTTTAGGCATATGTATGAAAAAATCATATATAACAAATTAACCCGTAAATTTTATTTGAAATTCAATATATATTTTTTAGATAATTAATAATATTTAACAACCCATTGAACAAAATTACATATTCAATAAAAACAATGTATCACAAGCGATTTACTTTATGGCACATAAAGCTAAACATAGATCTAAATAAATTCCAAACTTTTCCAAAAAAAATTACTCTCACTTATTAATCCACTGTAAACTTGTTAGAAATGTAGTTAAGCCATTAAATAACTAAGTTGACTTCATTTCTTGTTTTAGGCATTTTTTAAATGCTTGCCATCCTTCTGTTTTTGTATATGACTAAAAAACAAATTATTATTTAGATAGTCAATATAATGTATTTTCCTTGCCTTAAAGCCTCGATGCAGCCTGTCTTTCATAATAGCTATAAATTCTTTGTAGCTTAAAAGACCATCTCCATCGACGTCAAAAATAGCAAACACTGTATGAACTATATGGGGGCTCAAATTTGTGCCTGTGCAAATTTTCACAGCCCTATGAAATTCATCTGAAAATAAACATTTTTAAGAAGCAAGTCCTAATGTCTCAGAGCAATTATAAGTCCGTCATTTTATATCAACTGATTTTTTTAACTGTCTTGGCTGTGTATCTATATTTGGTTTAAGCCTAATATAGTAAAATAGACTAGCTATATGATATTACAAAGCATTGAAATAAATTCAGAACATTAATATCAATTATTATTCACTCATTCAAATTATTTGTGTGGTTTGGTTTGGGATTATTTCTAGTTCACTCAAAATATATTTCTCTTTAAAACAAAGTTATTTAATTGGCTATATATTGAATGAATTACTGTACCTTTAGAAATAGGATGGTCTGCCAAAGTATACATCCTCATGGCAATGCTGAAATCTTCCAAATTATTTAAAAACTGACAAAAAACGTAAAATTCGTCAAATGTGATCCCCTGGACGTCTTTTAAACGTTCTAATAATCTATCTAAATACATGTCATACTGATCTGTATCTAAATAAGTATATCTCAACAAAATTTTGGCAAAATCAACTTCAGATATTGTTGGTAGACCTTTAGCAAATTCACTGAACTCTAATTCTAAAACCTCAGTTTGTAAATGGAGCATAAACTTCCTAAAATTCTCAAAGTTTAAATCTGAAGTGCCCTTAGACCCAAAAAAATGTATCAATAAGGTTGTGTCAACTACATGTTTTCTTTGGAGACCTTGTTCATCATTTACATATTGTTCTTGCATTGGTACACTCTGCAAAGGCTCAGCTTCCGTTGTTAGACCTCTCTTTCCTTTCCAAGCATGACTAAATATTTTTTCCATCTGTGTAAATAATAATAAAATTATAAATATTAGGAAATATCTGATTATTCTGATTAGGTTGGACAAAGTTAAGGTATTAATTATTAATTTATTGTTAGTAATTTTATTAAGCACATATGTGTTTAATATTTAATAAAAACAGTAATAATAATTTCTAACCAACTACTTTTTTTAACTAAATAATTGCTTATTCCATCAGCTCTCCCTATTACAGATAAAAGTTATGAAGTTTTTAAATATACATTTTGGCAGATACAGATACATATAGATATGTAGTATACATATAGCATAGATATACCGGGTACGTCTCAAAAGTGGCTCATCCCTATAACTTTTTTATTTTTTTCAGTTAAAAAAACGAGATTTGGTATGTTAGTATATGACATAAATTAGGATTGATTAACGTATTCAATTGTTTTCGGTCACTTCCTGTTTCACCGTAAATGACTACAACTTTTTATTTTTTAACAGCACCCTCGGTATTTTTTTACTTTATTCGAAAGAAAATGATACTCTGAATAGAATGACATATCATATGTCAACTTTTGACATTTTCGCATGTGGTGTATTTGAAATTATAACTTGCGGAAATACCAAGTATGTGGTATCAAATTATTCGTAAAAAAATGCTTTTTCCAAATATGCTAATGAGCCACCTTCGTTCCATTTGAAAAAATTGAGATATGATTAAAAATACGACTTGAGCATTTTTTAACTGGCCAGGACAAGACACTAAAAACAAACGATCAAATCTATTTTTCCAAAGCTCCTCCAAACAGAGCCATGGCACTCCAGTTTGAATTTTAAAATACGATTTTTTATCAAGCGAGAATGTCAAAAGTTGACATATGATATGTAATTCTATTCAGAATGTCATTTTCTATCGAATAAAGTAAAAAAATTCCGAGGGTGCCATTTAAAAATCAAAAGTTGTAGTCATTTCCGGTGAAACAGGAATTGGCCAAAAACAACTGAATACGTCAATCAAACCTAATTTATGTCATATACTAACATACCAAATCTCCTTTTTTTATCTGAAGAAATAAAAAAGTTATAGGGGTGAGCCACTTTTGAGACGCACCCGGTATAGCATATCTGTACTATACTATACAGGTATATAGTATAAGATGTAAATAAATATGATATACAGGAAATATTATTACATGACCATAGGTATGATTATATTTATCGTAAGAAAAATGATGGGGACAGAAATAGATAAGCCTAAATAAATATGGACAAAAAAAGTTAAGAAAATCAAAATAAAAACACTCACTGTGTTAATGCACAAATAACATACATTAGTGTTAAATCTGCATCTTTTTGACATTTTCAACTTACTGGTTCAGAATCTTCAAATTTTTTACCCGCCAAAAGTTTCTCAATCTACACAAAAAATAAAATAATACACAAAACAATAATTAGCAAATAATTAAAAAAAAGAAATAAAAAACAAATACAGAATACTAGACATTTAAATAAAAGAACCTCATCTAAAAAAGATCTCTATATTGATTCTTTCTGATATACAGTTTTCATAGTTTATACTTACAACAAGGAATTCATTTTTATCAACTCTCTGATTACCATCAGTGTCAAACATGTTAAATGCAATTCGAAATCCTGATTCTGGTTCTACAATAGACTCAGTAATATTAAGTTTAATTAAAAGATTTCAAACTTACTGGTAAGAATAGATAGTAGGAACAAATACTCAGTATAAGAAATTATTCCTACAATTAAATTTAAAACTGCTATATAATTCTTCATTAACACTAAAAAAAGAGATATTACCTTTATCTCTTAAATTCCTAAATAGATGTTGAGATCCCTGGCTTAGCGATGGTGTATGTTCCTTAATTTTATCAACCTCTTTTTGATCTAATACTTTTCTTTTAAACCTCGCTAAAATAATCAAATCAATAGTCATTATTGAAGAGTAGTTCTAGAGAGTTTCGGTAGATATATAAAATAACTTATTCAAGATTCAGCCAATGTATTTTGTGGCAACTCTATTTGGAACTAGTAAGCGCTTGCTAGGCCTACATGCCGCTATCTACAGATATTCATGTCTGTCTAATACAACTTAAAGAGTTTTAGTTGAAATATGCAAAATTATCCAAATGGGATGAAATAAATATAAAAAAGTGTACCTAGTTTTATTGTTATATCAAAAATATACAGTACATTTAACCTGTGAACATCCAGTTTACAGCACACTTCTATTCTGCTAGTCAACGCATTGGATTTTTATGGTTGGTATGCAATCAACAATTATTCATTATCAAATTAATTAATAATAAATAAAATTGAAGATCTTTTTTTTTTAATTTTTTATCTATTTTTTTTTTTGGTCTAAAATTACAATTTTGGGGAATTTGTTGATGAACTATTTTTAGTTAAATAACAGATTGCTTCAAAACAAATATTTCTTTGTAATGGAGTATTGTTGGTTGCATTCCAATCATTCAATTCTAAAACACTGAATCGTTCGTTCACCTGCCACTTTAAAAGTGAACATAGTAAAATAAAAGCAAGGTATGTATAATGAAAAAACATAAATGGAAATTAATAAAGCAACTTACGTCTTGGCTCATCTTCAACTACAGATTCTAAAAAATCTTGAGGCGTCATGTATAATTGACCATCATACTCAACAGAAGCAAATCTTATAAATCTCTTTTCTCTTGAGGTTAGCTTTACTACCACTCTATCTTCTTCCTATGCATTTAAAATATATGTAAAAATCTTATAAAATCCTTCTGAAAATTAATTTTACCTTTTTTAATTGTGCCGCGTACACTTGTGCTATAGTACAATATTTAAACGCTGCACTTAAACCTAAACCTCCTGCAGCTATATACACTAAAGGAACAGGACGAAATTTATTTACATTAGAGAGAAATTTGTTAACAATATTTATCCAATTTGTACGTCTGATAACTTTTGAAAACAGTTTATATGTTGATGTCATGGCTCTCTTGTGTCTATATTACGTTTACTAATGAGCTAATGATTTTAGTAGATGTTGTCTGAAGTCCAATGAGAGAACTATAATAAAAAAAATAAAAATAATTTAAATAAAACTGAAAAATATTTTGCATTTTACCTTTATTAGTTAAATTTGTTATTTACATAGGATTTCTAGGTTATAACATATCTGTCAAAGGAAAACGTCAAAAGTCAAAACCATAGATCACAGAGGTCAAAACTTGGTATGTTTTGGTTACAGTCTTGGTAGTGCCTTTGGTAGTGCCCTTTCAGCGCGTTGGCGTCACACTGGCGACATGCTGGCGACGTCACAGCTCGTGATTGTTTGGTTGCATAAATATTAACATAGAAATAATAAATGAAATAAAATATTACCTACTGATAAAGATCTAATCGAGCACAAAGAGTTGATAAATCAAAAGGAAAGAATGCAATATTTTATAACTTCTATATAATGACTAAGGCTTAACAAAAACAAAATTTTGATATAGGAATATGGCAAAAATTAAATGAAATGCTTGGTGCCTGACGTCACAAATCTGCACGCCTGTGATACCGTAGTTTAGAAAATGTGGTGGCGTGAATGAATGGTTGTGTTGTGTAGACGTGCCTTTTAAAATGGCGTTGTCAACAATGAAAAGCCAAGTTTTTTTGTATTGATGTATTTTAAATAATTTTTATTAGTTTAAAGAATTGTTTTTATTTGTCGCCTTGAAAGTTATAATATATGAAAAATGAACGGTCTAAGTATTAGTGAATTCTGTTGCTTGTTTTGTTGTCCGCCTTGTCCCAGCAGGATAGCTGCAAAATTAGCTTTTATACCACCAGAGCCAACTTACGAATTTGTGTCAGATGAAAATGGAAAATGCAGTTTTGCACTTACAGAACGAGCAGAATGGCAGTTTACAGAACGAGAAAAGGAGTTCATTGATGCTTTTTACACCAGAACAACAAGAGGAAATAGAATTGCATGTTTGTTTATAAGATGTTGTAGCACTGCCAGATTTACAATTTTGTTTTCTCATGCCAATGCCGTGGATCTTGGACAAATGAGTAGTTTTTATTGGGACCTAGGTACCCAAATGAACTGTAATATATTTAGTTATGATTATTCGGGTTATGGAGTGAGTGGTGGCAAGCCCTCAGAGAAAAACTTGTATGCTGACATTGATGCAGCTTGGCAAGCACTTAGAACTAGATATGGAATTAGTCCAGAGAATATTATTTTATATGGGCAGAGTATCGGTACTGTACCTACTGTAGATTTGGCTGCACGCTATGAAGTAGGGGCTGTGATATTACATTCTCCCCTTATATCAGGAATGAAAGTAGCATTTCCTAACACTAAGAGAACTTGGTTCTTTGATGCCTTCCCCAGGTGTGTAAATAAATTTATTTGTATTTGGGCTCATTTCCCAAATATCAAAGCAACTTAAAATATCTTGGCAATTAAGATCAACAATTTTCACAATATTTATATTTCAAAAAATGCCACTCTACATGTAGTTATTTTTAGCTTCAAATTTTTGGACAAAAATAGATTATAAAGCGTTAATTTCCATGTAATTAATAGAAATAAGTATAATTATAGTGGTGTAAAGATGATGGCCACTGATAAGACACTTAATTTTAAAGTATAAATAACAAGATATTAATAAATAAATAACTGTGAATCATAATCAATTTTAATTATTACCAACTAGACTAGAAATGATTTCTGAAAGTTGATTGCTTTATTATTTTTTATTTCATTTTAAATTAATTATTAAATGAATAAATAATTTATTTATTATTTATTTATTTAAAATAAATAAATAAATAATTTATATATTTAAATAATATTGAAATATTTCTAATTTTAATAAAAACAAAATCTTTTAGTATTGACAAGGTTCCAAAAGTTATGTCTCCTACACTAATAATTCATGGAACTCATGATGAAGTTATAGATTTTTCACATGGACTGACTATTTTTGAAAAATGTCCTAAAGCTGTTGAGCCTTTATGGGTAGAGGTAAGTAAAAAAAAATCCAGAAATTTAATTATAGTAAACTAGGAAATGTATGTCTAATTTGTTAAATGATTTAATACCAATCAAATGGTTTAATTTATCTGTGTCAAGCACACCTAGTAACTATACTAAAAAAAATATATGTGGGAGGTAATATGCAACTGTGTAAATTATGTTGAGACACTTCGTGGCATGTAGTTTAAATATATATATAAATGGGAGTACGAGTTTTTTTTTCTGTTTTACATGTACTAGACGGTTCTACTAATGTAAAATATAAAAAATATTATTTTTTATTGTTTTTAGAACAAAAATATACTTATAGCATTATTAAATGTAAGTCTGTCAATTACTAAAATAAATATGCTCTATTTAACAATAAGTATCATTTATTAATACATGACAGTGTATATAAATGATGTATGATGAAGTAGATACAAAAAATTATTGGAATTTTGTCTAATATACCACAAAGTTATTGATTAAATTGTTTTGCAAATGTCTCAATTGAAAAATTAGTTCTGTATACTTATTTTAACTAATTGACATTTCAATAGAATGAATACAATTTCAACACCCCTTATAGCTCTACATAGTATTTCCTGGGTTAATATAAACAATATCTATTTTTAGCCTGTACGTTTAGGTAAACCAAGCTAATATAAATTGATATAGAACTAAAGGCACATGCATTTTAAACTTTTATAATAGTCTGCATCTGCATGTGTATATATTTCAATTTATTTGCAGAGGTTAAAATAATAAATGCTATAGATCTTCATTGCGTCATAGACTTTCTCAGTATCAGTTATTTCAACAAACACACTTAAACACTTCCATATACAGAGGGTTATTTCAATAGTATAAAGATGTATTAATTTTGAGTGAAATAAAACAGTTAAAAAATGCTACCAAACCCATTCTGTGAGACACCAGACTGACGATGACAGAAAGCCTTGTCTCCAAAACTACTTTGTGTCATTAAAAAACACGAAAGTAGGCGAAATACAAATACAAATTTCTCAACGCCCAGTGAGTCTTTAAGGTGTCTCGAACGACAGAAAATGGTTATGAATGACAACATGGCTTAATGTGACTGGGGAACCCCGGGGTCGTCAAGCCCGAAACTCTGGAGTAAACGCTCCAGAGCCCCCTGAGGGGTAAAGACAAATTTAATAAGGAATTACTTTTTTATCTACCTATCTAAGATTATATTTCTCTTCTATCATAAGACTTTAAAATAAGGAACTAAATAAGGAAAAAGTCCAAGGAATTTGATTGCTAATATACTAATACATATTATCATTAGGTAAAAGTTACGTTTGTTACCTAATGACATTTCTTACTACTTAATGAGGTAAAGCCAAAATAAACAGTTTAAGCAGGATATATATAATAATAATAATAAATGGTCTTGACAAAAAAAATGGTCTTAACCGAGATCAATATTCTTAATTTAAATAATTTATTTAGTTTTAGCCATGTGAGTGTCTCAAAAGCTGGGGAAATGTGATCATACTTTCGTATTATTTAGTATTAGACGACAGCAGTTGTTTTGAATCTTCTGTAGTCTATAAGCATCAATGAAACTCAGGCATGAAAAATATACCATACTGCAATATTGCAACTTTGAGAGTATGAGACTCTGACATAACGTTTTTTTTCATGTTATATGTCAATATAGGCTTCTGGGAATACAGAAGTTTCAAACAACATTTTTGAGGTAACTGAGTAACATGGTTTGAGAATTTAAAATTTTCGGCTATACACAATCCTAAATTTTTAACGGATTTTCTATAGGCTGATCATTTATATAAAGTTTTATTTTTGATTTTAAATAAATTCAATATTTTTTGGATCCAAATATTATTGTTTTTGACTTGGTTGTATTTAAACGCAAATTATGATTTCTAGCAAAATCGAGGACACTCTAAATCTGCATTAATGTCTATGACTGTTCATATTCTTTACACTTAAAATGACTGTATATTTGTGTGTCATCGGCTAAACAATTTATGTGAGATGTCTTTATTACGTTTGGCAGATCAATAGTATAAATAAAAAACAATAATGGGCCCAATACTGAGCCTTGAGGGATTTTCAGAGAATTCATTATTTATAGTAACTCTCTGGCTTCGATCTTCCAAGTAGGATTTTAAAAAATTTGCCGAAATATTGTCAAAGCCAATATATTTACATTTTTCAACCAACAACGCATGATTCACGCTGTCAAAAGCCTTGCTGAAGTCAATAGCACAAGAACAGTTGGTAAACCGCTATCACATAGAAAAGAATACATTTTTAAATTTCAAAAGAATCATTTCTTAGTTAGATATAATCCTTGTATATAATATAGTCTATATTTCCCTTTCAGGGTAAAAGGTGGACTGAAGTAATTAAAATGATAAATATAAGTGTTGAGTAAGTTTATTTATATTTTCACGAGAAATAAACATAAACGGTTTATATACAGGTCACGAATGACTTTTATGTGACCTCTTTTTTAAAGCAATTTGTTTTTAGATACACTTTTTCAAAGAAGTCTAAAACTTCCTTTTTATTGACCTCGTAAAAATTATTTTTACTTTTTTATGTTGCTATATTTTCTTATTAGAAAATAAAAAAAAACAAATGAACCCTATTTCTTATACGTTCATAATCTACACATAATTTGGATGCATATGATACCAGAATGCAGGACAAAGTACTACCTATTAAAAATTCAATAAATATATATCTAGAACACATGAATAGTTGTGTAAATGATATTCATCATAAGAGTAGGATTGCCTTTACTTTTTTGTCTACAGCAAGCTAGTAATTCGTTTAGGTTATTGCCTATATATAGATACTCGTTATTTTGCAATACCCATTGTTACAAGTAGGTAAAATCGTGAAGTTACATTAATATAATCTTTTATGTTATACATTAAATTTACATAAAATACATTTGGAGTAACGTTAGTAAAGAATTCAAACTCATACAATCAAATTAACTAGACGTTATTTATTATAAACAGTACAACTGTTTTACAAATAAAAAATAGTAAAGAAAACAACTGTTACTATTATTTCTTTAATTACAATAAGGACGATTTGTTATTATCATTATTATTAATTACAAACGACGTCATAGTAGAATGAAATATAAATACAAAAAGCTAGGCAGTCTTATTCCTGCCCACAGGTAACGGAAAAGGCCATTTATGTATCCAGAAGATTTTGGCTATGTGTAATTAAAAATAATTTTATTAAGTCCAGCAGATGAATCCGCCACATAGGTAAAGACATTTTTTAGGTCCAATTTATTGTTCAAATTACAATATTTGCACAATATTGTAAAAACATATTTCCATAAAAATGGTTTGCTGTTCTGTCCCTAAGGGTTGAATTTTGATTATAGGGAGCTGGCCACAATGACGTAGAACTATACCCGGTGTATCTCGAGAGACTAAAACAATTTATAACCGTCGAACTGGATAACTGACAACTACTGAACGGAGAAGAGTGCACTTTCAGTTCTGGAACCTCTAGTTCTGTCGGTGAAAAACTACTATAGCCAATCGAGGCAGGGTTGATGGTGAACAAAAAAGGTGGGAAGCAAAAATCAAAACACAAAAACGCCCTCTCCAAACCATCTCCCTGCATCAATGCCCCGTCTTGTTCAAAAATAAACTCAAAAGTCAGCTTGGCTACCATCTGTCACAGTGTTCCCCCGGTGTGTCTTGTGGTGTGTCACTGTCTTCTTCTCGAGACTACTTGTTAGCAGTTTCTATTGTGTATATATGATATATAACGTGAACTCTTTATTAAATATTTTATATACAGGTTTTCTTATATGTCTATAGTGAAACAGACTACTAAAAAGGAGAAAAATGTCGTGTAACTTAATAATTCATTCAGATGAACTACAGCAATGTTAACCACAAATTCCACGTGAATGATTCAATATATTCTTTAATTTTCCTTTTTTTTTAAATTAGTCAAACAATTATTGGAAATTTTATTAAAATGAATCACAGTATTCTGTGATTTATTATAGTATAGTTTTTCTTGCTATTAAATCCGTACTGACTTATTACCAATGACATTGCATTTCATCTCTTTGAATAGGCTAATTTTTTATTTTTTTTTATATATATATTTTGTTAATTTTAAATATAAAAACGTATCGATATTACTTTTATTAATGAAAATGGCTAAAAATCTACTCCATAAGAACCTAAATGTTATGACGTAGGTACATAAGTAGATATAATTGAAAATCAATAGATTTATAAAAATTACAGATACCACACATGCAAGCTTTTCTGACTATCGACATATTTGTATTAAATTCACATAATTTCTGACAGCTGAAATTCAGCCCTAAGTGCAATTTTTTTATGTTTTATGAATTGTCATTATTGGATGCCATTATTGACAAAAATTCGGCAGGTCCAACCGATGTCAGTAACACATATTTTATTTTCAATTAAAATATAATTGTTGTAGTGTTTTGCGCAAAAAAATATATTCCAGACCTTTAGTAAATTCAATTCGCTAAATCTTAAAAGTATAAATATAGAATAAAAATTTTCCCATTAAACTATTAGCATTGAAATGCAAGTTTTTGAAAAAATATCGATTTAACTTTAACAAATTATGGGAAAAAACTTAATTTTTTTAATAAAACTTTTTATATGTTGCGTAAAACTCAAAAGTCATACTCTACACTGCTAAATTTATTAAAAAAATCTTATGAAGTAAATTCTTAGCCGTGTCATGGATCTAATAATGTTAAGCTTAAATATACACGTGAAACTTCAGATTGGAAAGTAAGCTTTTAAAACCACAATTTTTTTTCTGTAAACAGTAATTTGGCCCATTTGAAAATAAAAAATATTTTTTCTGTTTATAAAAACGTTTACATGCGTCATACGCCCTGAATAAAATAGTCTAATTATGCTATACAATCTATTTAAACAGAGTATAATGGTAAGAGTTGTTGCATACATGGAAAATATATTTTTTATGGTCATTTTTATCATTTACTCTCTTTTTACTTAATGTGTTTTTAATACATGTATTTTTGTTTTAAGTGCTCGTTCGTTTATATAATTAAATAATATAGAATTCATATCTGGCAGGTTAAAAATACAAATAATTATATCAGTATTGTAATGAACTAGTTTGAATAATAAGAGTTGAAAACAATAACAACTTTCATCTGGAAAAATTTGATATTTATAACCTTTTTATTTATCTTTTTATTTTTATAAATGATTTTCGTAAGTTAAAACGTAGACTAAGATACTTTTTTATCCTTTCTATTGATAGAGAGAAGAGATGGAGGAAGAGTCCATTTTATTTACTTGTCAGAGAATTAAAAACATTATTCAAAAAGTACTTTTTATCTGCCCAGTTATGTTATTTCGCTCGTATAGTATATAGTTTTTAATGTTATTCAAATTGTTCAAAAATAAAAGAACGCCGTTTAGGTTAAATAAGCTGGTGTGGCTGATAAATAAATCAAGTGATCCGACCAAAAAACTTTCTAGTATTAAACTACAAAATATGTAAAATGAATTAGTACTTATATATCATCATCATAAATATGAAAGCTAGGCAATCTTTTTTATTTCTTTTCCATGTAGGTAATAGAAAATGCCATTTTTAGACGTAACTTGAAGTAGAATAATGAAGTAAATTATAAAATATAATTGAGTAGTTTTTATTAGGTACAAGAAAATACCACTCGTGAAATTGTCTTTCATTGAACATATTACAGCGCTTCTGATCTTATACATTAAAAACTAAAAGCCATAACGAACAATATTAATTTTTAAGTAATAAAATAATGAATATTGTATTAAAATTAATTATTTTCACACTGACATAAAAATCTTTTAAAATTATTTTATTTATCTCAACTCAAAAAAACTAGTTAAATTTTATTGTATGAAATTCCCTATTAAAATATTCTGGTGGTAGTAAAAGACTTTAAATGATCTATAGTCATCTATAGCCATGCTATAAAAAGTGAGAGACAAATCTCAAAGAAAAATTTGTTACATAAATTTGGTGGCAGCGGTGGGATTTAATCCTAGCAGAAAGTTATTTATTTTTTAAGGCTTAAATATCTCTGAAAATCCTTTACATAAATTAGTATCATGAAAATAAAATAATAATTACAAGAAAATACAAATTACTTTATACACTCAAGTTGGTTTAAGATGCATTAAAAATTTAAAATGATAGACTTTAAAGTAATTATATTTTGTATATATTCAATAATTCTACTTCAAGGAGATGTGTAATTAATTAACATCTATGTGCCTATGGCAACTTGTTTTTGCCTCTATCCTAAGGCGAATGTTTATAATACCAACTGCGTTACTTTTTAATATTTTAAGATATTTGTGCTGCATTTATTCGTCAATAACCACATATATAGTACTTTGTTATCAAGCTCTTTGAAACAAAAATAAATTGATGCATCTCACTGCCTTACTGAGTTTAAAAGATCTTCGGGTATTTGAATGGAAATAAGTGCAGCTAAATATATAATATATTTAATTAGGAATGCAATTCTCATGTTTATGAAGTTGAATTTTAAAAATCATTATTTATCTCATTACTTTGTATATTACTTTTCGTTTAAGTGATTTTTTCTCTATATATCCAAGTCTTGATTGATCATTAAAATCTTTTGATTTTGAAATACATACATGAAATGAAAAGGGAACTTTTTATTTAGGGATGTTTTGTTATTTAACCTGTGATCTTTTCCAAAAAAAGACTTCGTTTAGTCTAGACTGAAAAAATATTCCTAAGTATGAATTACCTTAATGTTTTGACTTGGTAGTTAATTATTAATAATTAGGTATTAATTTCATGTGTTAACGGTATAATGTATTGAAAGGTCTTTCGATATATTATTTTGTTTGAATTGTGTAAGAAATAACAGTTCATATTGTAGAGAATTGTACCGTTTTACTACTTACAGAATGCATGTTGTCATACAGACGTTTCAAACATAATCAAATATTTCAGTTATAGTGTGTGCTTTAATTAGTATACCGGGTGCGTTTCAAAAGTGGCTCACCCCTATAACTTTTTAATTTTTTTTTAGTTAAAAAAATGAGATTTTGTATGTTAGTATATGACATAAATTAGGATTGATTGACGTATTCAATTGTTTTCGGTCACTTCCTGTTTCACCGGAAATAACTGAAACTTTTGATTTTTAAATGGCACCCCCGGTATTTTTTTACTTTATTCGATAGAAAATGACATTCTGAATAGAATGACATATCATATGTCAACTTTTGACATTTTCGCATATGGTTTATTTAAAATTATAACTTGCGGTTCGTAACGAAAATTTGACTCGAAATACCAAGTGTGTGGTATCAAATTATTCGTAAAAAAATGCTTTTTCCAGATATGCTAATGAGCCACCCTCGTTTCATTTGAAAAAAATGAGATATGATAAAAAAATACGATTTGGGCATTTTCTAACTGGCCAGGACAAGACACAAAAAACATTAGATGATCAAATCTATTTTTCCAAGGCTCCGTGATTAAGAATTAGTGTTTTTAACATAGCCAGGACACTCTAGATTGAATTTTAAAATACAATTTTTTATTAAGCGAGAATGTCAAAAGTTGACATATGATATGCCATTCTACTCAGAATGTCATTTTCTATCGTATAAAGAAAAAAAATACAGAGGGTGCCATTTAAAAATCAAAAGTTATAGTCATTTCCGGTGAAACAGGAAGTGACCGAAAACAATTGAATACGTCAATCAATCCTAATTTATGTCATATACTAACATGCCAAATCTCGTTTTTTTATCTGAAAAAATAAAAAGTTATAGGGGTGAGCCACTTTTGAGACGCACCCGGTATAGTATAAATTTCTGGTTTTAATTTTCTATCTTTGCATATTAAATTGTATTTTCATCTAATCCGAATGAGTGATTTGATAATTTAAATTCAACTTTACTTTTAAATATTTTCAAATTGAACAACTGTCTGTGATAACATATGTGTAATAATTTGATTTGAGGATTCATATTTTATGTGGTTATAAAAATAGGCGAAATTTTTTTAACAAAACCATATTTATTGACTAATTATATTCTACTCATGGATAGATTTAATCAGACAATGTGTTTTTCTTGTCGAATGATATCTGATGTGTCAAATTTAATTGGTGTAAATATTAAGGTAACGTGCAAGAAAGTTATTTTAAGCGAGAATATTTAACAGTAAGGTTTGCAGAATTTCATGTGATAATATTAAGTCAGGAATTAAATATATAGTGCTTTAAAAATGCAATTGATAACCAGTGCCCTCAAAGCGCTGCACTTAAAAATAGGTACAATAAAAAATTCTAAACTTAGATTTTAGGGTGTAGTGTTAAAATGAATTTATAAATTATAAAAGGCAATAAATACTTAAGGGTTTTCTGTTGTAGGTTTGATGTGTACACTGTTATTTCTTACATGTAATTTTCCACCTGTTTTCCTTGTGAAGGCCAATTTTTGTATGAAAATGAATTTATAACCGTAATCATATTGTGCTCTAAAATAAATTAACAGCTTTTTTATATATATCAAGAAACTTAAATAATAAACCAAAAATCAAACAAAGTATCCTAGGTTTAAGTTAAATCTGTGTAAGTTTGCAAGAAATCTGTTTATTATTTTAGAAGCTCAATTTTTTTAATTAATTATAGTGTAAAAAAATACTTCTTCATATAATTTATACATATCATTTTTCAATGAATTTGTATTGAACCTGTGTTCTTTTCGTTTTAATACATATATTATATAGCTGAAATATTTGTTAGAACACAGTTGTTTTTTTTTTCTTTTAAATATAGAATCAGTATTTGTACATATATTAGCTTCATTTACCTCCCCACCAACTAGCACCTACATAAAGTACTTTACAAGTAGTGTTTTATTTTTACGGAATAAAATACTAGGGACTAGAATTAAAATTAAATGTGATTCTTGAAATTAAATCATATTTTACGATACCATGTCATTGAACTTCTATAAATGTAATTCCTAAATGCTATTGTAAATAGAGAAGTATTTATTTTCTGAATCACCAGAAATTAAAGGCAATCAGAAGGATAAGAAAAATATATAACTTATTTTTTTTTATAGATATAAGTTTTTTAAAAGATATATATGTTTTACTAGATATGTTTACAGGTGAAATAAATTAGAGTAATACGTTTTAATTATTTATTAAGAGATTTATTAAACAAAAGTTTTAATTTTCAAAATTAACATATAAAACATGGCATTATTTTCAAATTAAAACGATCACAAATAAAAATACATTTGTATTAAATCTAGAACTTAAAGAAATCTAAAGTTACCCTAATAAATTATTTCAAAATCTCTATGAAAAGAACACTGAAAAGAATATGCGGAGATTAAAAACAAATGTTGCTTTGAAATTATCTAAGGCTCAACTTTGATCCATGAGGAAATCGGTATGCGTGGTTGACGAATCTTTTTGAATTGACTCAAAAATCGGCTGCAGGTCTGACGAGTTTTTAATTTGGTTGACGAACTCGTTTAAATGTGGATTTTTATCTAAAAGAAACACAAAAAAAATGTTATTTTATCTAACTTTTTTTTTCTTCTCGTCTAAAAAATCGTATATAAATATTTACAAAACACATTATCAAAAAAAGATCAAGTGTTCAAGTAACATCAAGTAACCAAAAGCCTAAGAACAGTTTTTTGTACATAACATGCAAAATATAAATACTGCTGAAATACCAACCTGCATCTGGGATGCTCAAGAGTGCAGCAACTGCACGCATTGCCGAACGCTTAAGTTCGTCTTGCTTCTCATATTCTTGTTTGACAGAATTTGCTTTGACTTTTAATGTCAAAGTTGCTCTTAAAGGTTCTATAAGTCTATCTAATCCTGCAACATCAAATGTATTTAAATTACTTGTTGGTTTCATAACACTTTCCAGCTATTTTTCTATTAACTTACGTTGTAAAACGAATCCTGGACATATTTGAGCTAATCTAGCTACCATGAGGTAAGTAAGCATTTTTATATCATAATGATCTTTTAATCCAGATTCGACGTGATTTATGAAGTCGAATATATCGATTTTGTCTAAACACGAATCCAGTAGTGTGTACATGCATTCAAACGCTGCTTTTCTGATGTCTAAACCGTCATCGACCGTGTGTTTGAAAGGACCCATCTCAACTTCGCGTATGAGATCTCTCTGAAATTAAAAAAAGATCGTCATAAAATAAAATTTGGATTCTGGAACCAAACCAAATATTAATTTTTATACTTTTTTTATTTATTTAAATAATCACAAATACTTTAACAATAATAGTAACCAGCAAAAAATACTACTCTTGGCTTGTTACTGTTGCAATTTAACATAAAAAATGACATAAAAAAATGATCAGCAGCATTAAAGATATTTTCTAACCCTACCTTAATATTGGTTTCATTATACAGCTGAGGCAAAATAACATCCAACAAATCTCTGATCAATGATGGTTTATTATGAGCAGCTGAATTAAAAGCTACCAAAGCCACTCTCCTTACATTTAAGTCCGGGTCTTGCAAAGTGTTGAGGAACTCACCAATGCACTGCCTTAGGAGAGGATCTATTGGTGTAGGCTATATTAAAATATTAGTGTTACAATTTCTGTATAATTAGCAAATTATTTAAATATTTATACCTGATCAGATATTGTAAATTTAACAGCTGTAACCACAGTAGTTCTCATTAGAGGCGATGGCGAATTCAATGACCTCTTCAGTTTAGGAAGTAAATTGGCTGGATCTATTAGAGTGAGCTTTCCAAGACATTCTGCGACTACATTTCTTGTTCCTTCTTCTAGACATTCACAGTGGCAATATAGCTGTGCCCATATGTCAGGGACAAATGGCAGAAGCTGTTGTATACCTTCATTAGTTTGAGATAAACAAGTTATAACCTAAGAACAAATATCAATGACAATATAGATTTTTGTCAAATCAAACCAAGCGTATACCTCTTTGACTGAATGGAGGAGTAAGTACTGCCTCCTAGGTTGTTCCTGGCTTTCTTTTAAAATAAATGGCAAATACTGTTGCAAATTACCAATACAAATACTACCTAAAGCATAACTGGCAGCTGACTTAACTTCTTCCGAAACTGCCGAAAATGAGTTTAATATAACTTGCTTTAGATTAGGTACTGAAGTCAAGTCACTAAAATGACATAAAAAAATAACAATGCATTATTCTTAAACTTTGAATATCTGAGTCAGGTCTCCCAGATACTTTGCAACTTACATATCTCTGCCAATTTCACCAACCACTAGCAAGGCAAATATTTGTTCTGAGTCAGAATTAACATTCTGGATTTCGTTGATAAATTGATGAACAACGGGAAGAGCGTGTGATTGACAGACCACCGTGATGGCTGCCAAACATTTGGCAAGAGAATAGAACGCTTGTTTGTGTAAGGTGGCGGATTGGTTGGTGGTTAAGTTTGTTATTGGTGTGAGAAGCAGTCTTAATAAATGATCATATGACAATCCGGGCAGGTTGCATTTGACTAGAGATTTGAAGAAATCAAGCATAGCTTGTAAGGCAGTTCCTAAAAATAAAGAAAACAATATATTACATATGGCGCAGTCGGTAGGATCAAAACGTTCTCTAATTTATAGAGTAGAAACGTATGAAAATATTCTATTATTTCACTTGTATTCCTTATATTTTTAAATCCTCGACAATTAGAACAGAAACCAATAAATTACCTTTACAAAAATGTATTGTTATTCATACTTGTTGCCTTACCTTGTAATAATGGACTCTTGACCAAAATTAAAACTTGTGGCATGATTCCGCTGTTGACATCTTGTAAAGCTTTTGGATGATGTAGGGCGATCGACTTTAAAATAATTAAAGTCCACTGGGCGATATGTAAGTCCGATTCGTCCAGGAGCGGGGGAACTTCAGTGATAATCGGTTGTAGAAGCTGAACGTTCAATTTCTTATGATAGTTTTGAATGAGGCAGTCAATTAACTGTAGAGTGCTCAGTTTTAGAGCTCTTTGGTTTTTTCTTAAAAATAAACCTAAAATGGGCATTGCTTCAGGAAGAATGGGCAAATCGATGCCAAGCGGCGACCCGGCGATTTTCTTCAAAGCTTTTACAGTCGTCAGACGAGTGATTTCATTCTTAAGTCTGTCCAAGAACAATGGCAAACAGTAGGGCAGTTCTCCTTTTAGTTGGTCGCCTAAATTACAAATAACCTGCCCCATGGTCGAAATCGCTTTTTCTTTAACTTCCTGGTCAATGTCTGAAGTTTTCAACCTTACCAAAGTGCACGCGTATATATCTTTAGTGAATGGAGTAAAATCAAAACCAGTATAGCCCTAAAACGAAATTATGCTGCACCATTGAGATATTACAATTAATTTTCGATAAATGTATTATTTATATTTAACTAACCTGCATAGGTCTGATAACTTTAACTAATTCCTGTAGAACACCCAAAGCCTCTGCAGTGATTTTATAAAAATTGTCACCCACAGCTGCAACAACTGGTTGTAAAAGAATATCGATATATGGATGAAATACAGTTGGAGGATGAGTGGTCAGAAGACAGTAAATGAAAGATAAAGAATCAATCTTCATATTACTGCTTGCGTTCTTTTCACTTAGTGAATAGAGAATTCCTGGGATGAGGTCGCCAATATGAGAACTTAATGCACCAGGTAGCACATTGCAAACTTCCTTTAAAAGTTGGAAGCAGTCTTGCCTGGAAAGATAAGATGGAAATTGTACTTCTTTTATTGTACAGTGATCAGCATAATCTACCAAAAATGATCTTCTCCTACCTTGTTTTCATGCTTTTCTCCTTCATCTGCGGTTGAATTCCTTTAACCAGCAAGGGAATTTGTCCTTGCAGAAGGCTCATAGGGGTCTCTTCCTCATCATCCATTACCATGGCGTTTGGGTCAATATTTACATTAACTGTAGCCTTGGTTTGCTTCAACAAGGCTATATATGCATGAAATATATCAGACTTCACGTTTTCTTCACGCTCTAAAAGAACAAACAGGATAATATGAATCTATTGGTATGAATATGGGAAGGTCGGAAGCCTATGAGTAAAACTTATACTTCAGCTATACTTGAGGTATCCTTCCTGTAAACATTAGCTTTGGAAGAAAGTTAATATTGGAGTACCTTTAAATCTAGTGATCAATGCTGGTGAAAGAACTTTATAAAATTCTGCGAGTAGTTCATGTCGAGTTATTATAATAGCTTCCAAACATTTTGCTGCTGATCTACGCACTTTCCAGCTCATATCATCGTCGTCACTATACTCGTCATTTTCCTCGTCATCATCTTCCTCTTCCGCTTCAATACATTCAGTTCCCTCATCTTCATCATAATTATAGTTTGGATCATAAGTCATATACTTCAAACACAATTCTGTTATCTAAAAAAATATTTTTATTTTATGGGGAATTTTTTATAATTGTTTATACCTTCGGAATATCGGGTGTAATTTCTTTAGGGCATCTGTTAATAAAACTTTCAAAAGCTTGAAGACAAAATTCTCTTAATTCTTCATCATCGATTTCACAACGTTCTAAAATAATGGGCACGAATTTGTCAATGTGCTCTCCAAATTTATGACCAGATTGACGGCTAAAAGTCATACAATTTAAAATTAAAATTTAGGCAAGATCTTAACACAAAAATTTAATCAAACGTTTACTCACCATACCGCAGCAACACATTGAATATAAGTACGAGTTTGAGAATTCACTTTGTTTACTTTCAGCCCATCACTTAGATGATTAATTAATTGGTTATATAAGGTGTTGTTACATGATAGTACAGAGTTGCTCAGTGCTCCAATAGTGCGTTTCCTAACTGCTTGTCTTTGAGATTCTAACTGAGGTAGCAAAGCGCACAAAATAGACATATGAAATGACTGCAATAACGGACCAAAACGTAACAATAAATCCGCTATTATATCTAGAGCTTCTAGTTGAACCGAAACATCCTCTTGCTAAAAAAATAAATTTGAACTGAACTATTTATTCAAAAAAGAAGAAAATATTACTCTTTCTATTGCTTTAGTCAGGCGTCCAGTTATTCTCTTACAAATGGCACCGGACATTCCTCCCAACGATTGAGGCAGTTCGGCAATGACCGTTTTCAAACCGATACTTGAAATATCACGCAATTGCTCTTTTTCAGATACCATGTTCGTACACAGGGCCTCCACAATTGTATCAACCTGATATTCTTTGACTTTGTTTACTAGAGGACCCAAACTAAAATATTTTGATAAAACAATAAGTACACCAAAAAGATACTATTTCCAAACTTGTTTTTACAATATATCTAAAACTACTGTTGTAAAATTATTATTAAAATAGCGCAAAGAAAATAATTTGGAACATCAATCAGTTACTTTTTTAAATCTTATTCTAAATTTTCTCGTTTTTTTCTTAATATTCTGGAGAATAATGATATCTATTACAGAAAATCATGAACACTTGTGAATTATTAATTAAGTAATTAGGTTACTACATCTCGCTAAATGTCTATATAATAAGTATTATAAAAACTACAGAGAAAATACTATTTTTGTGAAAACTTTATGCTACTTAGACTACAAAATAAAGAATCACTTTAAAAAATGTATATAGGGAAAGTTCTTGTTTGTGCTTATAGATGCTCTTATATGGCATTTATAAGGCAAATAATTGTGAATGTTTCCTTCATCACTAGTGGGAAACTTATCTCTATTAAACCACTAAATAGAACTGACCATTTCACAGCTAAATTCTGAACTTCTCCATTCTTATCCTCAAGTAACTTTAACAACATTCTAACAACTTTACGTTCAGAATCATCGTCGAGCTTAATGCTATCTTTCTGCAGCTCAGTCATGAGGTCGTTAGTTGCCATAAATCGAAAATCTTTATCTGACGATTGCATCTAAAATATTTAAAAAAAATTATAATAAATATTAATACTTTTTAGTACAAAAAAAAATTCTTTTGCAAATACCCAATATTCTGCGATATCGAGTAGTTTCAAAAAGTTAGGATCAGGATAAACTCTGTTAATTTTAACGGGAGATTCGAATTCAACAGTCGTTGATGAAGGAGTTTCATCCTCATAATCCGATGTACTGTTCTGCATATATATTTACATATATTTTTGCAAAAGTTTAAAAAAGTTCAAAAAGGAAGCAAAAAACTCGATAACAGGAGGAAGGATATTAACACAGTGTCAATGGGTTTGTTGTTAATGCAAAGCCTTCTCTGTTCAAAGCATATCTCCATAATATGCGATATACTAACCTTTTCCAACAGATTTGCTATTTGATAAGAAACACTAGCCATGATTTTAGACTTTACCTCTTCCTTCTATAATATCAACAAAATAAATCACAGAAATTGTTTTTTTATTTCTATTTTAAATGTATTGGGTATACAATTTTATAGGTTATATTATTTTTTTAATATACTATCATGTTAATGCATAAGTATATACACTTAAAACATAATCCATGCATAATTATAACGAAATAAAGTTGAAAAATATAAATATAATATAAAGTTTAAAAGAAATAATACGTATAAACTTTTTTTCCGGATTCGTAATGCAAAATTGTGTGCAAAATCAACTTCAAATCAGTGCTGCCAAAATGTCAATTTACAAATTTACCACAGAAATTTACTAATTTACATTCTATATGCAGTGTTGCCAATCTTGGAACAAGTGTCAATGGATTATAACCAGGGCTGTGGCCAGGGTTCGGAAAATTACAGGTTACTTTTAAAAACTACATAAAGTACATTACATGTAGTTAATCAACGTAGATGGTGTAGTTTATGGAACTTTCAAATATCAGATTTTTTTTAGTACAGGTTTGAGCTTATAAAAAGTTGATACTTTAGAAAACAGAAGAGATAATATGGCTTTAAAAATACCATTGACATCAAATTATTTAAACCCCGTCATACAGAGGAAAAATATTAACTGATTACCATATTATAAATCAAGCCGAAAAGTACATTCTGCAAAGTCTTGGCATAGATACAGACGAAATGCTTTAAATCTTATAAGATATATACCACATTTGTACCTTGGTTATGTTAAAATATTTTCGTATCTACATATATAAAATGCTAATGTTTATCTGTGTCGTCTCTATATACTGAAATAATGACTTGCTCTAGGAAGTTGCTTTTTTACTAAAAGATAGCTAATTGGCTCTTCTAAAAACTGTCGCCGCCGGATTCTTTGTTTTTCATTTAATTAAAAAAAAATAAAAAGTATTTTTTTCTGATGTCGTGGCGGATGCGCCAGGCTTCAACTAGTTTTATAATAATTTTAATTATGGCAAGCAATATAAATGAATTATAAGCTGTTATCTAAACATTATATGTTCTTTATTGCATATATTATACGTATAAATATATTTTTTTAAATATAATACATTAATTTGCTTAAAAGTATTCTTAAAGTACATTCATGGAACAATAGGAATTTAAACATAAAAAATAACGGCTTCGAAAATTACTCTCCTAACATGGATAGAAATTTGAGCTGTTCATAGGTTTATAATATTAGAACTGATCTGACTAGCATTATTTTTTAATATTACGTTTTTCTTACCATTTTATTATTATTAATTAACCGAAATAAGGGTAACATGAAATCTTACTATAACTTCATTTTAACTAACATGTACAGAAGATATAAAAAAATGGTAGGGATGAATTAAGACTAACTGACTCCTGAAGAATGTGAATGTACGTTTCCATTGCTTCCATTCCTAACTAAAGGCCTCTGTGTTGAACTTGTTTCATGCTTTCTTTCAACGCTAATAACAAATTGATATAATTTTAAGAGTTGGACAACATGGACCTTAATAAAAATACCTGTTACTTCGAGAAGATGACCCAGCTCTCCTGAATATTCCAGTAATCATGTCTTTTAAGTTCCCCCGACTTCCTGTTTCTTCATTAACGTCAGAATTTGAATTATTTCTCGAATTACTCTGAAACATTTTAATTTGAGTAAACTAAGAAACTATAACTAGTGTTGGATAAATAGAATCATATTTACTTTGGAGTTTAGTTGTCTTGGATTGGAGAATATTCCTGGATCTTGGTCATCGATACTTCTCGATTTGGTAAGTTTTTTTAATTTCCCCATTAATCCAGTTTTTTTCTTCTTCTCGCCGGTGTCACTCTGAGTTGATCCCGCTGACAATCTACTGTCTAAACTAGAATCCCTTTTACCTCGTTTGATATCAATGTCAGATTCAAAAGATTGAAGACTAGAGAGACTATCGTTATTATCTGTTTGCCATATTTTTTGATCTGCCTGGATATTGTGCTCCAAAGATATACTTTTGCGATGAAGGCTGCCTTGTGAGATTATGGAAGATTGTTTTCTTAAAGCGCTTTTGCTATATCGAGAACTACCAATTGCTTCTGCTTCTGTTGATGTCGCTCTTCGCATTCCCATTCGTCTTAACCTTTCCCGTTCTTCTTCATCTTCATTGAGCTTTTGTATTTTTCTTAGATCCTCAGTTGTGTGAACAAGCCGCTGCATTATTCGGTGAATTTGCTGTTGTTTATCTTCGGGAGTTTGGGAGCTTTCTCTATAATCAATTGCAGGAGATGTTTCTCTTGACTTTGATTTGGTCCGACGAGGCGGTGTTGGAGTGTATGGAGCTTCGTTTTCTTTAGAGAAAAATAGTTCTGGAGCTATTTGTTTTAAGGTGTCAACTTGTTCAATAATCATTTCGACCTTCCTTTCATCTCCTAGATCTGTCTTTCTTCTGTCAACCTTAACGATTCTTTGTTCTTCGCGTTCTTTTTCGTATCTTTCCTTTTCTCTTCGTAGCTTCTCATTGGTTGTTCTTAATTTAGCATGAGCGTCTCTTAATTCTAACAAGTCGCATTGTAGTTCGGTTATTTTTCGTTTATTTTCTTCCTGTTCTTCTTCCGAAGATTTCTTGAACTGATCTTGTTTTCTTTTTGATTCTAGCCTCTCCTTATCTCTTTCACGTTCAACCTCAAATAATGTTTGTCTTAAGTCTCTAGCTAAGGTGGCTGTTTCCTGTAGTAATCTTTGTTGTTCTTCGCGTTCTTTTTGCCATGCCAGTTCCATTTTTGTCCTAAGACCAACTATTTTGGTTCTACCGCTACTTAAAACTTTTTCTTCTTCTAATTCGTTAACTTTAGAATGGAGTTCGGATAATCGTACTTCCCAAGAAGATCTCTCTGATATTAACTCTGTTTTTAATCTAGAACTCTCTAGGCGAGCCTCTGATAGCTCATCTTCCATACAACTTATTTGCTGTTCTAATGTCAAAACTTTGTTCTTACTTTCTTCCAGCTAAAACAACAAAATTAAGGTAATTTTAAAACGTATAATTTAACGCTAACATACTTCATCGTAATGCAGTTGTTCTTTCGGATTCTTATTTCGATTCAGCTTAGGAGATTGTTTTAAATCTCCTATAGTCTTTTGAGCTGACTCTAACATGTGTTTATAAGAATCTTTTTCTCTTTTAAATCTCAAAACTTGATTCTGTAATGACTGTAGTTCTTGATTCATAACGTTCAGCTGACCTTCATATCTCATTTTACATTCAGCTACATCAGTTTTCTTAGATTTATCAGCACTGTTTAACCTAAGAATAAAAAACAAGTTTTCTTTAGAGAGTGAAGAATTTAATTCCAATACTTACTTTATTCTGAGATGCTTGATTTCTTTTTCCATGGCTGAAGAATCTGCACTAATATTCCTTTGGACCTTATTAACCTTTTCATAATCATCCAGTTTTTTATTTAACTCGTCATTTTCCTTCCTCATATATTCCATCTGGTCATGAATCAAATCATACTCTTTCTTTACTTGCTCTAGTTCAGATTGTTTCTCTTCATAAAGAGCTTTCAGCCTCTGTTTATCAAAGTCAGTGCCGTTGTACGATGGTTTTTTCATTTCTTTTAGCTTTTGCTCCATTTCTAACTTCTCTTTTATCCAGGTGTCTTGTTTGGTGTTGTACGTCTCTCTCAATGTTTTTAATTCCGATTCGAGTTGATCTACTTCTTTTTTGAGATTCTTGAACTGGCTGAAATTATGCATATTTTCTTAAAGTGTTCATCTACTCTATGATCGGATGAAAACTACATCATAGAAGGCTTATAATTAATATTTCTGTTGCTGTCACTATCAAGAGAAATAGTAAAGCTTAAACTAAAATTATAATTCTACGCCTGCTCTGACATCAGTTTTGTTCACACGCTATATTTTGTATTTTGTTGAGAACAACTTACTTTTCAAGAGTTTCCTTCTCCATAACTAATTTTGCTTTAGTAACAACATGTTCTTCTTCAAGGATTTCATATTTAGCCGTCAAATCATCATATTTTTGACGCTCTCTTGTAATTGTGTCTTCTAACTCTAAAATTTTATATTTTAAGTTAATATTTCTTTCAACAATTTTTATGTCTACTTTACTTTCTATAGATTCTTGGAAATGTTTTATTTCAAGTTCCTTTTTCACACTACCAGTAGAATTCATTTCGAGTTTTTTAATTTTGCTTTTTAAGGAGGACAGCTCGAGCTCTCTATTTTTATGTTCTTTTTCTGCGTTTACTTTTAAAATATCAACTTTCTTCTTCTCGTTTTGCAGGTCTATTTCGAGTTCTTTAATTTTCTTCTCTTGTTCCAGTTTGGAGTTTTTCTTCTCCAAATCCGATTTCTTTATTTTGTCTTCTAGGTTCTTTTCATTTTTGATGGCGATTTCTAATTTTGCTTCTAATTCGGAAACTATAACAGCTTTTTTGCTCAGGTCATCTTTAAGTCGGTTTATCTCTCTGCCTTTCAGTTCTTCTACTTTCAAACTTGTTTTGGATACGATATCTCTTTCTTGGCTAAGACTTTCTTCCAATTGTTTAATTAATTTACCTTTTTGTTCTATGGTATTTTCGAGACCTTTAATTTTGACCAAGAAATTTTCTAATTGGAAATTGAGTTTCTTTTTTTCATCCTTCCATTTGGTTTGTTCATTCTCCATATTCTTAATTTTGAGTTTTTCCTTTTCAATCTGGAAATATTCATATTTATTATTTATTTCAATAGCAACACAATAACATAAAAATTAGACGAACCTTAGATTCAAAATCTTTACTTTGCTCTCTTAACTTCTTATCACATTCGCTGTATTTGTTTTCAAATTTAGTTACTTGACCTTCTAGGTCTACTAGTTTCTTATTTTTTGAAGTGTTCTATAAAAAATACGATATGTAATACAATTAAAATTATTTTATTGTTCGTTAATACCTCAGCTGTTAACCTATTTAGCTCTGTAATACTTTCTTTCAATTTATCAATTTCTATATTCTTTTCTTCTAAGGTTTTTTTAAGAGCATCTATCTGATTATTGAGTTGTTTGATTTGATTTTTCGAAGACTCTAATTCACCTAAAAATATCTTACTAAAATAATAAATAATTATTATACAAAATATTACCTAATTGTTCCTTAAGTTTATTTAGCTCATCTTGTAAGTTTCTCCTGTCTTCTTGAACTTTTTTGCTATCTTTAGATATTTTTTCGTGTTGTTCTTTTAATTTTTTCTTTTCGTTTGTCGCCTTCTCTAAAGATTCGCGAATTTCATTTAGTTCTTTTATAAGTTCTTCGTTCTTGCTTATGTCTTTATTGTGCTTCTCTTTTTCTTCATTTAGTTGTTTCTGTATTAATTCACATTTCTTGTTCAGTTCGGCCAGTTCATTACGAAGTTTTTCAGCTTCGTTGTTGGATTTTGGGTTAGTTATTTCATTCGCTATGGTTTTATTTTTTTCGCTTAATTTCATAAAGGTAATCATCTCACCTATCTCCTTTTCTAAATCAGAGACCATCGTTTTCAATTGATCTCTGGAAGTTAATACTGTTACTTTCTTTGGAGTTCGGTTAATGAATTTCTTTAGGTCACCCTAAAAAAATAAAATATTTAAACTCTGAATTCGTAATTCATTTTTTTTAATAAGTACCTTGATATCTATATCACCTGACGTTGAGTTTGAATCAAGATCTTTGATCCGTTGTTTTGTTTCAGCCAATTCAATTTCTAACATTGCAATTTGATCCACATATTTCTCTAAATTCTTGTCGCTATTTTTCAAATTCTTGGTGCTTTTTAGAAGATTAATTTTCTTGTTTTCGGCAGTCAGTTTTTCGTTTTCACTTTCTAAACTTTGTACTTTGTTTCGCAGAACAAACGCTTCTTGTTCTATCACTTGTAGTTGTCTTTTCAAATCCAGAGTTTGTTGATCCATATCCAAAGACCTTAGAAATAACAATGGCAGGTTTTATATGTTTTCATCGGTTACATGAAAATATAAAAAACGCCCCCCTTACTTGCTTTTTTGAATGCTTTTGGATCTTTTTTGATTTAAGGCTAACTCCGCGTGTAGCCTTTCACAGTCTCTTTCTTTTTCTATAAGTTTCTTCCTGAGATCATTTGTTTCGTCTTCCAGAACCTAAGCCAATTTGTCAAATTAGTACCTACACATTATTTTAAATGCATCCACATTACCTTAATCTTTTGATTGTCAATAGAATTAATCTTATCACTATGTATTGACGTTTTTCTGGCAGATCCTTTCAGATGCAATTTATCTTGCATATCTTTGTTTTTACTCTTTAGAATTCTATTATCTGCTTCTAGTTCTTCGAGTTTCTTCCGAAGAACTGATGCTTCTTGTTCGCTAAGTTCGAGCTGAATCTTTAATTCAGTTGGATCGTCATCTTCAGATATATCTTTATTTTCTTGAGGTTCGGGTGTTAATCTTTGGTTTGTTGGACTTAATTTTCGACCTAAATTAACATTTTTATTAACAAGTGTATATATCACAAATTGTTAATTATGTGGTCACAGTAAAATAAATGTGAATTAACTTATTTCGTATGACTCCAGAGTTCTTAGTAACTCTAGAACAGGAAGTATTTTTTTAGATTTTTTAGAATAAAATATGCGTACATATTAAATTACTGTACGTTGCAAGCGAGTTTGTTATAAACAAATTTTACGCTTAAGAAAAATCGATTTAGTAAAAACAAACTGGAAAAGTAATAGGAAAATTTAAGCAAGATTTGTAAGAAAATTATTGCAACTGTAGAAAATGGCTTTAAGTATTTAAAAAAAAACACAAAATTAGGGTTGTTAAAATTTTTAAGCCAAGTTAAAAATTATATATAGGGAACAAAGCATGCTGATACTAAGGGCTGGCAAAGGTTAGTCTTGGGTCGAGATTTCCGTATGTAAGAAGAGTACAATGCGTTTATAATGTACTGAACAAAGAGAGGACAGTAAAAACGTTGCCAAACGTATTAAATAAACCGAGAAACTGTGCACATCGCTAAGAGACGTGGAAGGGGATATAGCAGATTTGTCGCAGTTGACCGGTCGACCCAATCAATACCTCTGTCAGTACTTAAAGTTCTAGGGAAAGGTGTACGTCATGCGTTCAGCTTCACGATTTAATTACGTCTCGTGATACTTAATTTGTTTATTTATTAACGAATCGTTGTAATTTTCCCTATAGCTTGAATTTTTTTAAGTGCAAGCTAGAAACACTTGCATTTTTGGTAAAAATAAGTGGAATTGAGTGGGTGTTCGATAGTGGCTATTAGAACTCTGAATTCAAAAATCGATATATTAGAAATAATAAATTGTAGTTTTTTCAAGAACTTTGTTAATATTTCTGCTGTATTTTCTTTGTAGACAGTATGTGAAAATCTTTATCAATAAAAAAATTACACGATTGCTGAAAATTGCTATGCTCTAAAAGTAAATGGATGGATTGTTTGCTATTTTTGAATGGAAAAAACAACCTTCTCGAATTTTTCTTATGTAAACATATTGTAAAATATCCGATCTTGAAAATAAAAAAAAGTTTCAATATCTAAAGTGGTTCTTGACTTATGGCCTGTTATGTGTTAAAAAGTTGAGTTTTTAAATTATCGCGATTACTGACGTTTTCTCGTTATAAAAAAAATTACACCTTAACGATATCCTTATAATTCCATTTCAGATGCTCAAAAACGTTACAAACCTAATGATTTTATCTAGTTATCTCTTGAAAAAAAAGTCTTTTAAAAATAAGCGGTTTGCGATCGTGATTTTACTTTACTTGATAGGGAAAGGCGTATCGGCAACGCCGCAACAGCACACCGTCGCGCGTCGCGTCGGTCGGTCGCATTTCTCTCACTCCGACTTAATAAGATCCCTATGCGATTTACTTCCACACATGTAAATGCCGACCCAAAAGTAACAGTTGCCAGCACGGTATAAGTAAACGAGTTAGGTAATAAACAAAGAGGCTCCACAAATTTAACAATTATTTAGCAGATTATCGTAAAAATTTTTTAAATTCATTTTAAAACAAATATACTGTTGTATATACTAAGTTCTTATTAAATCTGTAGAGCTGTCCTATTTCTTTCAATCGTTTCATTAAACAACATTTTGTTATTAACATACTCCTAGCTCTGGTTGCCATTTTTTTCAGCTGCAAAACCAAAGATTCGTTGTCATCTTCTATTCGAGATACTTTCTTGCGTAAATTTTCAGCCTAAAACAACAAGGAAAAGCATTTCTTTACCCATCATAGTAGCTAAAGTATCCATAGGTGAAAATAATCTAACAGAAGATTGGTAAATTTTTGCTATAGGGGTATCACGTAAATGCAAAGAAGCTATTAAATTTTTAAATGCAGACGTTTCTGTTATAATATTCTCATTAAAACAGTTTGGTTTAAATTCCTCTAAGCACGTTTCTTTCATGCAATCTTCCGTTTGCGTTGATTTCATTTCGGTATTGGTCATTTCGACTAAGTTCTGAATAAGAGTTTGAGTATATTTGTTATCCAGCTTAATTTTTGGCAGTACTCTATCTGTAAACTTTCGTCTAAAAACTCTATTGCTCTAAAGAATAATGATAATAGAATGGTCTGTCAAAATATTGATTAAAAGAAACTATATATACCTCTTCTTCAGCAAATTTGAGTTGTTCTCTTAAGTCTGCTTCGCGTTCTAAGGAGTCTTGTAGATCTCTTAATAGCTGAGCAGGATCGTCTTGAGAACCACCTCTAGTTAAAGATTCTCTCGAAACCTTTTGCTAGAAATATAAAAATTTTATTAAAAAAAATACAGCTAATTTAGCTCACTTACCCCATCATTAGAGAGATTTTTTCCAAGAGATCCTAAAAGTGGGGCCCTTTTTTTCGTTCCCGGTGTTTTTGTAACTTCTTCCAGTTTTTTATTCGAGTCTTCTAATTCTCGTTGTAGTCTTATAGATACTTCATTTGATACTTTAAGATCTTGCTCTAATTGCCTGATTCTTTCTAATGATGAAAGACCAGAACTTCCTCCAGATACCTAAAATGATTAATTATACTAGCAGTGATGGGCAAGTACCCGGTATATTGAAATTTGGGTAAAATAAATACCCAAATTTTTACACCCGGTATACTCGTATACCCAAAGGGTCAATAAATAGTATATTGAATTTGCATGGGTATATAAATACCATTATACCCGATATATATCCAATCATACTCACGTTCTTAATTTAAAGTATTCTAACAATTTTTAAAAACAACTGACAGGGGTTGATGGTAGAAGGGTGAAAATTTAGGGTTGTTTGTATTTTTTAATGCCACAACATAAAGAAATAAAAAAATTTTGTCCAAAAAAAATTGGGATGGACCACCCTTATGATTTAGGGGTATAAAAAATAGTTAATAACCTATTCTGAAACCTACTGAATATACATATAAAATTTGATCAAAATCAGTCAAGCCGTTTCGGAAGAGTATGGAAACTAAGACTATTAAAAAAACAACCCCTATTAAAAAAGGGGTTGATGGTAGAAGGGTGAAAATTTAGGGTTGTGTGTTTTTTTTAATGCATAAAAAAATAAAAATAAAAAATTTTCTAAAAAAAGTAGAAAAAAATTGGGGTGGACCGTGGGTATGAAAAATCAAAATGTGAATATACATATAAAATGTCATCAAAAACGGCTAAGCCGTTTCGGAGGAGTACGGTAACTAAGACTGTGACACAAGAATTTTATATATTAGATAATCAATTATTTTTTCTTGTAAATTTTTAATCAGAATACCTCATTCATCTTTTTCTCCAATTCTGACTTTTCATATTCCAGATGTTCAGCCTTCTTTTCAGCTTTGCGAAGTTTAAATGAGAGAATTCGACAGTTTTTTGTCGTCTGGTCTAATTCTTTCTTCATAGATGTGTATTCAACAGCTTGGTCCTCTCTAAGAAAATTTAAGCTCAAATTTACTGGTTACAATCAAAAAACTTGCTATTGTTGAAAGAGAAAAACCAATTAAAACAGAACTAACCTGAAGTTATCCTGCATTTCGTCAATTTGTTCTTCCATATCCCTAAGTTCCTTCTTCATATCTTCATTCTCATCCATAAGTTCTTCACATAAAGTTTCAGCTGCCAATAATTTCGATCTGAGCTCATCGGCCACTTTCTGAGCTTCGTGTGCCGTGGGCCTCAGGTCTAAATCAGCCTCCAATTCCTTAACTCTTAAAGACAGGCTTCTTTTTTCATCTTTGTAGTCTTCTAGTTGTTGTTTAAGCTCGTTGCATTTTTGTTGGAGTTTCAATACTTCCGTGGCAGTAGTTTTACTGGTTGTAGTTTCCATAGCAGCTAATCTTCTTAATAAAATATCACTTTTTTCTCTTTCCAGTCTATCACATTTGGCTTTAGTTGTTTCAAGTTCTTTTTTTATAGACTCGAGTTGTTCTCTGAGTTCATTATCTGGCCCTACTAAAGTGGCGTCAGACGTTTCTGTTCCGGCATTACTCACCGTATCATCATTTTCCGATCCTGATCCACTTTCCTCTAGAGAATCTTGAAACTTTATGTTTCGCTTTACCTTAATGACAAGAAAAAAATTAATATCCTTCTTGGTACTGTAAATCTGTCAGAAATATTACAAGAACTTTTTCAATTACATTATATCGCAACTACAGTTTTTAATAGGTGCATTAGGTACTTTAGCATCAGATAGACACTTCTTCATACTTCTGCAGTTGCACTACACAGTTATTTTATAGTAAAAACTAAAATTAATTTAGACGGATTTATCTTGATTTTTTTTATTAAACTTATCTTGATTAAATTAGAAAATAGCATCGACTATAAATTAATATTTTTCTGACAGATTTATTTTTTATACTACAGAGTAATTATACTAATTAGAATATTAGAATACTTTTATGCATTATAATATCAACAAACAAATTTATTTTTTAACATTTCTAGTCCCAATCAATGCATAAATGTGCTCACTTTTTTTGTTAAGTAGTCATATTAATCTCTTGTAATTAGTAAAAATACCACAAATATTTAGAAATGCACAAGGTTAATAGGTGGCGTTTTAGCAGAACATTTTAAATATAGACTTTAATATTATAAACAGAAGTACATATACCGGAGTATTAAAGATAGTTGTTTCCTTGAAATAAACGCAGAGAAATAATCCAAAATCAAAATGTTGGAGAAGAAATTATAAGATGTATGGAAAAAAAATATTAAAATAGCCCTTTCTTTTAATAATTTTAACATACGTATAATACTTTACTTACATCCATATTACTCCAGTAAATTAAAATTAAAGTAAATAGAAGATATCGGTAATTTTTGTGGTAAATAAATATATACCAAATATTAAGAAAACGATTTTTTTTTCAAAAATACAGTGATATTAAATTTATAAAATTTAATGTAAAATGTTTGAGAATCAATTAAACGCGTAATCCAATATTTACTTCGCAGATGTTTTAAGTGGTTTGGAGAAAAATGAAACTTTATTACCAATAACTTCCAAGAAATCAAAACCATTAAATTCTAAATATATTTTAGATAGTGCAAAAATTACGCAACCAAAAATACAGTGAATTAAATTATATACAAACGGAATGGATATGAAATATGAAACTTACGATATCTATTTTTTCATATTTATTAGTTTAGAAATTTAAAAAAATATATTAGATACATATTTTGCGTTCTTACCAAACTGCACTGCGCTGCGCCATCAAATCAAAGCTAAACGGATTCGGGAAAATATTCTACAAGATTATTCGCATTACCGGAAATTAATATAATTTTGGATAAATCTACTCTCAAAGCTCTACTGTATTGTGAAGGGTTAAAACACTCAAAAGCTGTATATAAATTACTTGTATAAGAAATTGTACATCGTGATTATTAGGCTCCTCTGAAATTGTTTTCACTTCCTTTACTTGGATTCTTCGCGAGCTTCGTTCGGCAGATTCCTTAATGGCTTGTAGCTTCTTGGCTCTGGCAGCTAAACTGTCTTCCTTTTCATACAGAGCAGATTTGCGTTCCTTTATTATCGAAAAACTATCTGAAACTATGATAAACGAAACAGGAATTAAACAATCCCACTTAATTTCACAACTTAAAACCAAAAATATCTATAGGAGTTTTTTCTCCTATATTAGAACATACCAGCGGCGTGCGGTCCATGGAAGCTTTTTAAAAATAAAAAAATAAATAGTTAAACCCTTCGTTAATAATACTGTTATTTTATAACAAAATATTAAATAAAATTCTGGAAATTGCCGCCGGTCGCCTGTCCCTCCTTCATGTAGGTGTTATCACATCGACGATCACATGTAGGTGTTATCACATGTAGGTATATCAAACGACAAATTTAAGCCGGAAAATCGCGCACAGTTGCTATAGCCACGGCAGCGGTCTTTCGGCCGCCTTCCTCGACTTTTAATTTATCGGGACGGGTGCGCTTACGATTTTATAGGTGATGGTAATATATTATAATAAATTAAATCCAAAATTCTATGATGATATTATAGACAAATTTGCAATGGACGAATAGACCTCAAATACAAATAGGTGCCTATCGCGAGCCTATCGGAAAATTAATGTAAAATGTCGTATTTTAACTATTATAACTTTATGTGTTTTTGTTTGTTTAACAATTTTCGATAGAATTTTAATCGAACAATGGAATTGGCCTCGGAATTTTCAAAGATAAGTTTTTTAAGAAAATGTAAAAGAAATGTCTCGAAATAGGGTTTTTTACCGAATCGCTTCCCCGCCTATAATTGTCACCGCACGCCGCTGGAACATACAGGGTCCGGAAATAGTGCGTCGGGCATCTGTAGCTCCTAGAATAAAAAAAACTTGGGAATTTTGTTTAAGTGCAAACTTAAAGTATGTACTAGAATGTAATTCAGGAAAATATTTTGACTTCTATAGAGTGGCTCAAAGACGTGTGAGTGGATCGGGATGATTTTTTTTAAACAAACAAACACCCAGTAAATTATTGCATTTTTGACTTCCTTTCAGATCACTTTACATAATCCTAAGACATGAGTAAATATATATTTCGATAATTTTAGAGATATTAATAAATAAATAAAAACTATATATTTTTAAGCCTTTCTTATAAAAATTATTAAAAGTAAAAAAGAACTATTCTCAAATCAGAACTATATTAGGTATTTAATTTAGATGGTCCGTACTTACTTTGCTATAAATATGTAATCGAAAATCATACAGGATGTTCAAAATTCTACGCCAAACTATCTAAAATAATATAAAATATTTCTTCTTCTTTTCGTTTTAAATGGAACCCTCTGTATATTATTTTTCCAATAAACGTAGAATTAAAAAATGAAAAGTTTTTTGTATTTAGAGTATTTCAAAATTTTTAACGGTTTCGCAGATATTCTCAGTTTTTTATTCCATATGGCATTTTCCCCAGTAAATTTTTACCAAAGCCACCCAATGATTTTTCACTCGTATTTTACCATTGAAAGCGCCATATCAAATCATACAGCGTGTATCTGCAAAACTATTAAAAAATTTGAAATACTTTAAATACAAAAAATGTTCATTTTTTTAACTCTCCATCTAATAAAAAATAATATACAGGGTGTTTGGTGTTCCATTAAAAAAAACAAAGAAAAAATATTTTATATTTTAGAAATATTTGCCGTAGAATATTGAACATCCTGTATGATTTACGATTACCATTATTTATAGCAAAGTAAGAACAGACCATATAAAGTAAATACCTAATAGAATTTTGATTTCAGAACAGTTCTTGTATTTTTAATAATTTTTTTAAGAAGGGCTAAAAAATATACATTTTTGATTTATTTTAATATCTCTGAAACTATCGAAATATATTTACTCATATCTTAGGATTATGTAAAAAGATCTGAAAAAAGCCAAAAATGCAATAATATACAGGGTGTTCCATTAAAAAAAATCATCCAGATCCACTCATACCTGAAATACATCTTCGTACATACACTTTCGGTTTACACTTAAACAAAATTCTCAATTTTTTTATTTTAGGAGCTACAGATGCCCGACGCACTATTGCCGGACCCTGTATAGCTTTATAAAAACGCTATCCAGTCGAGTAAATTAATGCAGATGATTATAGACTCCATAATATAATAGCAACCTATTTTAGACATCTCCTATATTGGAGCTATTTTAGGCAGCTCCTATAAGTATAGGAGATCATACAGCTCCAGTAGTACATATAGGAGCTATATACTACATATACACCTATAAATATTTATTATTTATCAGTTAATTAAGCAGAGCTATTTCACATAAATATTTAATAATGTTATTTATTGTACCTGTCCGTTGTCCTGTATCTATAGGTTTTTGTTTTCTCTTAGGTAGCTTAATACTGACAGTTGTAACTGCTTGGGTGTCGTCCTGTAAATTTGCCAAATCAGGCGTAGATATCCAAGACGAAGGATTCGAATAGTCACTATCACTACTGCTTCCTGACTTGTCATTTTCACTAGCCAGATTTGTACTAGATACCCAACTTCGTTTTGAGCTTCCATCGCTTAAAGAAAAATATGTATATTCCCTTAATAATTATTTAGTAATAATAAAGATAAAAGGGGATGTTAAAATATTTTTGCTTAATAATATTATCAATAATACAGCTAACATAGCACTAAATTGTTAAAAAGATTCTTACACAAAATTCAGAAATTGAAATTGTAGAACAAATATAAATTTTAACGTATAAAATATGTGCCCACAGTGACTATAAAAGCAGAAAAGATAGATATTACAATAGTTTATTTTCCAATGAGACTATTTGGCAACCCTAAAGGCGAATTGGTGTAAATGAAGTGGGAATAAATTTGAGAAACATTAAATGTTCTTATAGTGGCAATTAATTAAAATGAAAAATAGTTGGGATTAGAACCCGAATATAACACTGAACAGTGAAAATTAATTGCCTGTGCATGTTCACATATCAGTAGTAACGTATTTGTTTATTTTTTATAAATAAAAAAGATCTATGATACGATTTCTTTATTTTACGTGCTAATTCGTTTGAATAAAATTAGATTTTAGTTACCTTCAAAACTGAAGGTAACGCTGAATTTTGGTCGGTATATAATTAATTATTCTATAATTTGTTTCCATGACTCCAATATTATACTAAATACCGTATGATCGAGAAAAAACGGCGTCAGCGATGGCTATGGAATGAAGATCGCTGTCATTTTATATGTAAATTTATATGGGAAATGTCATCGATGTTCATTTCCAAGCCAACTGGACACAAGCCGTTTTTTTTTCGATCATACGGTATTTAGTATCCTTATAAATAATATTTTTTTGTTACCTCAATAATTTTACTATATTATTAGTTGTTATCTCATATCTTACCTTAAATTTAATGATAAGCTAGGGGTTGAAGTTGAAGACGAATCCTTTCTTAAACTCGGTTCGTCTCGTTTTTTACCTCCGTGTTCTTTATAGTCTCTATTTAAAATAAAAATATCTCAAATAATTATGATTAAGAGTTATAACAAAGTATATAAAAAGGTTTTTACTAAGGTATGTGTTTAAATTTGTCAACTTAAACTATTTATAATAACTAGATACTTTATATACGACGAACCGAAATAAAACAAACAGGACATACAGCCTAGAACAATTTGAATGTAGTACAAGGTTTCTAATCGCAAATAAACAAACAGGTAGGATAAGGCCCTATTTTTAAACATACCTAAAACACCTTTTACACCTGGTGGGCCATCTCACCTGGGGATGAAACCCTAAAGGACACAGGGGATCCCCTCTAGCCAGCGGATACATATGCTGCATATTTTTTCAAATATTTTTACCTACAACTCTTCAAGAAAATACTTGTTTTAAATTATTTGACATGTGTGCGAAGACAATACATATTATACAGTTTAACATAAAATAAACACTGTGTGTTCGATTAGTAGCAGTTACAAAATAAGTTACTCTATCTACTTACATCATTTGAGGGTGAAAACTACATTTTGTTCACATCAAATAAACATAGAAAACTGACGTGTTAAGTTTTTTAGCGTATTTTTAGCACAATAGTGAAGCCACCCGGAGGAAAAAATTAAAATAAAAATATGTTTGTTATATTTTCTTTCAGCCCGTGTGTGTGTGAAAACTGTTATTGCGAGAACTACATATCTATATATAGCGCCCAGCTTGGAAGCACTCTCTGGTTCAATTTTTAGGTGTTCCGAATGTATGTCTACCTATATGCACTCACTCAAATTCAAAGTCTCTTTCAACACTTACTATCTATTTGTCGGTTATTTTTTACGTCTTTTTCGAAACACTTGCAACACTTTTTCAACACTGTCGTTTTTATGAGCGCCTGTAAGCAACAGATGAGCAGTTGCATAACGCACTAATCCTATGGATAATGTCCAGTATGGAAAATATAAGTGGATCGAAGATGATCGATCAGCAAATAAATTCAATAGTTATATATACACGTTGGGAGGAAAAAATAAGGCCCGAAACGCTGAAGTATTTAATTCTGAGACGTCAGGTTACGCGTCAGTTTAGATTTAGCAATAGCTCACTCCTGTATCTTACCTAAAAACGGGAACATTGCCAATAAGTCTGTTCGGTACTTTGAAGCTTATACACGCACATTATTTGCATATATTGGTTTTCTTATAGCTTTTAATAGACCCAAATTAATATTTTTAATGATTATTTTTGATATTTTAAAAAATACTGTTATTATATTAAAAATTCTATTTAATATAGCATTTGTTATTCTCTTAATTCTTTTATGTAAGTAATTAATAAAATTCCTTTTATTCATTTTAAAAACATTCTAAAATCATACTGGTTTGTTTAGCTATTATAACTTGAAGTTAATAATAGACTTGTAAATATTTTTGAATATTTCGCTGGTTCTACTTTAGCGGCCTCTATTAAACGATGTTAATATTATTTTGAAACGCGCCAAATAAATTTACAAAAAAAAGCAGTATCACCTATTGCTCAAATATGAGATTAAAATAAGAATTCTATAATACTAGTACTAGCTTTATGCACTTTTTACAATATCGAAATTGCAAAAATCAATTAAAAATTTACACATAAAATTTCATATTAAATTCTAGAAAAGATAACAAGGCAATTATTTATCGTAATACCAACATGTAATATACACAATATTAAGCATCACTCTAATTTTAAATTTCTTAAAACTTTTAAACTATACCCCCATTTTAAACAACTTGCATAGCAATATTTTCTAGTAGAAATCTACAATGCTATTTTCCTTCAGTGTGCAATGCGGGTCCTCTAAACACAGATAAGTTGACGTCAGATCACATCTACAGATCACATCATTTCCATCCAATATCTTTTACATTGTGAGGAAAAGAGATAGATACAAATAGGTGTAGCTGTATAAAGAAAAAGGACAGCGTATATAAAAATATCAATTGATGTGCTGATTGTTGATATGAGGGAAGGGAAGGGGAAGGAGTACCTGTCAAAATACGTGGGTAAATAAGTGGTTTTCTTATTTTTCAAGTTTTTCTTATAACTTCTATGAAAACAGTTTAAAAAATAAGAAACTTTTCAAACTTTTTGTATTTGAAACTACATATTTGCTGGAATAGTTAAGGTTCATTTAGAATTCAAAATTACATATTATTTAAATGATGTCAGGGTCTACTAACATTAATTCTGATTTAGCAGCTGAAAGAAAAAAATGTACTTTTAAAACTGAAGAGCTAATCAATGTTTTGGATGGGGGCCCCCATAAAACAAAGGACAGAAAATTCAGGGGTAAGTTGCAGTTTTTAGAATATATTTTTACTTAAATTAATAGAAGACATTCTAATGTATATATTATTAGTTGTAGAAAGTTTAAATAATGTGTAGATTTCTCTTTAAGTATGATTTTAATTGTTAATAACTATAAATTGTTAAAACAAAGTACTAAAATAGACGCATTAAAACTTTATGGTTTTTTGTGAAAAACTTTTAATTGCTACAAAAACCGGTTTTAGTAATTCACTAAATAATTATCTATTTTAGAGAAATACTTCCTTGAAGACCCTGAACTGCAATCCAAAGTTCCTTTGGAATATCTTAGTCATAAAGAAAAGTATGAAGAAGCTGTTCGTAAAGCCTGTTTGCTTTTTAAAAAAGTTCAACAACTGCAAAATGAAGGCCGAGGTGGCATGGACAATTTTAGGTCGGTTTGGAAATAATTAATATACTTCATTAATTAATTTGATCCTTAGAGAGGGATATCAGATATTTTATCCTCATTTTTTTTCATTCCAAAATACAATTGCAAAATAATCATTGAAAGATAAAATGTAGTTGACCTTTAGTTAATAAATTAGAATCCTTTTATCAGTGAACTTTACATACTATAATTATATCCTATGAATTATTACACTGATATTATTTGCATTAACTTATGTCAGCATAATATTTTTAATATTATTTTATTTACCAGAAATGTTTTTATTTTTTTAACTCAAAATTAAAACTAATAAAATTAAATGTACATGATACAGAAATAAGGAAATTTATTGTAGAGAAATAAGGAAATTTGTTTCTATGAAATTCTCATGTCAGTCTTAAGTACCAAAAAAAGAAGTAAACATATTTTCATGATTCTCGATGTCTCGAAGAAAAAAGTATCTAAATTTTAAACTTGACATATCTCAAATAATTATTTGAGATATAACAGTCTCATGAAAATTTTCTTAAAACACTCATGTTTCTGAAGAAAACATTTTTTCTAGGACTGCTCACTGAAAAATATAGCTATTCTGAGACTGAGAAAAATAAATAAATGTATTTTTATGAGACTTACATATCTCACAAAATAAATACTTATGTTTCTGAGACTCTCATATCTCAAAGAATAATAGTAATTTTTTTTGAGAGTCTCTCATTTCATATAGAGATACATAAATATTTCATGTCTGTCTTAGAAAAATAATTAAACTTATTTCCCCAAAATCTCATTTTTCTAAGAAAAAAGTGATCCTTTATCTGAAAATCTCATCTCACAGAGAAATATGAAACTATCAATTTTGTCTCCTGTCTCAGGAAATAAAAATATATTTATGAGAATACCATATCTTCAAAAATAAGTAATAGTTATTTTTCTGAGATTCTAATGTCTCAAAAAAAGAAAAGCTTCTCTGAGAGTCTCTCATCTCGCAGAGAACTGTTATTTATGGGTTAACATTTTAGGGAAGTTTTGGGTGGGCAGTTGGGATCTGCCATACTAGGAGATGGAAATCCCTTAACTTTGCATTATGTAATGTTCATTCCAACTATAATGGGACAAGGTAACTTTGAACAACAGGCTGAGTGGATACAGAAAGCTTGGGAATGTAGTATTATTGGAACTTATGCACAAGTAATGCTCTCTTAGTGAAGTAGGTATACTATATTCATAATTTTGATAAATAATATTGTTTTAGACCGAGTTAGGTCATGGAACCTTTATCAGAGGGTTAGAAACTAGAGCTGTATATGATTCCAAAACAGAAGAATTTGTTTTGAACAGCCCCTCACTTACTGCTTATAAATGGTGGCCAGGAGGATGTAAGTGTTCAATGTAAGAAAACCAGAAAAGTAGTTTTAAAGCATTACCAATTTATTCTAGTGGGTCATTCTGCAAATTATGCAGTTGTAGTTGCACAGTTATATACAAAAGGACAATGTCATGGTATTCATCCATTTATAGTACAGTTAAGAGATGAAGAAACTCATGTACCATTACCTGGAATTAAAATTGGTGAAATAGGTTGCAAACTAGGCATGAACAGCACAAACAATGGCTATTTGGGTTTTGAAAATGTCAGAATACCAAGAACAAATATGTTAATGAAAAATAACAAAGTATTACCCGTAAGTTAATTAAAAAATTTAATACTAAAAAATGCTGTTAAGAGAGATTAGAAGATGTTAAGATTATTATTAAGGTTTAAGATTATTATTAATTACATTTTAGGATGGCACCTATCAAAGCTCTCCAAGTAGTAAACTGACATATGGTACAATGATTTTTGTTAGAGTAGTTTTGGTACAAGATGCTGCAACTTATTTAAAAAAATCAGTTACTATTGCCACAAGATACAGTGCAGTTAGAAGACAGTGTCAAATTAAAGCCGAGTAAGAAAAATTAGATTTAGTGCCTGATATTTGACTGTGTCATTTTTCTTAATTTATTTAGAGAACCTGAGACACAAATCCTAAATTATGTAACTCAACAACATAAAATATTCCCGAATATTGCTACTTGTTTTGCATTCCAATACGCTGCCAATTGGCTTTGGGACATTTATAATGAAGTTAATTCTCAGTTAGAGACTGGACAATTAGATAATTTACCTGAGGTATATAATTGCCACAAAGAAACATCAAATCAAGAATATATTGCATTCATTTTTTAGCTTCATGCAACAGCCTGCGTCCTCAAAGCTGTTAGCACTGCTGATGCAGCTGTTGGGGTTGAGATCTGTAGATTAGCCTGTGGAGGCCATGGTTATATGACGTCATCGAATTTACCATCAATATATGGTCTGGTAACAGCCATGTGCACTTATGAAGGTGAAAATACCGTTCTTCTATTACAAACGGCGAGATTTTTGGTAAAAATGTGGCAAAGTAAGAAGAATTTAACCAATCTACCCACTTTAAAATATTTGGAAACGGCCCTACACAAAACGAAACCATTTGAAAAATCTGTTGAATGGATTATTTCAGCTTTACAAACAACAGCAGCTAGGTAATAAATGTGTCTTTTAGTAATTAAACATTTTAATTATAAATTATTTTATTTCAGAAAAATTGAATTAGCCAATAACCACATAAACGATCGAATCAAGAGAGGACAGTCTTCAGAAGTAGCTTGGAATAATACGTCTATAGAACTGGTAGAAATGGCTGATATACATGGCAGGATTTTTATTGTGGACATATTTCACCAATCTATACGAAAACTACAGGTTTCTCCTGAACTAGAAATAGTTTTAAACCAACTCGATCAACTCTATGCAGTATCTCAAGCCTTAAAATTAACAGGACATCTACTTAGGGTAAGAATTTGCTCCATATATTCTACAAATATTATATAAAATGGTGTTTTGTAGTTTACAGATCTTACTGCGTCAAACATAGAAACACTTCAGAGCTGGTTAGAAGAACTTTTGGCTGCCCTTAGACCAAACGCCGTAGGTTTAGTGGATAGTTTCGATTTTCGCGACGAGGTTTTAGCCTCCGCTTTGGGTGCTTTCGATGGAAACGTTTATGAGAGGCTGTTCAGTGCCGCTCAAAAAAGTCCCCTTAACGCCGAGCCAGTAAATAAATCATTCCAACATTATTTAAAACCATTTTTGAAATCTAGTTTGTAATTTTTTCAGTGGGCTTCGCTGTTTAAAAAAATTGATGTCGTTTAGAAAAACATAGTATTTTATATATGAGGGTTTATATAATTTTATTTTTGTTGTGTTTTAGTACTTTACAGTGGCAGTCAATCAATAGTCTAAGTTTGCCACTCTATTCTACTGCTTCTTTTTTTTCATATAGTCCAAGTATATATAGACATTAATTATAATATTTTTTGAATTATATTTCACTGATGAATTAATTTTTAATTCTTCAGAAAGGAATAAAAAATCTAGTCGTGCCCAAAAATTTTTGAAGTAACATTCTCTGTATCTTTCAATATGTCTGGGACCATTGAGATTCTTAATACAGGGATAAAATAAAATTAGAGATTATATACTAGTATTTTTGTGTAGATTAAATGTTTAGTTATAATTGACAAAAACTGTTAAAAATTTATGTATTTATTAAGGTGACTTTTAAAAAAATTGTTTTTTGATTATATTTTATGATTGCTAAATAATGAGCTTCCCTGAAACTGTAGGGCTGCTTTCTATAATAACTTATATACTGTGCATCTTTCTAAATTCCAATTTTGACATTACCAAATTAAATGAACTACAAGCAAAGTGCAATATATTTTCTAAATTATTTTTTTCTAACATACTATTTAATTTCACCTGAAATGAAAAGTTTTATTAGGAATAAGTGAGTATACCTAAATTAAACATTTATTGGATTAAAATATTTCTAGATTATTAATAGAAATATCTAGATTAGTTAAATTGAAAGCAGCTCTATATTTTATTAAACTATGGTTGTAAAGTATACTATTAAATGTTTAATTCATGTCATTGTCCTATAAAATATTTATAATAGTAATTATGAGAATATAAAATGAATGAGAAAATCGCCAAATTAACGTTTCCCCAATAATTAAACCGAATTGTTTCCATTCCATAGTTACGAATGCTATTTTTTAATACATATATAATGTACTGAATGTAATTAAATTTAGGACCGACCTTAAACTGTGAGTTACGTTGACTATTATTATTAAATAGGTTTTTGTATTCCATCCATATTTTTTATAAAAAAATAATAGTAATGTTTTTTTTTCATTTTCCTTTGTTACAATTATTCTATTTGGCTTCAAATAGATAAAACTAAAATTTATAAGCCATAAAAACAATATTTTTACTGTTTGTGGCAAGATGTGGTGAGAACCAACAGCCCTAAAAGTTTTCTAAAATATACTGAAAAAATATATAAAAATTTATAATTTTTCCAAAGTTGAAATATACTTACTACCAGTAAAGTATTTACTAGACTGTTTAAAAAAATCGACTTTTTTTTCTTACCGGAAATGAAGAAAAAAAAATAGCTCTTAATATTAATACGGTTAATACTAAAAGGTGTCGCATAGGAAATTTGCATTTTCCATTTAATTAACAAAGGAAGATTTTTTTACAACTTTGGAATTTTTTAACTCTTTAACGAGTTTTCGGACAAGTACGACTTGTAGAGATTGAACGCTCTACAAAAAAGTCTCTTATAATTTTTTTATAATTTATTCGTTCTAAAATTATTCTAGTTTGGATTGATAATTAAATTTTAACATTTTTGTCAATTTTTTTTACGTAACTGTTAACTGTATGGGAAAATTTCATAGGACATTTTTGTACAGCTTTTCATTCTCTGTAAATTATCTCTATAAAAGTTTTTAATATTATGTACAGGTAAAAAGTTATCAGGTAAATAATCAATAATTCACACAATGTAATCTTAAACAATAAAAGTACGAAGTACGAATATTAAAAATAAATCAGTTTAATGCAAATAACTTAGAATCTGTAAAATATATCAAAAACTTTTATAGAATGAAAAACTCTACAAAAAATATCCTATAAAATTTTCCCATATGGTTGCGTTAAAGGATTAAAAAAAATTAAATTCATCAATCCCAATTTGACTTTGAATTATAAGAGTTACAAGAGACTTTTTTTGTAGAGCGTTCAATTCTCTATAAGAATATGATTCGACCCGACTAGTCCGAAAACTCTTAAAGAGTTAAAAAACTCCAATTTTGTAACACAAAAATTCCCATGTTAATCAAATGGAAAATCGAAATTTCCGATGCGGTACCTTTTAATATTAAGAGCTCAAACTTTGACAGTATTTTTTTATCATTTCCAACATTTTCGATGTAATTTAAAAAAATATTCGATTTTTTTAATCAGTCTAGTATTTACATTTATTTAAGACACAGGGTGTCTTAAATAAATGTAAATCAATATTTTGAAACTAAATAAAGGTATAGGTATTTTAAGATTTTTTAAATAGAAAAAGTGTATATTATTTTTATATAATCTTTATTAACAGGAGAGATACATATCTTAAAAGGCACAACAATATAGTTACAGAATAATGTATGTATTTATTATTTTGTATGGACCACAGACTATTATACTATTTTTTTTTAATTCCCTATTACATCGACTTTTGATTTTGTATATTATTTTCTAAAATAAGAATATTTGCTTCTTCAACAGCAATTTGTTCTGTGTTGGCAGTGGGCATATAATACAAATGAGATGTAGATTAGAAATATATGTGTGATTTCACAATTGTAAAACAGACAAAAATTTTATTACTGAAACAATGAGAATCGTTATCACGTCCATATCACAGAACTACTATAATATTGGTGTTTTTACATTCCTTTGTAACATTATTCATAAAAAACCCAGACTGAAAATACCAGAATACAAAAAAAAATAGCTTTGGAGCACCCTAAAAGAAAAGGAGAGCTCTACCAAAATGGTGCTTTAAGAACTAAATTACACTATAAAAGTCAGTTATACGGTAATAAAAATAATTGCAGCTATACTATAACATCAATTATTGTAACCATGTATATTTCGGTATTTTCACTCAAGGACAAAAACCCATGCTTGACGGGTAGAATCACATTAATTTTTAAAAAAATATATCAAGCATAGGGTCAAAACAATAACATTAAAAGGCACATTCTTAAATCAGAGCTTTCTATAAAAATGTGATCCTTTTATCAATATTTAAATAAACTAATTTTTATAGAAACGTACATATATAGGCACATCTTTATTGTCTAAGCAATAATACTGATATAAATTATACATTAAATTTAGTCAAAAATCTGAACCAAATGTTGCATTACAAAATAGATAAAATGCTATAGAATCTATATGAAAATATGTTTGGCTAAATCGCTGTTTTATAGACCCAATTTAACTGGAAAAATTATTAAAGTGACTTTAAATTAATAATTAAAGTGACTTTAAAATAAAGATAAAGATAAATAAAGATAGATGAAAGAAGTACCCATAATGTTAACAAATTAATTCATTAATTATAGCAATCATTAACAAATATGTAGTTTATGACTTTAATTGTACAAACGAAAACTTTTCTTGTACCCCTAAATGTGAAGACTATTTAGGTGAGGCAACTAACTATCAATATTCTGTAAATGATATTGGCCAGCTTAAATAATCATTCACACTGTTTTTGGTAAGAAAAGACTAGCTGGTATATAACAAAACAAATTAAACAAAACATGCTTCCACATTTTTCCCATTATTGTAAACCTACGCTAAAATCTAAAAAAGTTATGAAAAAATATTTTTTTATATCACCTACATATTCAGTTTATTTTTATTTTAGAAAAATATGTGGAAACATGTTAAATAAACCAATAAATTCTTGATAATAAATAAAAAAAAGTATATATTATATATTATTATTCTATAACTTCACTAAGGGGCTTTTGCTATCGCTACTTGTTACTGTTTCAAGGGATACGGAAGCTCTTGGATTTACTCTATTTATCCACTGTGGATGTTCACTATTCTAAGAAATAATATTTATAAATAAGAAAATATACTGACAAAGAGCAGTTTTCAAATCAAATATTACTTACGCTCTTCTTCTTTTTATTCCTTTCAGATTCATTCTCAGATTTTTTTCTCTTTTTCTTTGCAGTTAAAGATTCTTGACCACTGTCATTATCCTCAGAATCAGAACTATCCGAATCTGAACTAGAACTGGCTGAATTACTTGAACTGTCCGAGGCCACACCTAAAATGTTAATATTTGTACAAGTGTGGATATTTGAAGAACCAAAATTTCCAACAGTTAGTACCTGAAGGCTGTTCTAAATTTATTCTATCAGCAAAAGCTGCTAAATTTGGCTCCTTTACACGCAACACCTTAAGCCATTTTTTCGACAGCTTTGGTCTACCTCTTGCTGTTTTATGCCATACCTAAAAAAATATAATCCGATGTTAAAATTATTTTCATCATAAAATGGATAACAAAGTAATTTATTACTACTTACAACAGGAAAATTGGTTCTACTGCAAAAGTTTTGTGTAACAGCAATTGTTGTATCTAAGTTTAAAACTACATGCCACCAGCCTCCAGGAACAAATACTGTCTCTCCAGGTTTTTGTAAAATCTCAATAGGTTTGCAGTTCTCTGGCCAAGTGGATTCTTTCGTTTTTGGATAAATAATACTGAACCAGGTTATTGCTTCATCTCTTTGCTTTCCACCTAAACTACCAGTTACTTTAAGCAGCTCTTTTGGTGTATGAGTTGGAAACAAACACCATCTAAAATATTGCCACAAATAATTTTTATATTTTTACTAAAAAAAATATTCAAAAAAAATACCTTTTATGACCCACAACCAAGGCGTTCCAGGCACTTGTACCAAGTGGGTCTATATGAATTCCAGTACCAGATCTGGCAGGGCCCATCACAAACCATCTATAAGGTGGTCTGCGGCTCTCACCTGAATATTTAAATAAATCATCTCTAAAATATAATGGCACTTCATAGTCTTCTAAAAGTTTTCTTCTACGGCGATGCTAAAAGAAAATTGAGCTAAATATTTTCTGAATCTTGAATTTTTGATTTTGTAGGTTACCTCGCCAAAACTGCTATCAAAAATATATAAAGGGCTATCGTCTTTTGTACTGAGCATATACTGAATATAGTATTTCATCTTCATTTTCACGCTGTAACCTTCGTTATCTTCGCCACATTTAAATTTTTGGTTTCTATACTTTTTGGTTAATTTCTGTAAAGTCCACTTGTGGTTGGCCCTCCAACTGTTTTGGCAGCCAGTTATAACTACTGGTTTATATAGCAATTCGTAGTTCGAAATAAATTCTCGTTGAGATACCTTGGACTGATCTATTCGATCACAATTATCTACAAAGTTGTGGAACCTTTCAAAGTCATTCGCATAATTTTCAATGTACCAAGATTTTTTGGTGTTTAACTCTAAAAAACAATAGTATTAACTTTATCTAATAGTATAACACGTATGTATTTTATTAATGAATAACTAGTCCTAATAAATTAATACAAATAAGAAATAACGGCATTTTTTGTTGGTAGTCTTATTTTGAGGTTAAATTAATACTGACCGGGTCTGGCTTTCTTTTTTACTTCTTTTATACGTTTTCGTGCTCTATGAGCGAATTCAAGATTATCCATTAGTTAAACTCAAAATAAAAATAAAATAAACTTTCACTAAATAAAAAAAAACGTCTAAAATTTAACACAAGTTACCAAACTACAAATTTCACAAATTATTTCACATTTGACAATTTCAAATTCGGGCAGTGACATCGAATTTGTAGAAATCTATTCTAATAAAATTTAGTACCAAATTTTGCCGTTCTAAACCTCAGAAACAATAGCGCCACCATAGCACCACTGATAATTTATTTAGCGTACCAAAATCTAACATTTGATGATTGACAAGTGATTTTTGTTAAATGTATAGAAATATTTACTACATCGGAGATGGACAACTACCCTCTGTAAAAGACAATATCTGTCTCAGATAATGGCTTTTGCGTATGATGAGTTGTAACTCAAGGAAAAAGGGCATATAGGACATGCGACCTAATGACTAAAGAATACTTAGTCATTGTGCGCGTTCAGGGACGGTCAGTGGCTGAGTAAGCGATTTCCCTAAACGGTCTCTTTTTACATGCAAAAACAGTCAGCCGCTGAGCAAAATTCTCAGCGGTCGATCAGCCGCTGTGTTCCCTGAACGCGCACATTAGTTGTAAAGTATTCTTCAGGAGTGATAAAGTATTCTTTAGTCATTGTACGCGTTCAGGGAACACAGCGGCTGACTGTTTTTGTGTGCAAAAAGCATAGAGAAATGTAAAATAAATTATTATTATTATTTTAGTTACTCCCATATAATCAACTACATCTACACCCATTACATATCTACATCTAATAAAGTTATATTGTTATTCACCCTTTTATATGTTAAGGCCATTATAAATGGCAACTGTTCCTGATTCCTCTCATAAGTATATATTATAAACTTCACATTTTTTCATCGTAAAAAAAATAGTTCAGTAATTTCTAAGACAATTCGCTTCTTCATGTATCTCTATTCATATATCTACTGATAAGTCTATTTATCGGTCCCTTCCTAGACAGTCTGTTCTTTGGCAATAAGGGTATAAGGTCCTTTCAAGAGTATTATTTCTTAAACAATTATGGCAGAAGAATAAAATTGTTAGTAATGATAATAATTACAAGCATTAAAAAAATAAGTATTTAAGTATAGGTTGACTCCTACAAAGTAGCCGTCGTAACCTGCCAAATAAAATAAATTCTTAGAGAATATAGTAAACTGAAGAAATTACAATGAGAAAAATACACTTACTTACCTCTCTACCTTAACAAATATTTGTTTAAATCTCCACTCTTCTTCCAGGGACCCTCATTATTTCACTCCCGAAAATTCAACAAATAACAGTTTAACTTATACGTAATAACTACCTTATTCACTTGCCTTAATACAACTCCGTCTTCTTCATGGAGTCCAGGAGGAGATGAATAGACATTGAATAATTTTAAATAAACTTATAATTTTATGTAAAATTTTTTTGCAATATATATTCTCATGAATGTTATCATCATCATTATATCATTTACCTTATCCCGACCGTTTTCATGATCTACCCATTTCTTATTATTCTTCTTGAATATTATGTTAATTATTTAATTCCTTCTTTATATTTATTTTTACTTCGGTTCTTATAATGCGGTGATCGCTTCGATACTATCCAGAATCTGTTTAATACACTTTTACGTCTTTGATTACGTCTTTTCTATTGCTAATTATGAAATCCATTGCGTTTTTGGTTTTATTACCTGGACTCGTCCATGTCCACTTTTTGCTATTTCTTTTTCTTGAAGAAGGTGTTCATTATATTATAAATTGTTGTGCTGTGCGAAATCTATCAGTGTATCACCTCTTTCGTTTTGGCTTCCCAATCCATGATAGCTGACTGCAGTTTCCGCTTCATCTTATCTGTTACCAATTTTGGCATTAAATCTCCAATTTGTTTCAATTTTGTAGAGCAGTGGTTCAGTCATGAACGTTAACAATTTAATAAATATCATATATTAGATTTTAATATTATACTACTGATGTATGTATAGCTATTTAAATTTAAAAACAACACAAGCTAGTTAGTTGGTTAATTACCCATTTGCTCTCTGGTAGTTATATTAAAAAATTGCAAAAATGGTTTTTGCAATTTTTCACTAACGATTTTAAATTTAGATGATGAAAAATAATGAATATTGAGAATTTGCTTTCTTGTTATAATATCTATAAAATATTTAGTTATATTTATTTATTATATGTCGATTCGCCTCCTCCATGACTTATTTGCTTCGTGAGGGCTCATAAGGGGGACATTAGTCCCCTTAGAGATCAGCTACACCTTCTCGTTTGCTTCCGTGAGGACTCGATTCGAAACGATATTAACGACATGACATCTTCCCTAAAAACTTTCCTAATAATCGCGCATATGCAATACTATCCTCGATGAATGTGAATCCCGGCAAATCTTGCCTTAATACCCATAAAAGTCGAACTGATCCTAACAAGAAGACATCTTCCCTAAAAACTTTTCTAATAATGACGCAGATGCAATACTACCTCCGATAGATGTTATCCCCGCAAATCTTGCCTTAATACCCATAAAAGTTGAACTGATCCTAACAAGATGACATCTTCCCTATTAACTTTCCTGATAATCGCCCAGATGCAATACTATCTCCGATGGATGTCATCCCGGCAAATCTTATTGCCCTAATACCTATAAAATTTGGACCGATCCTATCAAGATGACATCTTCCCTAAAAACTTTTCTAATAATGGCGCATTCCAAATACTATCTCCGATATAATTTTGTCTTAATACCTATAAAATACAAACCGATCCTAAGAAAATGACATCTTATCTAAAAACTTCTCTAATAATCGCGCATTTGCAATACTATCTCCGTTAGATGTCATCCCTGCAAATCTTGCCTTAATAACGATAAAATTCGAACCGATCATAACAAAATGACATCTTTTCTACAACCTTAAACCATGCCGATTCGTTTTCTCTATTGCTTCGTGAGGACTCATAAGGGGGACGTTAGCCCCCTTAGAGTTCGACCCACACCTAGAGATGTCTGAAACAAATAATTAACATAAAACATTCATAACGAACCTCGACCGACAGCAAAAAAAAGCTGTTTAGTTTTTCGAATAATTCCAACTTGAGTAACGCACATCTAAGAGGGTCCCATATTCACTATTAGGTACTCGCGAAGACGGACTATAACTAAACTAGAGGACTAGCACTAACCTGAAACAATAGGGAACATTCGTTAGTTGGAAATAAAAATTATTGAGACAATCGTATAACATACCTCATTAAATCTCGTTCTGGGTTTTAACCCTAGGTAGTGGTAGTATTGTCCCCAAAATCTTCGTTCTAGGGCAGCATCACTCGTAGTACATCATCAGGAAGTGCTTTAGGCTTCAAGGACAAACCTTTATGAGATTAATTTATTTATAATTTCTTTACATTCCATCATTTCGCTAATACTAAAATCGAGGCATCCTAACTTTTAATAAATGCAAATATTTTGAAAACCATTCACCGTATCGAACTAAACTAGCTTTTTATATCATTTGTTGATATTACTGGTATAAGTAAGTAAGGTAAGTACAGAAGAAAATCAACAATTTCTCATTAAACGAAACTTAGAAACTACCTAGATACATATTTTAGGACTTACCTATGTATAAGTACTGCGAAAATACCGATGGTCCACATTCTGTGTATTACAAAACGAAGACTGTTCATTAATCTACACTTCCTTAAGGAATTTAAGATATGTAATTACATTTTTGAGCTTAGATCAGGAAAATATTAGGCTTTCGAAACGCGACGATTTGAAAGGACGCTTATATCTACAATATGGCGACCCTAGCGGAAAACAAATGAAGACGATATTACTGAAGCGACATCTACTGAGAACTACCAAACGTTTCCTATTATTTTATTTGTATTACTAGTTGCAGGCTTATAGAAATAGATATGAAATTTTTATTCTGTACTGTTCTTAAATTACTAAATATACTACTATATTACTACTATATTATAAAATTGAAATAAATTAGCAGCGCAAAACAAATATGTGTTTTAAAATGTAATTTGGGCATATTTAAAATTAAATTCTTGGAGAAACTCTTACTCTATATCTCTGGGATAGTATTAATTCTAAGGATATAGATGTCGCTAAAAGACATATAGAGTTCTTTTGTTTTATGTCAAGTCGCCATATTGTAGTGCGAATTCAAATCAACGTCTCAAAAACTAAATAATTTTTGAAATTATAGTGTTAAAAATAGCTAAGTTTTCTAAATTCGAATTAGAAGAGTATATTATATATTCATCTATGCTTTGCGATACACAGAATCTTGAATATCGCTATATCCGCTATTATATTTTGATCACAAACGCGCCGCGACCAGGATGGACGTAGGGCAAATACTTCCATTTATGTTGAACTTCGAAAAGTTCATCATGATTTTCCAGATTTGTTTGATTTGGATATGTTTTTCATGAATTAAGTATATAAACTCTGAACTGTGCTACCTAAATGTTTGTCTTTCGAGATTTTCATTTGAGGGCATGGTCAGCCCTCCTGGTAGATCCTGTGTATCCTTCGGTTCGCGAGTGATGGAAAACGCGTTTCTCATATTCGGTAGATCGCGATTTGATAGCCACCAATAATTTATCATCAAAGTGATTACTACAATACTTCACCTTTATGTTGACCAGGTGAGCACATTTGATTACATAAAACGTTGAATCAAAATGTTTTATACTCAAGCAGCTTATCTTTGGCAATCAAAAAAAAATGTTATGTTTCCCATAAGAATTGTTTATCTACTCTTGTTTATTTACACAAAGCAAGCTTTATCATAAAATTTTATTACCATACATATTGTTTATTATATTTAGTTCAATCATTTTTTGTTTTTTTCTCTATATAATGAAAGTATGTAAATGTTTTGTAATGGTATTTTTTTGCAGAACAGCTATACTCATATAGGAGCAGGTAGCTGCCAGGTTGTAAATATGTATATTATACTTAACCCAGTAACTTTGGATCAACTTCGACGTAAGAATGAAAAAAAAAATCCAGATAAAACTTTTCACACTGAAGAAATAACAAGCCCATCCAAGAATTTATTCATGGATATGAATGGTGATTTTTATTGTTAAATATAAACAAACATAACGTAACTGCCTCAAAATAATGTTTGACCTCAGTATTTTTTTGTTGAAAGTCTAAGAAAAAGAAATAGTCTAAAGTTATTGGGTTAATATGGATACATGGACCCTGAGAAAATCAGCAGCTGTCCATGTTTAGGTAAGTTCTAAAAATTGCTACCGTACCATGATCGAAAAAGAAAACGGCGTCCACTTGGCTTGGAAATGATGATCGATGATATTCCCCTTGGAATTTTACATATAAAATTACATCGATCTTTAGTTTCATACCATCTCTAACGTTGTTTTTTTATTATCGTATGATATATTGATTGCAAACCTTTATAAACATTTTCCTCTATGATTTTGTGTATCCTGGAACAACTACTGTGCCAATTAACAGCTAGATGTTGGATCTTCATACTGTGAAGGTACTGTATGATCGAACAAAAACGGCGTCAAGTTGGCTTGAAAATTACGATAGATGATATTTCCCATCAAATTTTACATACAGAATGACAGCGATCTTCATTTCCAAGCCAGTTTGATTCCGATTTTTTCTCGGTCGTATGGTACTGAAAAAAATCTAAAAAAAAGTTCTACTTAGCTCTTAGCTAATGTTTAATTTTTTTGTGCAGGGCATGCAGTAGTAGTGCACGTACAGGTAAGTTCTTTTAAAATTATTAAGAATAAATACAATGAAGAAAAATTAATTAGCTGATATATAATCACATTGGATCTTCATACTGTGAAGGTACTGTATGATCGAACAAAAACGGCGTCAAGTTGGCTTGAAAATTACGATAGATGATATTTCCCATCAAATTTTACATACAGAATGACAGCGATCTTCATTTCCAAGCCAGTTTGATTCCGATTTTTTCTCGGTCGTATGGTACTGAAAAAAATCTAAAAAAAAGTTCTACTTAGCTCTTAGCTAATGTTTAATTTTTTTGTGCAGGGCATGCAGTAGTAGTGCACGTACAGGTAAGTTCTTTTAAAATTATTAAGAATAAATACAATGAAGAAAAATTAATTAGCTGATATATAATTTTACCGTATGATCGAAAAAAAAAGGCATCAGGGTTGGCTTGAAAATGAAGATCCCTGTCATGTTAAATGTAAAATTGTAGGTGTTTTTTCAATCATATGGTACATCACGTATAATATATTGTTTTTATTCAGTGTATATCATAGTTTTATTCCTTTTTAGCTGAAACTTTTGTATACCTTTAACAATAATTCTAAATTCTCAATTACCAGTTTATATAATATATTATTGATAATCGATATATCTATCAATTCTTTTCTTTTTATCGTTTTTTTCTCTCTTTATTATGTATAGAGTGGCATACTGAACGATTTCATAATGGTATAACAAAAAGTTTTTAATTATTCATAACAATAATACAGTAATAATATTTATTTAATCGAAATGAACCTAATTAGCCTAATTCCATCTTCTAACAGTGAAATAAGTTGAAATAAGTGTGTTGGTTTATTTCACTGAATTCTAATTCACACCCGACATCACAGACAACCAGAGATACTTCGATTACTACAGAACAGCAATATTTGAATTTGACATGACCTTCTGGATACATAACCTAAGTTTTTTCTCTCTTGCAACAAAAGTCAATACAAGTTAAAAATCGGTATTAAAATATAAAAGTGCTTTAAAAATTGCTACTTAAGATATGTTTGAAAATTTGGATTAATTAAGGTTGTACTGCATAAACTTCGTGCTTGAAGAAAATACCTTTTTGAACTTGGACAATGTATTTATTAAGTTTGTAAAATTTTAAATCAGCATGAACCCAAAGTACTCGAAAACTTTAGTAATTCTAGTGATGATAATAATACTTTACAAGGCTTTTACTTCGTATATATTCCCAGGAAAGCCCCCAATAGAGCAAATAATAATTCGGGATGAATCGGGCAAAGAAACTGAAAAAGTAAAAATATCTGTTTATTATGAAGCTCTATGTCCAGATTCGAAATTCTTTATTATCTATCAACTTGTTCCTGTATTCGAGAGGTTGAAGGATTTTTTAATTATTGATTTGGTTCCTTATGGAAAAGCCCAGGTAATATAAATACAGTCATACATTACTTTGTCCGTTAATAAATAAAATATTAAAACATAATTATAGACTACTGTAGATGATAATGGTAATATTGAATTTATTTGCCAACATGATCACGTGGAATGCTATGCAAACAAAATACATGCATGTGTAATTGATCAAGTTGAGGATGTAGAGAACCAACTTAAATATATTGCGTGTATGATTACTGACAATATGGTACCTGAAGATGCTGGCAAAAGGGTATGTAATTATAGTGAAAAAAATTATATATCTATACTATGCAGTAATTTTAGTGTGGACATGAACACAACATAGATTTTGCACCTGTAAATAAATGTGCTACTGAACAAAAGGGTTCTATACTCTTAAAGAAATTTGGAGAAAGGACCCATGATCTCAGTCCCAGAGTGAAGTTTGTTCCGACAATTGAATTAAATGAAAGTCAAACTTTTGAATCACAAGCTTCCATATTAAAAGATTTGTTAAGGGCAGTGTGTAATGTGTATCAAACCAAACCTGAAGTCTGCACGAATTTGTAGATACTTAAAAGGCAGCGACTGAAATGACATATTTATTTAAATTATTAATCTATTTGAGTAGAAAACTCATTTTTAAAATATTTCTCTCTTTTATTTTGTTACTATTTGTTTTTGAAATAGAAATGAAGAAATCATGACAAGCATAGCTTTCTTTAATACTGGTCCTACAGGTATAAATTTCTGATGTTTCAAGTAATAATCTTAATTATGCCATAATGGTGTGTTAGTGAATTGATCCATTTATTGGCAAAATTTGTATACACTAAGATCTAAATGCATTTTTTTTTAATAAAATTTGTGGACAGTAATTATCTGTGGACATCTAATCTTAATATTACTTTTTTTTAAGCTTCTTTCAGATTATATGACAAAAAATTTACCTTTTCTATACTTTTAGATTAAATAATAATTTATACTATTTCGTTCCTTTTCCGTAAGCTGAAACATATTGTTAAAATATTTTATTTATTATATAAAAATGGCATTTATCTGTTAACAGTAAGCCTATAAAATTTAGTTCTCATATAAATAATTCTAGTTGTGAGTGTATAGCAAAACTGTCTTAAAATATCATCCTATCAAAAAATCATTTAATATTTATTAGATAAGTATTAATGAGTAATATTTGAAGAAAATTAGTATTTCTTGTCTAAAAAACTTATTTCAATGGAATTATAAATTCTTTTAGTCATGTTATATTTAGAGCGTATGATACAATATTCTCAAGAATGTGATTTAGGAATATTCTACCATGACAGCGAGTCTGCTACCTACATGTCTTAAAAAAATACCCAGTTTAATAAATAGAGAAAAATATATTTATATTATTAATATCCTTGTTAATCAAGGACTGATACAAAAGAATGTATTTATTTTTTAAAATAATAATTCCTATAATTTTGAATTATACATGAATAATTCTCACATGTTTTACTTATAACACTCCACTGATTAAAAATACTACTTATTTTAATGATTTATGATATAAACGTGATAATTTAGATTAATTTAAAGTATTTTTTGATAATAATTATAGGCTGATAATTACAAGGACTTTATTATATATTATTTTCATTCTACAATATTTACCCTATTTGAGCATAATTATTTAATAATAGAAAACAAAAAAATACTATAATAAGATATTAGCTGCATAGTGCTAAGTATACTCTATACAGAGCGAAATTATGTAATTGCTAAAATTAGTCAGAGTTAAAAGCATAAAATGAAATATCTTTTCAACTAAAAATCTGGAAATTAGATGTGATGTAAAATATTTGTGTGAAATATAAATCTGTTAGATGAATGTTAAATACAGAGATGTCAAAGTGATAATTGTGCAGAATTTTTAGTTGGATTCAAACCCTATTTGGTTTTCAGATTTCTAAAATAAAAATGGCAATTTGATTTTTTTAATTTAACGAATATCAAAAACTTCAAAAATATTAATATTATTGGGATTTTATATTCATAACGCAATGCCAAAGTGGTCCCAAGCTCTATTACTTTCACAACATTAAATTAAACATGTAAGTTTCAAGAGTAATATAGAAGAATATTCAAAAAATTATGTGTTGAAATTAAGTAGAGAGGAACTGTCAGATAAGAATTTATTGTCTGATTAGTTTAATCTCTGCATGCAAGAATGCTCTCTCAATATTTCATATTAATATTTTTATTGAATTATTACTAATATGGGTGATAATACATCTGATAATCAATACTGTTTACTTGATTTTTTTTTCTTAATTCGTAGTCTGATCATATCCCTATCCGTAGCTGCTGTGATACCTAAGCAAATTGTTTTGTTTTCAAAAAGACAAACTAAAAATATCTGCTATATATATAGCCACATGATAAAAAATATCCTAATAGACAGACAACACCGTGATATTAATTTTAATATGCAAATATGAAACACTATAAGTTTTGGGGTATTCATTGAAAAATTAAAGTTTAATGACTAGTTTCTATTTTAATGTTTTTAGATAATTTTAATCTTTGATGTGGGATATATTATTACTATAATTGACTTGTGTGTTTGATAGAATTTATTTTTATGACTAAATTTTACAGTTATAAAAATAGTTAATAATTGAACTAAAAAAATTGTTTTATAGACAGTATATTTAGTAGCTGACATACATAACTTACCAAATGGGTTGTCTTAAGCTAAAGTAACATTTTAGAATAAATTAACTATAATAAAAACCCTTTTTATTACATATATGCCCCATTTAAGTAAAATTTTAATTGACTCATATTTTATACTTCTTTCCATCTCTAAATTTACATTGTTAGAATAATTACCAATATCTAGCATATACTCTATGAGACATTTGTACACAAACTGTAAATAAAATATACATTATAGAATAAATTAAATTGGCAGAGTTTTATTACAGAAAAATCTTCATATTTACTTCATTAACTTTTTTTATATAATTTTACTAATATTAGGAATGCATAATTTATAATTTAATATATTTTTTACACTATAATTAAATAATATTTTTAATATACTTCATATTTTACATTTGAAACTATTCCAATTTATAAGGGAAAAAAGTCCAAAATTCACAGCTAGAAAATATATATTTAAATTTGTTAAAGCATTTAATATGAAGAATTTTGGAGTTCCTATAGTCTTTCACACAGTTTTAATTCTCTAGTAAAGCATTGTGCACAATTTCATTAACAAACTATGTGTAAGATTCAAAAAACTAACATTTGTTTTGTAACATATATAAACAAACACCTACAAATACTTATTCATGCCTCTTAATTTTTACATTAAAATAGTTTAAAACTGTCTCATCTAAAAATGGCAATGGACGTTATATTTGATATTTGCAAAATAATAATACAATGAACTTTTCAGTATGAAATTAAACGACTCCATTAACACCTTATTTCATGAATAACATCTTAACACAACACTGGTGCAAAAAATTTCCTTAAGCTTTTATTGCTTGTACATCATATTGTTAATTTATTAATACTTAATCCTGCTGTTACAATTCTTAGTTCATGTAACTTTCATAATTAGGAAATTTTTGGCACAAAAAGTTTATAATACTGGCACCATTAAGTTTTCTCAGGCTGTTAGACGGCCAAGAAACCTTAACTTTATTCAGTCTTTATGGAAAAAAATGAAAGAAAAACATGAAGTATCTTAAAATTAGAACTTTTATTCCAATTAACTAAGGAGACGTCCTATTTGAATTTTTATAAGAGATTATTCAAACCTCCCCTTTAATACTCAAATAAAATATTTAATATGTTTTACATAAATTTAAATTTACTTTAGGATTTTAATGTGGCAACAATATTTTACAATATAGAACAATAAAAATTAATATATAATATTTATATATCAAATTAATTTATTTACAAAAATTAGTTACTAGGAGGCAATCACTAAGAACACTGGTCCATGTCACAACCATTTTAATCAATGGCAATGGCAAAAAGAATGTATGGTCTTTATACAATTGAGATATATACTTAGGCAGCTGGAATGTTTCAGTTAAGTTTCAGTCCTGCATCCTAAATCATCACCTCAGTTCGTAGTAACTTTAGAACTGTGTCGATTGCAAAACTTAATATGAGTACGTGTCAGACAAGAGTGCTATAATTTGTGATTACTTGTTAACCAAGTGAGACCTTCGAATAGCCCATCTCCTGTTGTCGCACATGCTGGCTGCACATACCAATTGCGATCTCTGATACGAGTTAAACCTAATTTCTCTTGAATCTCGTGAGGTTTCATTGCTTCTGGCAAGTCTTGCTTATTAGCAAATATGAGTATTATTGCGTCCCGCATTTCGCGGTCATTTATTATCCTATGAAGTTCCTGTCGGGCCTCATCAATTCGGTCGCGATCTGCACAGTCCACAACAAATATTAAACCTTGCGTGCCCGTGTAGTAATGACGCCATAGAGGCCGAATTTTGTCTTGTCCACCCACATCCCACACATTAAACTTTACATTTTTATAGGTCACTGTTTCCACATTAAAACCTACCGTTGGAATTGTTGTAACTGATTGCCCTAATTTTAATTTGTACAAAATCGTCGTCTTTCCTGCCGCATCCAATCCTAGCATTAATATTCTCATCTCTTTATTGCCAAAAATTTTTGACAGCAGCTTTCCCATTTTGAAAGAATTCCACTGATACACCTATCTAAAAAAACAACGACATTAATATTTTATAGAAGAAAAATGATAAAGGCTTCATATAAAACAGCTTGGTATTTAAGGCAGTACCGAATTGCCAAAAATTAAAGCATTTTAAAATCTAATTTTGACAACCCAGAAATAGGCGTGTAATGGGTTGTGGGTCACCTAACGGTACAAATATTACAGGGACGAATATATTTAAATTTAAGCAATAGGCACATTAGGAACAAAAATTACATACCACTAATCATTGAATATATTTACAGAACTTGGTAATTCATCTACATTTATCTGCACTTCTCTACAAACTTGAGCTCCATATTGTCAAATTTGCCGATAATGAGGCTGCGCGAAGATCGTTGGCACTTTGACAGGGTTTCGGTTACTGTCAAATTTAAATCCATAATTTTACTTTTGACTCTGTCCGAAAGATGGCACTAGAATAAGTTTAAAGTTGAACGAGTATATTTGCTTGCATAAGCTTCACAGATAACTTGTTTATTTTAAATTGTATTAAGCTATAAGTATTATAAGCCTGTATAAGCCTAATACAATATACCATTCCGTGATACCATACCCCATACCATACCATACATATAACAAATAAGTCATTCGATGTATAAGTAGGCCCTTATGAAGCTATTACATGGAGCAGTGAGCAGTTGCTTGGTAGACAAAATTAGAGCAAGATACAGCAAGGCAAAACCTGTGCAAAGTGCAGCGACTGGCATGCATCTGCATGACGGGAGTCATGAGAACATGCCCACTGCACATTGTAATTGGTAGATATGCCAATGCAACATTGATTAGATTATTACAAAATTTTACCCTAATTACCTATTATTAATTAAACTTATTTAAAAATTTAGGATGAAATGCAAAAAAAAAGATTAGGAATAGCTGGCCACAAAATGTTACGTTGTTCCCTAATGAACTCTAGGTTTCAATGGCTAATTAAGCTCATACATATTTAATGAGTTTTAAACGATTTAATTAAAGTATCGTTTTGTTTCACAAACTTTCAGTATCGTTTAACAAAAGCACATATATTTCAAACAATACATCTATTATTTTAACTTTATACAGAAATTCTGAGAGGAAGAAACATATAAAAAAAATTGAATGATTTGATATTTGATCTTTGATAACAACACCTACAATATTAAAAAAAAGTATAAACATTTTATAAAATAAAGTGAAAAAATACCTCATCAGTAATGAGGTACTGAAAAATTTGTGTTCATGGATACTAAACTCACTCAGACTGTACTGATCACAGGTACTGATTTTTAAAGAAATTTGTTTGAGCTGAGTGGCGATATTGCCAGGTGTCTGAAGAAGTTAGATATTAAAATAAAAATTGAAATAAGAACATATTCTTGAAGTTAGTCATGCTCCAGCTGGAGTTAAATACCAAATTACTATTTAATAACAATTTATATAAACTTTTAAAGTGATAAAAGTAATATCTTGAAATGAATCATTTAACTCAAAGATTAGACTTTTATATAAAACTAACCTTTTATTTTAAATCTATAAACACTGAAAATGTTGACAGGACCCTACTGCAAATATAGTGTGTTGTGTAATAGGATTGCTAAAATTTAATGTTATTTTTTCCCTTTTCGTTGCTCTGTGAAGTAAAAAATGTGCAGAGACAAAACAGAAAAATCACAACCTGTATATTTTTAACGGTATTAAAAACGCAAAAAATTATTTCACATTTTTCAATTTTCGGTTTTTCAATTCAATCATTGTATTTAAAAGGGACAGGCTTGTTAATTAATTAGGAAACATGGTAGGTACGGAGGGATTTGGGTTGTTTTACTGGAATAAACCCGATGTATAAAATTTCATATTCCATTATCAGATAACTCCATTAGGTAGACTAGGAACTCCGCAGTAAATTAATGTTCTGTAGATCTTGATTGTTAATCCAAAAAAAAAATCACTAATACCGAAATATAATTTTGAGCAAAATTTCATTAATTTGGCAAACACCAATTTTAGAACAAAAATTGCACAAATAATTGTTTGAAAATTATACAAGTTACCGTTTCGAAATAAGGTAGGTATTTGAAATATCTTTTGGAGAATTTACCCGTTTTTGTTGTTGGAAACCGCTTTTAAAATTTCGAGAAGAATTTATATTAATCATATTTTCGATTCTAATTCTCCTAATTCCAACGAAAATAAATAAATTAATAACATAATTTTAACAAAACTTATATTTATACAATAAATATAATGATATTTAGTTATAGCATTATCTCACAAACATTTATTAAAACTAGGTTTATTAAAATTGAAAATAATAAAACCAATACTGTAAAGATATTAATGACGTGAGAAATTTTTGAGGATTATTTTAGTGATATTTTTCTCGACCCCCTCCACTAATCTCGAATTTCTCATGTTAAAAAACACCCAGACACCAATTTTCATCCAAATTTCGACCTGAGTTCAGATATTATACCCTTCTACACCCGGTATCTCCGAAACGAAGCATTTTATAGGACAGATGCATTTTTTTGCTGCAGAATATACTGCCTGAGCTTCCCGGATACAATTCGCACCACCCTGTATAGAAGAATTGTGTCAGATATCGGTATATTTTAGTCTAGAAACATGTTTTACTTTTATTATTTTTATTTACTTTTAATCTGATGCCGATTTTAATCTTGCCGAGTCTCCCCCTCCTTCCGTGAGATTTAGTGAAATTTGCCTTGACCCCCTCTCCTTTGCTCCCCTCACGTAATTAGTAGAAGCCCCCCAAAATAGTTAAAAAATAAGTTTCATAAATCAAAAAAATGTCACAGTAGGCGTAGAAATAGTTTCTAGAAGTTTCAGAACACCCTTGTATATAGGGTGTGTAAGGAGCATATAAAAAATCTATCAGTTCTTCACAATCTGACGCAAGACTTTTAATGTGTACATTGTCAACATAATACATTGACAAGGTTTTTTATATTTAGATTTGTGTGCTTATGTTTATGGATATTGGAAATATAATTGATGAGCTGTGGCAAATAACATCATTGCCTGATTTCAGATATATTGGAATCAGGTAACCTGAGCCCATACATTATCGATTTCGTGTTCAGCCATCAGCAGTGATATTTATAAATGTTTTTTTTTCACAATAACTGGCAAACACAATCCCAATAATGGAAGTGATCTCTAAGCTCGTATTATTCCATTAAAGAGAAAAAAATAGCTTTCAACTCAAAATATCATATTCATGCGTATTTTTTTTTAACACAGATAACACATTCCCATATAACACAACACAATCCTATAGATATCTTGAGGATATCCACAAAGGATATAGTAAATATCTTAGGGATATCCAAAAACCAGAGGAGGATATTTATGGGATATCCAAGTGGGACAAAAAAAGTCATCTTCAAGACATCCCTAGGCAAGCCTTTTACGATTATTTAGGATATTTCTAGGATAATACAAGGATGATGTTGGGAGCATTATAGAATATTTTTAGGGCATTATATGAGGACTGTTATTTGACAATACTTACTTCATCCTTAGTTTATAGTAAAAACGTTTGCGATTTAGTTTTATTTAGCCACATTTTGACGTTATTCATTGGATATTTTTATTAACAGCTCTAAAATATACCTACATATTATGTCAATGAATTTTGCGTCAAAATTTAGAAGTTTATTTGTATGAGTTAAGAGCTTTCAATTTATGCTGTACCATCGAAAAAAAACGGCGTTCAATTGGCTTGAAAATTACGATCGATGACATTCCTCCTATAATTTTACGTACAAAATAACAGCAATCTTCATTTCCAAGCCACCTCTGACGCCGTTTTTTTCGATCGTATGGTATTATACCAGATTATACTACCCTTTATGGAGTTTAGCAGTTTATGTCTAGCAGCAGAGCTAGCAGCAACAGTTTACATCAAAGTTAGCACACAGGATACAGGTATAATTTCTAACACCACACATTCCAGAAACTCACAATTTAAACCCAAAAATAGGATTTCTGTTTGAATAGATCAAACACGAAAATGGGTTTAGAGATAAAGAACAAGCGATTTTCAACAAATTTTCACCTATAATTTTGTCACAAATTCTTCATTGTGAGAACCTGAGTTGTTCGTCGTTTTTTCGACATTAGTTGAGGTTAGGATAGAATTTCTGCTAGAACAAGGCTAGAACTATGAGTATAAGAAAAAAACTAAGTCAAACTCAACCAGTTTTGTTAGTTTCAGTCATTTTTAAGCCCATCCAATATCGACAAACGACCGAATTCACCTCGAATTTCACTAAATCAAAGAACTGAATAATACACGATGCAAAAACCATCAAAACTAAACAACTGTCGAGATGGACTGTGGGAAATTTTTTGCGCGGGCGTTTTAAATTCTCTGTATTACTGGGAGTGGCCAACCTCATAAATATCCAGATTATCCAGAAGATACCAACAGGATATTTTGTTGCCTTGACGTAATATATATATATATATCTATCTGTATGGTTTATTGCATTTTATGTAATATAAAAAGTAGTACATTATTTATTTTTCCTAAATATCTAGACGATATTGTTAGGATATTTTATTATCATGAGCATGTTTGGATATCTCAGCTGGATGTACATTAGATATACGACAGAGATATCCATAGGATATTCTATTCTAAGACATCTACAGGATTTCAGGATGTCTGGAGGATATCCTATAGATGTCTTTATAAGATGATCTTATAATGGGACATTCCGACATTCTATGAATATCCTGCGGATATTGTGTGTTATATGGGTTACATACAATGTTTCACGATTTTCCATATTTTTATTAGGTTGAAAAGTATGGATACAAATACATGGATACAATATTTTCAGTACTTATTTAACTTGTTGATTATTAAATATATTATCAAAATATAGCGATTGGAAGAGTAAAGCTCGAAATAAAATGATTCATTCTAGGCCTAACACCCCGTACGCAGATTTATTTTTTCCACTAGATATTTTACCATAAATTTTAAATTATAAATTTTACATAATTAAATATATTTTTTAGAAAAGAAAAAAATATTTTTGGTTAGTGATGAGTAAATGCAAGACCAAGACCAAGGGGGTCTTGGTCTTGCAGTTAATATAGTCTTGGTTTTGTAGGATCCAATCTCGGCGTTGCTCTTGCGCAAGACTTTTGCAAGTCTTGCATAGTTTTAATAGATTTTTACTAGGTGCAGTTTCTACATAGAAAATCTTTAAATACTTAAATAGAATTTTTGGCAATTTAATGCAAATAAAACTTTAACGAAAGAAATTAGATTATTTGTATAATGAAATTTTGGATTTTTCAATATATCAAAATGAAACAGCAATTGAGCTGTTATTTTTGAAAGTGGTTTGATTTGG